ACTTCCCCGTCTACAGTCACCTGGAAAAAATATCATTATAGCCGTATATTATCAAGAATCTATCAACTAGCGACTATAGTAATATAAAGAGTAATAAATAAAAAGGAAAAAGAACACAAACTTTTCAATAGACCCAGAACCAGTCAGCAAAAAAAAAAAACACCCATGCGTAATCCTACAGAATCAACCCGGATATTTGAAACAATTAGTGGTCATGACAACGTGAGCGATTAGAAAGTGACCTTGGTGCCCTTGTACTCGGGGATGTTACCCCGAGCCTTGTTGGGAGCACCATCGCGACCGCCGAAGCCGCCACCGAAGCTGCCACCACGGCCACCACCACGGCCACGGCCACCACCACCACGGGGGCCACCGCGGCCGCCACCGCGGCCACCGAAGCTACCACCACGGCCACCACCGCCGCCGCCGTTGTTCTGGCGGGGGGTGCTGAAGTCCAGACGAACGGAACGGCCGTTCAGCTCGGCACCGTTGAGGTCGTTGTAGGCCTGGCGAGCCTCATCCACCGAGGAGTACTGGACGTAGCCGAAGCCCTTGGGGCGGCCCGACTCGGGGTCGGTGGGCAGACGGACACCCAGAACGGTACCCTTGTCGCCGAACAGCTCGTGCACGGCATCCTCGTTGGCGCTGAAGGGAAGGTTGCCGACGAACAGAGTGTCGCTCTCGGGGCTGGCCTGGTCACCGAAGCTACGGGCACGGTTCTGCGCACGGTCGTTGCCCTGGCCCTGGTTGTTGGCCGGACGCTGGGTGGCATAGTCCAGGTTGACGGGGCGGCCGTCGATGTCCTGGCCCTTCTTGTTCTCAAAGGCCTTGGCGGCGTCGACAGCGCTGGTGAACTCGACATAGCCGAAGCTGGGACTGTTAGTATGACAGGATCCATTGTTTTCGACATGGTGGTTGAACTTACCCGCGAGAGCGACCAGTGTCACGCTCAGTCACGATGCGAGTGCCGGCAATCTCACCGAACTCCTCGAATTCGCGCTGCAGCCACTCCTCGTCCACGTTCCACGACAGGTTGCCGACGAACAGGTTGGCCGAGGCGCCAGCGGGGGCCTCCTCGGTCTTGGACTTCTTGGGAGTAGCGGACGACTCCTCCTCAGCCTTGCGCTTCTTGGAAGGCTTCTCGCTCTCAGAGGAGTCGGAGGAGTCAGAGTCGGAGTCAGAGTCGGAATCGGAGTCGGAGTCAGAAGAGTCGGAAGATTCCTGTTTGCCGTTAGTATTACAATCATATAACAAAGGGAAGAAATAGTCCATACCTTAGCAGCCTTCTTGGCCTTGGGGGCCTCCTCCTCGCTCTCAGAGTCGGAGTCGGACGAATCAGAGTCGGACGACTCCTTGGCGGCCTTGGTGGGCTTCTCCTCCTCAGACTCAGAGTCAGAGTCGGAATCAGAGTCGGAAGACTCGGCCTTCTTGGCAGCGGGCTTCTCATCCTCAGACGACTCGTCCGAAGACTCGGAGGAAGACTCCTCCTTCTTAGCGACCTTCTTGTCGGCCTTCTTGGGCTCAGCCTTGGCCTTCTTGGCGGGCTTCTCCTCCTCGCTCTCGCTGCTGGAGGCGTCCTCCATGTCCTCATCGGAGTCGGACGAGTCGGAAGAGTCAGAAGACTCAACCTTCTTAGCGGGCTTCTTCACCTCCTTCTTGGCGGGCTTCTTCTCCTCCTCGCTCTCGCTGCTGGAGCTGGAGCTGGAGTCCATCTCCTCGTCGCTGTCCGACTCGGACGAGCTGCTGGGAGTAGGAGCCTTCTTCTTGCGCTGAGCCTTCTCCTCTTTGGCAGAGAGCTTGCGAGCAATCTCCTTACCCTTGGACTTGGGAGACTCGGAGCTCTTGGAGACACCGGCACCCTTGACCTTGGACAGGGTCTTGTCAACAGGCTTCTCACCACCCTTCTTGGAAACAGACTTGGTCTTGGACATTTTGAATCTATGAAAAGAGGGTTAGCCAGGAAACAACCAAGGGAGTTCAATGGAGGGTATCCTTACCAAGTTATGATAATCAACGGAATAAATCCCACAAAGTTCAGTGCGGCAAAAATAACCCTCAAGCACCCGATTTGATCAAGCTCTGGTCAATACCCACAAGTAACCGACAATGACAATGTTCAAGCCCACGATAGACAGGAGAAATGCAACCGTCTGTGATTTTAGAAACCCACGAGATTAACCCAAAGATCCCACAAAGATTGCGATAGCCCACAGCCCTCAGTGTATACAGCCCACAAGGTGTCTGTTGAAGTGTGTAAGTACTAGCTCAGAGGATATCAAACCACTGAGAAGAGAAGATGGTTTACTTAGGGAATACTAAGTAAGGGGGAAAAGTAAAGATGAGTGAAGGATGAAGGAAGAAAGAAAAAAAAAACCGGAGGAAGGGGAGAATTTAAGAGAGAAGAGCAGCAGAAAAAAAAAGAGGAAAATTTCAGCACCGATAAGATTGACCGCTCGAGCTAAGAAGAAAAAAAAAAAAAAAAAAAAATGGGGTGGTTGGCAGAACGACTGACCGCTTTCTGCAACCGCCAGGCAGTGAGGCAGTAAGGCAGTGACAATAAGACTATAAGGCAATAAGGCAGAGATATCCATTCAGGCACCCAGGTACCGCTCGCTGACTAAGTAGCTAGTCAAGTGGGTCTCAGAACAGAGTGTCAACCGTACTCCGTACTATCTACGGAATCATCTCGACTTGACCACAGCGCAACCTCACTCTCTGTCTATGTCAATGGGTCATTCTTAATCTCTTCCACATCATGGCCCCTTCATATCGTCCTCGCAAGAAGAGAAAGTTCCCGACCTCGTTCACCGGTTCCAATAGCTCTCTGATGGTGGAGACCGGAAATGGATCTTCCTCACCGGCCTTTCCTCTTGTCTCCTTCCTATGGGCAGCTCGGGCAGGGGTCTCGCAATGGCTCGTGCTCCCGCTGATTCTGATGGCGGTAGGTCTGTTCAGATGGGCCGTCAGTCTCTGGGGGTACTCGGGTATGTAATTAAAATGCAATGGTTGAACATCCCGGTCAAGAGGTCGGTCACTAATGGAACGCAGGCTTTCAGGTCCCTCCGATGCACGGCGATTTCGAAGCGCAAAGACACTGGATGGAGATCACGTTTCATCTGCCCATGTTCAAATGGTACACCTATGACTTGCAGTACTGGGGTCTCGATTACCCGCCATTGACCGCATACCATAGCTGGCTGCTGGGTAAAATGTACGTGGACCCTGGTGGGATTCGGAGCTGTGGACATGGTTGAGCGTGGCTAACGAGGAGCAGCGGCGTACTGTTTGATCCCGCCTGGTTCGCACTCGATGCGTCGCGTGGGTTCGAAGACCCCCGACTGAAGGTTTTCATGCGCGGCACCGTGGTGGTGTCGGAGTACTTGGTATATATTCCGGCTGTCGTCACTTTCCTTCGCCGCTACTCCCGGAGGCAAGATGTGCCGGTTTGGTCCGCCTCGATCGCCCTCGTCGCAGTTCTCCTTCAACCGGCCACCATCCTGATTGATCACGGACACTTCCAATATAACACGGTGATGCTGGGTCTCGTGGTCGCCAGCTTGGATGCCATCATGGCCGGGCGCATGCTCTGGGCCTGCATCTTCTTCGTGGGTGCGCTGGGATTCAAGCAGATGGCTCTCTATTATGCGCCCGTCATGTTCGCTTTCTTGCTAGGCGTCTGTGTATTCCCTCGGGTCCGGATTCTCCGTCTCTTTTGCATCGCGCTCACCACGCTATTGGCATTTACGCTGCTTTTCGCTCCATTGCTTGCCGGTGCAACGAACGGTGACGCTCGAGCGGCGTTGGCCCAGGCGGAACAACCCCCTCTGTTGCAAGCGCTAGATATCAAGCTTGACAAGGACTCGCGACTCTACGCCGTCCTCTTTCAACTAACACAGGTCATCCATCGGGTCCTCCCGTTCGCCCGCGGTCTGTTTGAGGACAAAGTTGCCAACGCCTGGTGTGCCATCCATACTTTCTACAAGCTCCATCGATTCGAGACAACCCTTCTCCAACGCATGTCACTCGGCGCCACGCTGGGATCGATCCTCGTCCCCTGCGCCATCATCTTCCGCCATCCCCGCGCATCTCTCCTTCTCCCTGCCATGTCCAGCGTCGCGTGGGGGTTCTTCCTGTTCTCCTTCCAGGTCCACGAGAAGAGCGTCCTGCTCCCCCTGCTCCCCATGACCCTTCTACTTGCAGGCGACGGCGGCCTGAGTAAGGAGACCCGAGCATGGGTAGGATGGGCCAACACCCTCGGGTCGTGGACGCTCTACCCTCTCCTAAAGCGTGACGGCCTGCAGGTACCCTACTTCGTCATGACCCTCCTATGGGCCTACCTCCTCGGTCTTCCCCCGATGTCACTGGAAACCTACCGCAGCCGACCTTCCCCAGAGGACTCCGCCGCGACGTCGGAGCCCAACCTCGGCACAAAGCTGCTCCACACCTGTTTCTACCTAGCCATGATTGCCTGGCACGTCTTGGAGACCGCCGTCCCGGCGCCCCCCACCAAACCCGACTTGTGGGTGGTGCTCAACGTCCTCATCGGCGCCGGCGGATTCGGCATCGCGTACCTGTGGTGCTGCTGGAAACTGATCGGACAGTGCTGGGTGATTGACCGGCGGACAGCGGAGGAGCTCCAGAAGAAGAGGCAGTGATGTGGTATTTCGGTATTTCACTTTATATCTGACCATGTATTATAATGATACCCCGTTCGTTTTCGACTACTCCAATATCCAAGCAGATGGATTTTCTACCGTAATCGGAGAGAATAAAAGGAAAATAACAATTCTATTTGTATCAATACACAGACGCCAACCCATAAGAAGCAGTAATGTACAAAGCCAACCCGTAGGAGAGATTGATCCCAACCAAGCCCCATCATAATCACAAACGTAGTAAAAACAGTAATATACACATCACCAACACACCACCCCCCCCCCCCCCAAAACCATTCCTACACCATACAAATCATACTGACCAGGCCAAAAGCAAGCAGCAAGCTAAACCTTAAACCCAAACCCAGCCATACAGCTCTTATACTGATCAATGGTGGACTTGCACTCCTGGGCGGGGTCCTCGGTCTTGGAGAAGAGCATGCAGTCGTCGCGGGTGGCTTTTTCGGTCTTGCAGACGCAGCAGGGCTGTACTTTTGTTAGTGGGTGTTGCGCTGCACTTGATGAAGGTGGTGTGAGGCGTACCTTGGGCTTGTCGGCTGGGGCAGCGGTTTGGGATTGGGTGGGGGGTTGGATGGGGGGGCGGATTCTGTGGGGCCTGTAGAACAAAAGGTTGTTAGATTGAATTTAGGAGTATTGAGAGTAGTGTTGAGGATGGGGAATAGTATGGGTGGATGGGTGAATATTGTATAGATGGGTCTTGTATGCGGAAGACGGAGGAGAGATCGGAGGGATGATGGATGGGTGGTTGCTTACCGCTGGAGGAGCCGAAGAGGGACATTGTGGATGATTTCGATGTTTTCCCTTTTATTGTAAAGTGAAGAAGTAAAGAAAGAATGAAGAGAGGAAAAGGTCAAGTAGATAGGATCGAAGGAATGGCATCAGATGTAAAGATGGAGAAAAGGATGGAATGATGCTGAGTAATGCTGCGGTCCGGAGGATCGGCGATTTGTGTTCCCGACGGAGACGCTTTAGTCTCAGTTGATCTTTTTGCTTCACATTCGCTGGGCGGCGCTTCTTTTCTTTTCTCCTTTCTTTACTTCTTTCTACTTTGGCAATTGCTTTCTCTAGGCTGAGACGTCGTCTTGGATTCCACTAGACTTACTTGATTTCTTCTTTTCTACACCGTTAGACTTTCGCATTTCTTTTCGCAAGCCTCTCCCCCTGAAATTACCCCGCCATGGCCCCTCCAAAGGTTTTTTCGCTCGAAGGCAAGGGCCTCAAGCTGGACACCGCTGAGGATACCGAAGCCCATATCAAGCCCTTGCTGGAGAGCACCGATTTCACCGAGGTCCGGCTGGGCGGAAACACCCTGGGTGTGCCCGCCTGTCAGCGCCTGGCCGCCGCCCTCTCGACCCAGAAGACCCTCGAGGTCGCCGAACTCGCCGACATCTTCACCGCGCGTCTCATCGAAGAGATCCCCGCTGCCCTCTCCCACCTCCTCGACGCCCTCCTGGAGATCTTCACCGTGCACACCGTCAACCTCTCCGACAATGCCTTCGGCAAGCGCACCCAGGACCCCCTCATCAAGTTCCTGTCGCAGCACGTGCCCCTCCGCCACCTGATCCTGAACAACAACGGCATGGGCCCCGATGCTGGTGCCAACATCGCCAATGCGCTCTCCGACCTGGCGGCGCGCAAGGAGGAGGCCCGCAAGGGTGGCAACACCGTGCCCCACCTCGAGAGCATCGTCTGCGGGCGCAATCGGCTGGAGAACGGCAGCATGGCGGCGTGGGCCCGCGCCTACGAGGTCCACGCGCGCGGCATGCGCTCGGTGAAGATGACTCAGAATGGTATCCGTCAGGAGGGTATCTCGCTGCTGCTGAGGGAGGGTCTCCGCCACGCTAGCGGGCTCGAGGTTCTCGATCTGCAGGACAACACCTTCACCGTGACGGGGTCGACTGCGCTGGCTAGTGTGCTGCCTGGCTGGCCCTGGCTGCGGGAGCTCGGTGTCGGCGACTGTCTGCTGGGTGCCCGCGGTGGCGTCAAGGTCGCGCAGGCCCTGGCCGAGGGCAAGAACCAGCGGGTAGAGACGCTGCGTTTGCAGTATAACGACATCACGGCGGAGGGCGTCAAGCAGTTCCTCCACGCGACCAAGACGGCACTTCCCGCGCTGCGCCGCATCGAGCTCAACGGCAATAAATTCGAGGAGGATGACAACAACGTGACGGATCTGCAGGAGGTTCTGGAGGCCCGCAAGGACGAGCACGGCCACGACAGCGATCCGGAGGACATGTGGGGCTTGGACGAGCTGGACGAGTTGGAAGAGGAGAGCGAGGAGGAGGAGGAGGAAGAAGAGGAGGAGGAGGAGGAGGAGGAAGAGGAGGCTAAGGCCGAGAAGGAAGTCAAGATCGCGGAGGAGGCCGAAGAGGCAAAGGTCGCGCAGCGGGAAGACAATGATGTCGACAAGCTGGCCGAGACCTTCGGCAAGACCACGATCTAGATCAGGTCCCCGTCTTGTTCGATTCTCTTCCCCCGCCCTCGCTTTTCGTCGTTATACCCCTCTTGATACAACGGCAGAGTCAAGTTACCCCATGCAGGAGCTCGACACATGGTCATGTCTGATGACGTGGTTTCGCGGCTGACCTGCGTCTCGTCTGATCCCGACCTATGAAATAGTCAAGAGAATGGGTCTGCGATTAGACACTCCCAGTGGCCGGTCTATCTCGGTCGCTCTGATATCCACCCCATCCCCTCCCCGAGTCGTGTCCACAGTTGACCAGACCGATACCCTTCGTCTTTGTGTTCGATTCCTGCCATCAGCTCTCGACGACCCGTCATGTCTTTGGTCAGCCGGGTTGTCAGAGCTGTTGATGATCTTTTTTACGAATGTACCCAGTTCCCACGATGTATATAATGTTTTAGAAAAAAGAATCCGTCTGATCTGTGTTGCGGTGTGGATTGTTGGGGAAGAGTCGGTGTAGTCAGCTGCATGTCATAATTGACTATTGATCTGTTTCATAGGGTATTCTACGATCTCATCTGGCATAATGATCATCGTGTATTTTGTCAAGGATATTATCCAGCCAAGCAAGCCATTCCCAAACAGGCAACTCGGGCTTGGCGTCCAGAGCAACAAGAATGACCGAAACTCCGTCTTCAACTTCCCACCTCATCATCTTTTCCTTCCTCATCCTCCCTACCCTTCCACCAGTCGAGCTATCTCCGCGCCGTATATTCCAGCTATATTTGACGGATTCGCGCGCTACACGGCTCCATCCGCTCTTTTCCAGCCTACGTCCCCACCCCGCGCGACGGATCTCGAGGTCACCCGGGCTGACTCGAGTATGTGAGTGCGCCAACCCCTCTCTCCTTGCTTTGGTTTGGTCGTCCCCTTTGATGGTGTTTTTGCTGTTTTTTGTGGGCGCGCGAGGGGTGATGGTGTTTTTTGCGCTTGATGCGCTTTGTTGAGGGTGATATATTGGGATTGAGGGTTTGATGAACTTTATGTGAGGTGTGCCTGAGTTTATGCGACGAGTGGGTTTTGCGGAACCTGAGGCGCATATTCTGGTGGATGTTTCTTGGGGACAGATATGCGATGGGCTTTCTATTACTCTTTATGCGCTTTTTGTGGGTGTCGTTTGCGCTGGTCGATGGATAACCTGTCTTTGCTGTTTCTTTGATATCTTCTTGCTATTTCTTTGCTACACTACGTCCTATCATCCATGTCACCCCGCTAATATCTTCATAGAGCGCCTAGCTCCTCTATCGATTCGCCGATTGGCTCCTCCCCCGACATCATGCCGATGGACGCAAAGGAAATCGAGGTCAAGTCGAAAGCCTTGGCCAAGGCCACCGCCCAGAATGAGCCATCCTCCACCCTGCTGCAGATTCTGAAAGAGCTCCAGCAAGGCGTGAAGGCGACGGAGGACCTGCTGCGATCCACCCGAGTGGGCATCATCGTCAACAAGCTTAAGCAGAACAAAACTCCCGAGGTGGCCCGCCTGGCCAGCGAGATCGTCTCCAGATGGCGCAATGAGGTGAACAAGCAGAAGGCGAGCGGATCCCCTGGAGCCAGTCGGCGGTCAAGCGGGTCGCCGCGTCCACCCCAGAACGGAACCGCCTCGCCCGCCGGCACGCCGACCGACAAATTGTCGAAGCTGTCGGTGCCCCCGGAGAAGCGCACCTGGAAGGCCGACGGGGTGGACATCAACCAGACGTCCAACAAGAGCCGCGACAACTGCATCGGCCTGATGTACGACGGCCTGTGTCTCAACTCGACCGAGCCGCCCCGCCATGTGCTCTCCAAAGCCAGCGCAGTCGAAGCAGCCGCCTACTCGGCCTTCGGCCCCGAAACCAAAGAAGGGTACCGCACCAAGATCCGCAGCCTGTTCCAGAACCTCAAGAACAAGTCGAACCCCAAGTTACGGGTGCGGGTGCTCAACAGCGAAATCGCGCCCGAGGACTTCGTCAAGATGTCGCACGAGGAGCTGCGGTCCGCGGAGCAGCGCGAGCAGGACCGCAAGATCCAGAAGGAGAACATGGACAAGGCGATGGTGGCGCAGGCAGAGCGCAGCATCAGCACCAGTCTACAGTGCGGCAAGTGCGGCCAGCGCAAGGTGACCTATACCGAGGCGCAGACGCGCAGCGCTGATGAACCGATGACGCTGTTCTGCACGTGTGTGAACTGCGGCAAGTCGTGGCGGCAGTAACCTTTTTTTGTTCCTCTTATATTTATCAGTTCGGTATATTCACCGTGCTCTCTCACACACTCTCTCTCTCTCTTTTTCCTCCTTTTCTTTCCTTTTTTTATCCAGGTTGTCACATTACCAGCCCCCCAGACCCCGGCACGGAGTTTCGAGGTTGATTTAAACAAGACGGGCAGACGGGCATTTCTTGGGATCCGGATGTCTGGGGGGTTCTTTTTCTTTTTTCTTCTTTTTTCTTTTTATTTTCTATTCTTTCATTGTTTTGGACTGGGGTAGATAGATGACTTAACGATGTATTGGATTTGATTTGATGACATGACGTAGAGATGTATTGATAGACGGAGGTTCTCGTCGACGATGGTAAGTTTTCTTTCTTGCTGGCCTCGTTGTAGGGGATGAGTTGCTGTTTCTGGTTCCTGGTTTATACATGATCGACTCCGCATCGACTCCGCAGAGTAGAGCTACAATCCTACATACGTCATCACTACACCTCACCTCATATACAAGCAAGCAAGCATACATCAATCCCATCCCCTCCCAAACCACACCCAACACACATTCCAAAGATACCCTACCCTTCAAAGAACAACAATAAATCAATCTATCAAAACTACCAAATCCACCACCAACTCCAAAACCCTCAACAACAACACCAACATCCACAAAGCGCCAAAATGCCCCCAACCTCACCTCCCCCACGAGCCTCCCTCATCAAACCCGTCCGCACCCTCTGCACAGCCTTCGCATCAGCCTCTTCCCCAGAAACCCTCGCCGCGTCCTTCACACAAACGCCCGCACCCCTCGCGCACGAACACGGCCTGCCCGAGCTAGCCCCCTTCCTCGGGCGAGACTTCACGGGTACAGAAGGCATAAAACGCTATTTCACCCTCGTAGCGAGCGAACTCTCATTCGAGGGGATGGAATTCGATGATGAGAGAGACTGGGTCGTGGACGGGGTGTCTATGGCTGTTGCGTTGAGGGGGAGAGCGCGGTTTGTGTGTAGGGCGAGTGGGGAGGGGTGGGATGAGACATTTTGTTATAGGGTTGGTTTGGGTTTTGAGCAGGAGGGTACTGGGGAGGATACTGAAGGGGAGTTGAAGGTTAGGGAGTATAGGGTTTGGGCGGATACGGGGGCTGCGTACTTGGCTAGGCTGGGGAGGTTGAGGGGGGAAACTTCTTCTGGTGATGGTGGTGATGAGTATGGAAAGAAGAAGAAGGGGGGTGGGCATGATAAGGTTGATTAATTGATTGAGGGAGATGTATGTATGTGAAAAGCTGGTTTGAAAGATCTTTTGTCGTGTTTGATAGACTGATTATGTTGATAGATATACCTTCTGCTGTCAGATGTCAAACACTTGCGGATGTCATACTTGTCGTGAACTTGTCTGTCATCACTGTCTGGGGACTTCAAGACCGTGTGGTATCTGTCTGGTCCATTCGATGCAGCTATAGTTGTACGTTGGGCTGGATCTTGGTCAGGACATATGCTAGTTCTAGGATGAAGACCCACTATTTCCTGGTAAGAATAGAGTCTGGAAGTGGGAATCACCATGGCGAGTGAGTCTGAGCGCTGTTCGCCCATCAGTCCGCACATCCTGTGGAGTCGATGTTATTGCCAAATGTTTTGTTGAGCGTGCTGTGATGGGGGTTGATTCAGAGATATCATCGACTGTTTGGACGATGTTGCAGCGGGAGGTGTTTGGCTGGATATGGTCATAACCAACCGTGAGCAAAATTTGAGCGATGCGTAACATTGGCGAGGTAAAGCTACTCTTGTGCTAAGCATGAGACTGGGACAAGAAAGAGAGAATCCCATGTTTCTCTTTCGACAAAGTCTTCTAGTCAGAACTGTCTACCATGGCTTGCAGGAATATATATCACCCACATAGCACTTCCTGGCTGAATCTCTCGAAAGATACTTGAAGACTATCTGCCAAAGTAATATAGAAGCTAGCAAGCAGGATAGGCACGTCTTAAAGAGTCATAGATCAACTATTATAGCCATTCTCACCTCGATGCCATCACTTGATTCTCCGTCCACTCACCACACGGCTGATCCGTCTAAAGAATATCGGCTGTGGTAATGGAGAAAGCCAGTCCCACCTGAATAAAGCTCCAGAGTATACCTGACTATCCAATGAGACAGCTACTTGAAAGGTATCAAGTATCAATTATATTGAGTGGATTCATGGATGAAAGACAAGATATGAGTTACAGCCTCATCGCTGCCTCAGGCACGTATAGACATCACCCCTCTTCTGTCAGCTTCACTCTGCCATCTTCCACATCTCCAACATCGCCAGAATATCTACCACATCTCATAAATATGCCACCCACAGACCTCGTAGAAGTCGACTCTCTCGAAGCCCTAGTCATCATCGACAATGAACTCGACCCCCTCTCTCCAGCCGCTCCCCCACCTCCAGATACGGTCCAATTAACCGGCCACATGGGGACACTGGCTGTCAACTCCCCGCACCACGTCGACAACCGCGGCGAGTGTCATAAGGAGGTGCAGATGGAGGATATCTGCTGCTCGGCGCATGGGCTGTCCCTTCTTGTGGTATGTATGTGCTTGCTGGTAGGTGGGAACTTGTGCTAAGGGCGATCAGACAGCCACGAAAGGCGATAAGAAACATTCGGTTCTTTTCGATGCTGGTCCGGAGGGGGATGCGTGGGAGAGAAATGTTAAGCGGTTGAGGCCGGATCTGTCTTGCGTGGAGGTTGTTCAGTTGTCGCACTGGCATCGGGATCATTCAGGTGCGTTGTCTGACTGATTGTTTGCATAAGCTTGCGAAGCCGTAATGCTATGCTCTGATGATGTGTTTTGGGCTAAGATCAGACAGGCGGCCTTCCCAGAGCTATCCAGATGATCAAAGACGCCAAAAAAGCCAAAGGTCAAACAGACAAGGTCGTCGTGGACCTCCAGCCAGACCGTCCAGACTATCGAGGCGGTCGAATCGGCGAGACCATCTTTTCATTCCAAGCCGATCCAACATTCGAGGAACTCGAGGCGGCAGGCGGCAAGGTAGAGAAGCACGCCGATGCACACACCGTGCTGGACGACTTCTTCCTGATCTCAGGCAAGATCCCGCGTCGCACGCCGTACGAGAACGGTCTGAGATCAGGCATGCGGTTCGATCGGGAGGAGAACGAATGGGTGTCTGATGAGCTTATTGCGGATGAGAGGTTTCTGATGTGCAATCTCAAAGGTGTGTACCTATTTCGTACCGGACGACATGTCTACACACCCGCTCTAACTACGACTACAGACAAAGGAGTCGTTATGTTCACGGCGTGCAGCCACGCAGGCGTGGTCAATTGCGCGCAGCACTCCCTGGAATTCGTCGACAAGGCCGTGCCTCTCCACGCCGTCGTCGGCGGGTTCCACCTTGCTACAGGCGATGCCAGCTTGCTCGACAGTACGGTCAGAGACCTCAAGCGGTTGGACCCGGCCGTGCTCCTGCCTGGGCACTGCTCAGGATGGCGAGCCAAGTTTGAGATCGAGAAAAAGATGCCCGGCACACTTGTTCCTTGTTCGGTGGGCATCAAAATTGCATTCTAATGCCTCTGTCACATGGCGAATATTTTCGTCCGTACTGGCTCGGCCATCGTGAAAGAGCGGGAGCCTGAACGTTAGTTCGTATCAGATCAAGCTGTGATCGTTCGGCTGTCTCGTTGTGGTCGTCATTCAAGCCGCATGTCTAGCTCGTGTTGAAGCTCACCGAGTCGAGGCTCGAGGCCTCGAGCATGTGAGATGGTCCATGTGATATCGGGGAGTGTTTCATATTTATTAAGGATCGCTGCAGCGATGTCTCACGATCGTTGTCGGAACGGCTATGGCGATCGATCTGCTAGTATATCCGAGGCAGTGTTTGTTGCATGAGCTCGATTGCATGGCTTTGGATGATTTCATGCATTTTTTGGGAGTATTATCTGCAGTTGCATGAGAATGTCGCTTGTTATAATGCAGTATATAGTAATTCAAATATATATCCACATCAATGACGAATATAGATCGAGCACATGTCAACATAAATATATACTAATAACCATACCCCCACACTATATATCCCAGTATCAACAAAGGATATAACAACTACAACAACTATAGTTAAATGATCAACTCAACCACACAACTACAACCATACCCAGTAACAACAACAACACACAGACCTATACAAATACCCAAACCAGGGTAAACCTCAAACCCCCACATACCTCCTGCCAACTTACTTCCACCACTGCACACTACATGCATACCGACCTCATACCTCAGACAGACCAATTTCTAATTTGTCTGGAGACATCCTCCCCCCCAATCACCCGCTCTAGTTTAAAAACGAATATGCAACGCAAGGCAAGGTCCTACACCCCCACCGATGCCAAGATCCCTTTCCTCAAGACACAAGACATGAAGATACCTGCTAAGTTATCTATTTGTTTATTTATTTATTGTTTATTTACCCGATGCGGGATGTCGTCGATGGAGACTGGATCACAAGCACATACTACAAGAATACCTGTCTACTCTGTTCCTTGGCTATGTATGTATGTAGGCAGGTATGGATGCATCATCTGACACGGCGAGTGTCTCGCTTGTGTGTAACTCCGATGAGATCACAACAAACGGGTTGAGTAACCTTTTCCTCTTGGCTGTCTGTCTATTACGGTAAGGGTAGGCTGGAAGGGGATACTGACGCGTATTTGCGTCTCAAGTGGTGTGTTAGGCTGGCTGCTGTATATCCCAGCGAGTATGGAGTACTGATTCAGTTGTTGTTTCTCACGTGTATACTACCTATCTCTCTACCGATCTCCTTCAACTCCTCTCTCTTCCTCCCTTTACGCGTGTGTCCCCATCTATCAATTATCTCTCTGCCTAAAGCACCAACCTCACTAATATCACCGACTAGCCCTCCATCAACGATTGCAACTCACCGAAGGATACATGCACAGCCCTCTCCTCCTCTTCCGCCTCCCTTGCCAAGACAATAAAACGTAGAGGGTGGAATGCACGGCAGGCTTGGCAGTTATCTATCCCGTCCTGGCTGATTTGTATTTATCTTGTGTTACCGATGACGATTATAGGTTGCTTTTAGGTTTGTTCTGGGTTTAAGGTTGGAGTAGGGGGCGGACAGGAGATTATCTCCTACCTACTACACTAGGTAGTAGGTGGTAGGTACTGGACTCGCTACCCCGTACTTTAGGGGGATACTATAGTAGGGACTAGGTGTTAGTATAGTCCGTGTGATACCTACCTAGGTATTCGTGTGGGATAGACACTGACGATCATCTGGGGTACGGAGTAGGCTATACGAAGTGAATGTGAATATCAAGCCAACCTCGTACAGTAAAATTGAAGCCAAGGATTGAGATGAGAAAAGGGGTTGAAGTCGATAAGACCAGTTAGTGATGCGTATTATTAGTCTTAACGATAGATGAACATCATCTTCCTGCATGAACCTATCAAACAGCGCCATTCCTTATCTTTCGCAGGATGATCACTGTCTGCTAGTCCCCGAACTATCCCTCCGATCCTCCACGCCAAGAAACGCGTCGCTCTTTATTTATTCTGGGTATGGAGTACGGGGTACGGAGAAGCCTAGTAGGGCACTAACAGTTATTGATTGATGTTAGTCGGGGCAGAGTCGGTAAGTGACGCGACAGACGTCAATCGATCAATCAGCGTCATCCGACCGAGTTCAGCAGTACGATGGTACATGGTACAGGATCAATTCCAAGAAACAATATCGGCAATGCCAAGACCGTACCTTGCTGAGGCGGGCGCGTCGACCACGCTTGGCGAACTTTCGCGGAGACTTAATTCGACCTTCTTTCTTTATCTTCATGTTGACGTCCACCGCGGGATTTTTTGAACCCGGTGACGTGGCCGTGCTGTGTGCCCCGATCCCGGTCAAGGGATTGACTGATTGATTGGATTAGGTTGAATCCGGCGGTCGATCCGGGGATGCAATTCGGATTTTCATATGCTGGTGCCTGAATCGTCTACAATGGGTGTAGCCTAGGCAGTAGTAGCCTGTACTGAAGGATTGCCCCATGGGGATGATGGATAATGAATGGAAGGGCCCAACTTAGTATCGAAGGGGACGAGAAGGAAGTCCAGTACAGCCTTGGCGCTGCATCACAGCCACCCCGGACGCGCTGTCGATCGTCCATCATCCATCCTGTCAGCCGTTCGAAAGCAGTTCGGTGGTGTTTAGGCGTCAGCAATATTATCGTGTAGACATGCAACATCCTCCTTCCATCGGGCTCGGCGGGTGGGGTGGGCGGGTTGGGTGGGATTGGGTTGGCTGTCAGAACCTGATATCAGGAATGGTTGTCTCTATCTGGACTCGTCTCTGCGATCCGTCTGTTGTATCCTCGCCCGGTACTGCCCTGTTGGGTTGGATCTTCCCGAAGCGCAGCCTTCGCCCGCGTCGGATGTGATCTGACAGCTGGTTCATTGGCCAGTGGGCTTGATTCTCGTCGTGTCTACGTGAAACGGTAATCCCACGTCGACGGCGATGATAGTTGGTGCTGACGGTTGACTGCACGAGTTGCCCGTGCTTATTGAATGAACGGTTTAAATGAAATAAACTAAATTGAAAGTAAAAGGAAAGTAGGGTAAACCTAACCCGAGGATATGTCGATCTACGCCCAGCTGTAATCCAGCAATACTAACATCCTTCGCGCCGCGGCCTTGGTCGATCACGGGCGCGCGTGTGCATCCTCCCAATAACCCTATCCGGCCCGGGAAAGCAGGGAGCGAGACGGAAAGAGATGAATGTGATTCCGGTTTTTTTCCCTGCAATCCTATCCAGGATAGGGATATATCGAGCTTGGCAGTCTAGGCAAATAACCAAGGACCTAAACATGTAGGGCAAGTATGTATGGATCGATAATTGTAATCGATAATCATAATCTATTGAGTGAAGGCTCGACAGACCTGCCTTTTTGGCGACATGTGAGGTCATAGGAGATAGGTAGGCTGGTGAGATATGCAGGGTTTCGGAGATTTGTGCCTGTAGATTAGTATCCTATGCAGGATGTACTCCATTTTGGTGTGACAGGTACGAAATAATGTAGGGTCTTTCTAGCGTGGAGGATACTATAGTTATTGGTAGATATGCTGGTGTCTAACGGCGTTGATTCAGGGTTGTCTGACGTGATATATGGTCATGTCCATTCTCGATATACAGATATCTATACAATGAGGGTGGGTAAGAGAGCCAGGTCGCCCGCGAGGCATATCCATCCATCTTGTGTCCAGACCATGCAAGGAGACAGACAAAACACCAAATCAAGCGGGGTCTCGATCCATGTGGGAGATCCCTTGGCGTCAGTATATCCAGTCGAATGTATATCTAGTCGACAGGTAACTGTATAGTTCTAGATGTCCGGTAGGCATGGGCATTCGTCTGTCCCTGTGCTGGTCATCTAATGCGCCTTTGCTATTACAATCAATCGATGCATACTATAGAGTATGGAAGTAATCTATAGAGTATGGAAGTAATCCACATCAAATAGGCCGACAGACAGTAGTCTCTAGACATAGGCAAGGTACATGAAACCACCCACAGCACAACCAAACAAAGGTGTGAAACGAGGGTCCGCCCTCCTCCTCGCATAAAACCTGCAATAGTCCATCTACCTCGCACACATGTTCCGAATAAACCTAAAAAAAATGAGGATAAAAAATAATAATAAAAACTAAAAAGGTGAAAAAGTAAAAAGAAAGCGAAAAAAGAAAGAAAAAAAAAATTTTTGACACCCAAACCCATGGAACGCAGTCGGCAACTCGGGTGGTCCCCCTTCCCTTCTGTTTTCACACCTTCGTCAACCATGGATACATGAAATGACGGTTCCCGCGGTTGAAAGAACCACTCGCAACACATGCTGGGTAGCGTGCTTGCTTATCAGCTATGCATACGCACCACACACACGACACATGTGTCTTTGACTTTTGGATTTGTCTTACTAAAGACAGTTTTCTACGTGCCGAATGCCGCCGTGCCGCGTAGGCCGAGTTCGACCCTGTGGTTTTCGGGACCGAGACGGGACCTGCCTGTCTGCCTTTGCCTCCCGTAATGGCCTTGATGCTGCCGAAACGCATATCCCGAGCGATGATCGAGCCGTGAGTATCCGTATCTTGTCAGGGTAAATTTTATTTTTATGCTTAATTGGTTGTTATTCTTTTTTATTTTTTATGATTTACTTTTTTCGTCAACCTTGATAGATCGAGTATGTCTCTGGGATGTCACGGATGAAGTGGCGAGACCTTGTTAAAGGGGTCATCATGTTGAATAGGTGCAGTAAATATATTAAAGTATGTATGATTGGTTGGCGGCTTCTAGGATGCCGGGATCCGGTCTCAAGCTCGTGAGGTGGTGTCTACTTACCTATCTATGCCTGAGTATGTACTATCTTGGAGTCTTTGGTAGTATGGTAGCTACTAGCTAGGTAGTAAGTACTGCGCATCCAGGATTCCCTGGAAGCCCTTATTTTGAGCGGATTCAATATGCATGCAGGAGATTATCCCACATATATTCGCACGATGACGGCCAACGTGGATTAACTTTGTCTTTGTTGCGGGGAATATAATCGCTTGGTTTCCCTGTCAGACTCTCAAGGTACCAAAATGATGATATCAACACTCCGAGACAATGGTAGCCCCGAGGACAACCACGGGGTGGAGGTTTGTATCTAATGGGTTGGGCCATATATCTGCAGAACAACCTGAAATATGAAGACTGTCCCTGTAGAGTTTGACACCTCAATGGTCAAAGTTAAAAGTCCATTAAGTTACTGTGGCAATCATCTCTTCCATCCCATTCCATCTCATAACCACCCGATCAAGTAACACGGTGATACCACTGCATCATCATCACGCAGTCTGCCAGTCTACCAGTCTCAGACCAGCAGAAAATCCCTCACCAGGATCCTCGATGAGACAGCTTGGCACCGGGCGATCTCCCAGTGGGGAACTGGGTGCCAACCACCCCTCTCATAGGTCAAGTATGAGTATGAGTGATTAACACGGTTTGCAATTTATCCAGCTTCCCTGAGTGGACAGCACCGTGGGTGGAGGCGCCCGTGGGAACTTGGTGGTGACTACTGTAGGTACTGGTACGCTACTACGCACACCACGGGGAAGTTGAGCTGGTCGTTCATCCCGTTACTACTATTGTGGGTTTTGTCCCCCTTTAGCTTGGGGTTAGTCTTGGTTTACTATTTTAATCATTAACGTGGTGACTTAGGGAGGTCGGCAGTGAGGTCAAGATAGGTAAATGGGGGAGTGATCTTTGACCCTGATTTCATCATCAGTTGTAAACCGGCTTGACCAGCAGATGATCTTGCTCATTAGGGCTGGAATAAATCAATAGGGGTTGAAGTTCTCTCTCAGTGACTACGGTAATGAAAGCCTCGGCCAGAAACCTCTAGTTGGTTACGGGGAAAATTACACTGTATTACCGCTAGCCGGATGGGGGATTTCCCTCCTTCGGCTCGTGTCACCAATTGCCTCGCCTCCGCGGAGCACTATTACGAGTTATGCTCTTTCAATATCGTATACTTTTTATCCTTAGGGCTGGACCCCCGGCATCAAATCACACGATCACTCTACCAAACAGGTTAGTCTGGCTGTTGGCTTTTTTTACTTTTGGTTTGATTCCTTCGGCTTGGCTGCCCAGTGCCCACTGCTTACGCCGTACTATAAGCATGTCCGTTAGTGTTAAGGGGTAGATGCCAACACTGAGGGGCAGTGGACATGTCGACTAGAGCGTAGACACTGAATAGATGACGTAGTTGCCACCGTCTCCGCAATGAGGTTGGTCATGAGGAAAAAGAAGCGGGTGGCTCTCCGACTATCAAAGACAAATAGTGTCGACTCCGATCCGTATCCGTAGATGCCAGATAGGTAGGGTTAGAAATATGGGTTTGTAACTGGAATTCGGCTCCCCCGACCCCATCTGCCGAGTACCCGATCAGCGAGCAGGAATTCCAAAACCGGGCAGACCCAGCCAAAAAAAGGACCCAGCATGTTAGCAACAGACCCAGTTACGGCCAGTTTCTTGCCCCTCCTTCTACTGCCCTTCTAGAAAACTTCGAGAACGGTATCGGATGCGGTCGCTGTCCCCGCCGCTCTGCAACCCGCCCGATGCGGATGTCGGATCATACCCTGGTTTTTTTTTACTTGCCACGATCATACCTCAAAGTTATATCGTTTGTGTACTATTGGCGACCGAGCTATCTGCGAGCTGCATGGCGCTCGTTTGTTGGTCATTGGTTTTGGGCTCTGAGGCGGTCGCAGACAAAAGAAATGAGGCATTTTCATGCGGCCATACGGCACCGGTCGGTGTCAGTCGGTCAGTCGGTCAGCTAGCCGGTGGGTGTCTATCTTTCCTACAGTACGGAGTACTACGGGGTATAGAACTCCATATTTTTAGGTGGTTGTTCTCCATACTATAGCTATCGTCTGATCATTTCTCTATTTCTGGGATCACCATGGAGCCTGGTTGGTGGACTGAGCTAACAATATATTCCCTCACTAGCTTGTGTATGTCGCTTGATATATATCCTTAACTATGTTAATATCAGAATACTTTATAATATCAAGTATACTCTACAAACTAGAACATTCAAACCATCTTGAAAATTATCTGCCACAATCACCAATTCCGATTCTATCAAAAAACCCGCCGGCCGATCCAGTCAGTCACCAGTCCAGATTTTTTCTAGAACCCGCGTCTACCCATCCACAGCCGTTCCACGGGTCAACACAGAGAGGGGACACGTTGTGGGGCAGTCGCCCTCGACCGTCGACTTTCCGAGACGTTTTGTTTTCCGGCCGTACCGTACCGTACTACTGGAGTAGTCGTATTAGGTAAGTCCTCTTACCACCTGGAGGTAACTTCCACACCGGGTAAAGTGGATAAGGGCGGGCCTCAGGATTAAACCTGCCAGGTACGTGTATCGTGTACCTGAATAGTGTGGTTCCGCGGGTGGATACAACTGTCGTCTGTATCCGTAGTCTGTACGGATTTGAGCTTCATGCTACGAACGGATATGGACAGTAAGAGGCATTATTGTTATTGGATGGGTAGCATCGTGAGGCAGTATAGGAGGCTGAATTAAGGATGGGATATAGACTTTCGCAGGTTGATGGCTGTCTTTCAGCCCTGCCACTTGTGTCATATGTTACGCAGTATGTAGATTGAAAGATTCTCTCTTTCTCTCTCTCTTTGTAAACCCCATCTAGTTAAGTAACTATTTGTCTTCCTTTCTCCAATCTGCGGAGGACGCACAGCTAGTCCAACGACCCCGGTCTCAATCCCTCTTGGCTGACGTTGTTACAGTGCGCCGTCTTGCCCGCCTGGGCAATGATAGCCCGCCACCGGCAACGGTGAGAATCCCCCAGAATTTCACTCGATCGAGATGGGGTCGTTGTGTGCACGGGCTGTTCCTTTGTTTAGGTCTGCCATTGATTCATCTAGTTGTTGAATAATGAGTGTAGTCAAGTGATAGGTGACTGGGAAGGACTAGGCCTCCGGGCAGACGGCACAGATCGTGTAGGGAGGAGGTAATTAAGCGGCCTGACCGGGCCAATCACGCGTCAGACAACGGGATCATGACCTATGGATTCCTATTCCTTTAGTAACCTCCTTCCAGGTAGGTCGTAGGGACCAGGTCGTGTAGAGAACAAGTTAAGTAATATTATGTAAAGTCAATCAGTGGAGAGCTATCTCTACCCTTGCGGTGCGAAAGCGAGACCTCGCTAGTAGGTAAGTTAGTAGCGAGTCGCTACGGGGGTGGTAGAGTCTAGACTTGTTTCTACTAGTGCTCTTTGATCTTGATAGATTAAGGTATGGTCGCATCTCCAACCGACCCCATATTACTACCCCTGCTAGGTGGTTGGCGATTGGCTTGGGGGGGAGGTATTGTACGGGTGTTGTACGGGTGTAATACGTATGATACGTCTGGTGATGCCGCCGAAAGCGCGGGCGCGTTGAGTAATTATCTCATTCTACTTTAGCTACACCGAGGTACTAACTAACTAACTACCAAGTAGGAAGTACACAGTACTATCCTTGTTTATTCCCAAAGCGACAAGCTATTCGAGGGAGGTAGATACCTATCTACGTAAGGATAAGTAATCCATAGCTTCAGCTATGGAGTACAGCATCCATACCTACCTCCACTACCAGCAAGACAACCGTATGCGGTGAGCTCTTTATTCTATTTTATTCAATTCTATTTTTTGTTTTATTCCTTCCAGAATAACTCCAGAATACCACCCACCCCAAACCAGACCGAACCTACGTTCTCCAAACTCAGTAAGAGGGTCTATTGCATCATACTTCCCCTGTCCTACAGGCCGGATCAGTCCGAACCCAATAGTGCCATGTGTCTGTAGATGCCATGAGACGAGTGCGGTGCCGTGCGACCGTGTGTCTCCCCGTGGAGAGAGTCTGGGGTTGGTATACTTGTTTACTACTAGTAGGACTTAGTACGGAGTACATGGGTAGTAGGTAGTAGGTAGTAGGTGATATCTACTAGGATGACAGGGTTCGATTGTGTTTTCACGGTGAGTGAGAGGATCTCTATAGGTTCAACCAATATATTTATCTAGGCTCAAGAGATGATATCGCCCCGGCAGGTTGTAGAGTGCATACAGTAGCCAGAATAATAAACATCAAAGTATATAGAATTACTGAATCAAAATAGAACAAAAGAAAGAATACAGAAGAAAAAGAAAAAATGGTAGGTATGCCGTTGCCCGCTCTCAGTCTTCCCCATTCCCATTCCATGCCATCATCCCCAGCCACCGATAGAACATTCATCGAGCGCATTCAACCCGATCGACACCATCAAAAGAACAAAGATGCATATCTAGGGTAAATACCACAAATCAGCTCTCGCATGCAGCAAGATCGAGTCAACGACACTTCGTCACCGCTAGGCAGTTATGTTATCGTTACTAAAATAGATCATTTAATGCTGTCGCCGTGTACGGCCCATCCCGTCCCCAACTAGGGTACCAGAGATTGGATGGAATCATCTAGGCACCGAGATATCTACGTAGGTATCTACGCCCGGCAGAAAATAGAGTGATCAGCACAGGCAGCCGGCAAACCAGCCAATCTCTGTAGTCTAGTAATGTGGTGGAAGACAAGCTTCTGCGTCTGCGCCTGAAGCTTGATACATAGTTAGACACTGCCACACAGGATGAACCCTGCAGATTGAATCTGACACCTCTATCCTTACTCCGTGGATGGGGGTGACTCTGTGGAAGATTGGTGTTGTCCACGCGAGACGTCAGGTGTAAGGAACTCGTGGTTGGACGAATAGATGGATAGATAGATGGATACTGAGTGGATGGTGGTGGATCAGGGTATACGTGGTGGTGGTGACTTGTTGTTGTCTCCATGCCTGTGCATGCATGGTGCATGGCTGTCCTGCGTGCATTTGCTTCTTTGTTCTGCTTTGCTTTGGTTTACTGTGATAGATAGATTACGATTTACTGGTGTTTATTGGTGGATACTGGGTAGGCGGAGGCCGACACCGGTGTCTACTACTATACTAGAATACATTTACTTACTTTGTTCCTTTAGTTGACGATGATGATGATAGTGCCGTCAGCGATCATCATGACACCGTACCAAGCGAAATACCTCATCCGTCAACAACGCCCGACATAAAGGAACCCGAAGGATGAACCCCTCCGATCATCCAGTTTAACTGAATTAGTCAATAGTGATGATGTACACTGCCTCCTCCTGACCGACAAACAAAATATCGCAACGTGGATACCCGGCACAAGAAAGAAAGGAAGGATACAGGAGCCGGTTGATCAGCGGGTGTATAGTCGGATTGAGCCCGAATTGGACTATACTAATGATTCGCGGACGTCGTCGGTCGGGGCATGATATCATGCGACGGTTAGCCGGGTTGGGTTGGATTGGATTGGGGGCGAAGGAGGGGGTGACGGGGAAATAGCGCGTGGGCGTGGGCGTGGGCGTGGGCAAGGGGGGCCGGGCGTGTTGTAGTTAGTGAGTGAGTGGGATTGCGGGATATCGGTGACCTAGATAATACATAAAAATATAACACGGGTAGAAATGATTATCTATGGGGTTTCTATTATGAGGATTAGGTTGTTATTGTTATTGTCATATCGGGTGTGTTCCGTGGACTACGGATGGATAGGTACTCCGTAGATGAGCGGCTTTTTGTCAGATGAGTGAGGCCGTCCTTGCCGAAGAGCTGGATAGTCAGTGTCAGGTCAGGGCAGTCTCGACGTGATTACTACGTAGTACTCCGTACTAGACTAAGGAGAGGTAGATAAATGATCAATAATAATACAGTAAATTATAGCTGCCGATTGAACTACTAGTCGGCGGATCCAAGACCACTTCCTCACCAGTCAAAGCGAGAATAATGACGCTGGTGGATTGGGGGAGAGGACCGGGCTCGCTCAGTTTCTCTGTCTCTCCACGAGACTAAGGTACCTCCGTGGGTTGGAAGAAGGAACTCAATCAGGGAAACGAGGTTGGGGATTGGCGTAGATTGAGTAAGGTGTGGACTGTGGAGAGCTGTTTCGGTCGGTTTGGTTGGTTGGCCGATCGACTCCGGGTTAGTCTTAGATTACGCGGTGGATATAAAAGAAGTGCGTGTGTATAACCTAACCTAAGGGTATCTCGACTACTTTGTAATGATAGCTAATAGATATGATAATAAGAATTGTCATGATAACAGCAACGACTAATCCCAACTCGGCCAATGACATAATGCCCTGACTCTGTACCTGATACGAGCACGGTATTCCGAATACCAGACCTCATCTCGATTAATTGATTCTAATAATACCTAATAAGGCTCACCTCGGCGACAGGACTAAATTGCATCGGAAGATTTACATGGGGGTGATTCCTGCACAGAATCACACATACAGGACAGGTACATCGACCGTCCTGTATAATCAGATGTCGCATGTCGCAGGTAGATTTCATCTCTGATGCCGAGGGTAGGGTATTACAGTAGGTAGAGGTACTGTCGAGGTGTGTTTATTTTGACTGCAGCCGGAAATGGCCCCAGTTTCGTTGCTCGGGACCCCTTGCGTCCCTGTCCGGCCGCGCTCGTGGCCCCAAGATCGGGTAGGACGGCCGCAAGAGGGTAAAATGCTCGTATGTATCTTGGTCCATCGCACCCTAAGAACCTGATCGATCATGGAAGAATGGATGGAATTTCCGTCGGGAATTTCTGCAATACCTTGTAACTGTTGTCTTGATGTATGCATTGGATATAGCATGTGTCTGGCCCTGAGATGATCTGGTCTATGGATTGGAAGGGTGCGGTGTTCTCTGCTGCTTCTCCTGCAAGGGAAACCTGCGTAATGATCATAATGCCCCCCTCATTATGGATCCCCCCACTGTCATGGCTGCACGATTCAGGAGATGATTCTGGTCTTGGGGTATGGATTGACGATGATGATAGTCTTCTTCTCTTGACCTATTCTAGTGACCGCCAGTGTGGGAGTTCCTATACTATGTAGTATGTACTCCATACTAAGTATTGATCAATACATCGTGATGATTGATGGATGGTAGATTACAATGTCACACTGGAAAATCGCGCATAGTCAGACTACCACTCGACACGGGATGAACCAGTGTAAGGAAAATTAACGGAGGCCACACCCGCACGCGGCTGCCATTACTTCAGTTAGTATTTACTTTACTTTACACTTACTACTGGACGGACAAGGCTTGGTAGAATTCCCTCCGGTGGAAAACTCCGTTGGCATCCGATTATCCTGGTATCTGGGCATTCATACCGGGATCGAAAGCAGAGGCGAATCTTCATGTTTTCATTGATGAGATTTTTGCCTTTTCTTTACTTTACTCTATTGCTCAGTTCTATAGTATAAACGTGGTCGAGATGAGAGAACCGACAACCGTGGTATCGTACAGTAATGACGACAAAGGTTAGGAGATTGAAGGCGACCGGAGGGGCGACTCGGCACGGGTCAGCCGGTTCGAGAGGGTACGGCTGGGTATGGAAATACAGTCGAGTCCATGAGAAGAAAGACAACGGACATGATGGCCAGAATGATTATGCGTTGAAAATAATAAAAATAATGTTAATAAAAATCAGAATTTTCAGAGTAACCACTATACTTCTTTAAGAGAAATGACCCACTTTTCCATGGAGGGAATGACCAGACAGGGTAAGAGAAAAAAGGAAAAAACCAAAAACAAAACAGGAAAAATAAATGAATAAAAAAAACAAAACCATGTCATCCATGGATGGGCAAAGGGAGAGCGTCCCAATAAGCGGGAAATGTGAGTGTACAAAAGGGAAAAGAAAGGGAGGGATCTTCCACAAGGGGAAACCAGAGGGGCGGATCATTCAGCAGCGTTACCGGACTGGGCCAGACAAGGGAGTTGTGGTGCTGCCTTTGGGTTCTGCTCCCGGCCGGTATTAACCCCATCATTTGGTTCAATACCTGTCCGGGAAATATTTATTATCCAGATTGAAAAAAAAAAAAATAAAAAAAAAAAAAACCATAATTTAAAATTAAAATAAAATTCAAATTCTTTTTTTCCCTCATAAAAAAAAAAAAAAAGGAAAAAAGTGGACACTCCCAAAAGGAAGGTGGCCCGTTAGATTGGAGCTTTCTACCAGACGTGTTTGTCCTTTATGATCTCTCTTAATTATTTCCCTCGCCTCCCTCTTCTTCTCTCCCCCCCCCAGTCCTGAATATTAAAGAGTACACTTTCCCTTCCTACCCCTCGTCGTTCTTTTTCCCCTCTTTCTCTTTCTCTTTCTTTCTTTTTATCATAGGAATTCCGACTCTTGCCATTCCCCGTCCATTCTCTTGTTTGCATCAGCTCATACTTTTGGGTCCTGAAGAAGGCTTGGTGAGCCGAAGCAATCAACAATGGCGGAGCGGAGAATCTCCTATGCTCCCGACGTGGAGAATGGTGAATCGCGTCCTGCTCCTGATGTGAACGACACTACTGGTATGGACGAGTATGGAGCCCTCAACCGTTACATCTCGACCGCCCGCGATGGTCGTCGTGGCTCGACCTCCAGTGCCGCTGCCCTGAGCGCCAAGGAGGAGAAGAAGCCGTGGTGGAAGTTCTGGGGTGGTAAGGAGGGCGGCAACGAGGATGGCTTCGTCATCCCTGACGAGTGGGTTGACACCGACATGCGTACCGGTCTCAGCTCCTCCGACATTGAGGGTCGTCGCAAGCGTACGGGCTGGAACGAGTTGACTACCGAGAAGACCAACTTCTTCATCCAGTTCATCGGTTATTTCCGTGGTCCTATTCTTTATGGTGAGTTTCCTACCACCCATTGGTGGTTGTCGAGGGAAGGAAAGAGGTCAATGGCTAATTGTGGTTGACTACAGTTATGGAACTTGCTGTTCTCCTGGCTGCTGGTCTGCGTGACTGGATTGATTTCGGTGTCATTATTGGTATTCTTATGCTTAACGCGGTTGTCGGTTGGTACCAGGAGAAGCAGGCCGCCGATGTCGTTGCCTCGCTCAAGGGTGATATTGCCATGAAGGCGGTTGTTATCCGTGACGGCCAGGAGCAGGAGATCCTTGCTCGTGAGCTCGTTGCCGGTGATATCGTATGTTTCCCCCTCATTCACCACACTCCATTCTTATCGCTAATAATATCTAGGTCGTCGTCGAGGAAGGTACCGTCGTTCCTGCTGATGTCCGTCTGATCTGCGACTACTCCAAGCCCGAGAACTTCGAGACCTACAAGGAGTACCTGATTACCGCCAACGATGATACCCTCAAGGAGAAGGATGACGAAGATGATGAGGATGGAGGCATTGAGGCTCGCGCCGGTGTCTCCCTCGTTGCCGTCGATCAGTCTGCCATCACTGGTGAATCTCTCGCTGTCGACAAGTACATGGCCGACACTTGCTACTACACCACTGGTTGCAAGCGCGGAAAGGCCTATGGTGTCGTCACTGCTCCCGCCCGTCAGTCCTTCGTCGGTAAGACCGCTGCCCTGGTGCAGGGTGCCCAGGACCAGGGTCACTTCAAGGCCGTCATGGACAACATTGGTACCTCTCTGCTGGTTCTCGTCATGTTCTGGATTCTCGCTGCCTGGATCGGTGGTTTCTACCGTCACCTGAAGATCGCCACCCCCGAGAACGAGGACAACAACCTGCTGCACTACACTCTGATTCTGCTCATCATCGGTGTCCCCGTCGGTCTGCCCGTTGTCACCACCACCACCCTGGCTGTTGGTGCCGCCTACCTCGCCGAGCAGAAGGCCATTGTCCAGAAGCTCACCGCCATCGAGTCCCTCGCCGGTGTCGATATCCTCTGCTCTGACAAGACCGGTACCCTCACCGCCAACCAGCTGTCCATCCGTGAGCCCTACGTCACTGAGGGTGTTGATATCAACTGGATGATGGCTGTCGCTGCCATTGCCTCCAACCACAACCTCAAGAACCTCGACCCCATCGACAAGGTCACCATCCTCACTCTCCGTCGTTACCCCAAGGCCCGCGAGATCCTCGCCCGCAACTGGATTACCGAGAAGTACACTCCTTTCGATCCCGTCTCCAAGCGTATTACCACCATCTGTACTTGCGACGGTGTCCGCTACACCTGCGCCAAGGGTGCCCCCAAGGCCATCCTCGCCATGTCCGAGTGCTCCGAGGAGGAGGCTCAGCTCTTCCGTGATAAGGCTACCGAGTTCGCTCGCCGTGGTTTCCGTTCCCTGGGTGTTGCCGTCATGAAGGAGGGCGAGCCCTGGCAATTGCTGGGCATGTACCCCATGTTCGACCCCCCCCGTGAGGATACCGCCCACACCATCGCCGAGGCCCAGCACCTGGGTCTGTCCGTCAAGATGTTGACTGGTGACGCCATCGCCATCGCCAAGGAGACCTGCAAGATGCTGGCCCTCAGCACCAAGGTCTACGACTCCGAGCGTCTGATCCACGGTGGTCTTGCCGGCTCCGCCCAGCACGACCTGGTCGAGAAGGCCGACGGTTTCGCCGAAGTGTTCCCCGAGCACAAGTACCAGGTCGTCGAGATGCTGCAGCAGCGTGGTCACTTGACTGCGATGACTGGTGACGGTGTCAACGATGCTCCCTCGCTCAAGAAGGCCGACTGCGGTATCGCCGTCGAGGGCTCCACCGAGGCCGCCCAGGCCGCCGCCGATATTGTCTTCCTTGCCCCCGGTCTGTCCACCATCGTCGATGCCATCAAGCTGGCCCGTCAGATCTTCCAGCGCATGAAGGCCTACATCCAGTACCGTATCGCCCTGTGTCTGCATCTCGAGATCTACCTGGTCACCTCGATGATCATCATCGACGAGACCATGCGTGCCGACCTCATCGTGTTCATTGCCCTCTTCGCTGATCTTGCCACCATCGCCGTCGCCTACGACAACGCGCACTTCGAAGCCCGCCCCGTCGAGTGGCAGCTGCCTAAGATCTGGGTCATCTCCGTCGTCCTCGGTATACTCCTGGCCGTCGCCACCTGGATCATCCGTGCTACTCTCTTCCTCTCCAACGGCGGTATCATCCAGAACTTCGGCTCTCCCCAGGAGATCCTCTTCCTTGAGGTTGCCCTGACCGAGAACTGGCTGATCTTCGTCACCCGTGGTGGCCGCACCTGGCCCTCGTGGCAGCTGGTCGGTGCGATCTTCGTCGTCGACGTGATCGCCACCCTGTTCTGTGTCTTCGGCTGGCTCTCCGGCGAGTACGTCCAGACCAGCCCCCCGTCCAGCGCCGAGTTCTCCATCAACGGCGACGTCGACATCGTCACCGTCGTTGTCATCTGGGCCTACTCCATCGGTGTCACGATCATCATCGCGGTCGTCTACTACGTGCTCAGCATCATCCCCGCTCTGGACACCCTCGGCCGCAAGAACCGCAGCCAGGCCGACACCAAGATCGAGAACCTGCTTGGCCATCTGTCCAAGCTGGCGATCGAGCACGAGGTCGATGCCAACACTGGCAAGTCCCGCTACACCCTGGGCGCCAAGGCTGACCCTGAGGAGGACGAGTAAACGCTTGTTACGCTCATTTCCTAATAATTTCCTCTACCGAACTAAACTGGATATCACTTTGCGCATACATGCATGAGCTGGTCGCTTACACTCCGACCAGCTTGCTACCCTTTTTAACAGTATTATAGACTTTTTTTCATTTCTTTTCCTTTCTTTTGCTCTAGCTTGATAGAGTCAAACTTTTTTCTTTTACATGTGTGTATGTCATTAATAGTGGTAAATTTAGTCAATCAATGGTTCAAAGAAAAAAATATCAAAAACAAAAAACACATTCACTTTATGAAAGTAAATCAGCTTCTACTGTATATTCTGAGTTTGTAGTTATTCAAAGATTGTCATTGTATTTTCTCCAGGTTCTTCTACACTACAGTTACACAGAGTATGGAGTACAGTATAGCATGACCAAAATCTCGGCACGATTTGCTCAGAAATCAAGACAGAAAGAAAGATGAACAGGGCGAGAGGGAAGGGGGGGCAGCAGCTCGCACTCACACAGTGGACACTGGACTCCCTCAGTCGAGCCACGAACGAACCCCTGAATTGATGAGCACCCAGACTAGCGACTAACCGACTAGATTGGATTTGATTTGGATCGGCCAGACGGATCCACTTCTTGGCTGGTTGGTTGTGTGTGCCTCGTTCCTGCGTCGGTCGGTCCACTTGTTGCTTACTTGGTTGGTTGGTTGGTTTGTCTCCACTTTATTTAGTTGCTGGAGCTGGAGCTGTAGCTGTAGGAGTAGGAGTAGGTAGGAGTGGTGAGGAGGAGGAAGAAGAGTGGGAGGAGGAAGGGGAATAATGGGGTAGTGGGTGGTGGGGTGGAAGTCGGTGGAATATTCATTCTCGCTCCTGCTGTGGGTAGGTCCACTGTGTGCTGTCTAGACTTTGTCTTGTTTTTTTGGGATTGAGCTCGTGGGTGGGTTGGAAGCCTGTTACTTAACTTAACTCGTGTGGACGTGGGTTGTGGGTGTGGGTATAGTGGGGAGTGTTTGTTGTTGTTTGTTGTTGCTGTTATCTATCACTTTGTATGGAGTATCTACGGAGTAGTAGGTAGTAGCTAATACCTTAGCTAATACCTTAGCTAACGAATAGCTAGTTGATGCTGTGCTATCTATCTGGAGCTGGCTAGTTTAGTGGTTCCTGGTTTTAACTTGTTACTAACTTACTTGGTGGGTTAGCTCCGTAGGAGGTGGGAGTAGAGGTGTTTAGTGGGTGGGTCTTTTTGATCACCTGAGTTGTGTGCTGATGGGGTTTAATCTATTAGCTGTGGTTGGTTGGTTGGTTTTGTAGTTTTCGCTGGTGGTGGTGGTGGTGGTTGTCTTTAACTGAGCGTTATTCTTACCTTACTTGGTAGTGGTAGTAAATACTGTTGTATTGTAGATTGTACAGATGATGAAGAGACGAAGACGTTGATTGAGTGATGTAGGCTCCTCGCCTAGCCTACGATTACGTCTATCACTGCTGTGGGGATGTCGGCTCGTGAGTCGCGTCGGTATACGGATACCGTGTAGGGATTTACTGCCGTTGATGACGACAGAGGTTGACTGAGGGGGTAGCTAGCTAGCTAGCATGTACTTACCTAGTTGGCTATAGCTAACTTTCTATACCCTACTGTAATCTGTACGCCCTGTCCTCGCTTGCTTCTGAGCTCTAACTTGCAGCTGGTTAGTCGTGCTACGTAGGTCTAAGCTTATACTAATATAGATAATGCATCGTGTAGGTGATGATGATTGCGTGCTATCTATGTCTTGAGTGTGGGGTGTAGTTGGGGTAAGTAGAGTGAGTTACTTACTGACTGGGGTGATAGGCTGGTGAGGTGAGTTGTTTGGCTTGGTAGGTTTTGTATTTTGTGGAGAGTGGAAGGGTATTATGCAGGTTGTGTGAAGTTATGCTGAGCGACTGTTGGCTGTCGCTGTGTCGTATGTTTTGATAAGAGGATAGCAATGGCAATGGCAATGGCGTTCATGTAGGATTGTATTGTCGTGAGAATTGACAATGAACATCTGAGATTAGGTGGTGTTGTTAGAGCTGTTGATTGATTTGATCTGTCTGTAGGTGTAGTTGTTGTATCTTTACTTGAGTTGCTGGCATCAAGAGTGTATCTTTCCTTGGTGAGATAGTTGGTAGATTTGATACGTTTAGCTGGTTGTTGATGTGTTTTTCTGAACTTACTACGTTTCAGGGATGCTCCTTATGGATGGGATTCCTTTGATCTGGAGATAATGCAGTAGAGGTCTGTAAAGTCTTCTTGGAGACGCGACTGTCATAGTTTCATCCCGTTTTATACGTCAATCTGGCCCTCATCCTCACAGGTGATGCTGATCAGGTCAGATGTCAGTATCTAATACCTAGCACTAGGTGCATGCTGTATCTGTTGTTGTAGGGAAGATTATATCAAACGATATGACGCATACTGCAGTAGTGGTATGTATGGTGGTGTCATTCTGATCTTGATATTTGCTTCCATGTCCATCCATCTCTGTTGGTTATAGAGGTGTGGTGTCATCTTGTGGGCTGTGAGATGCTCTATCCTCGAGGGATTTGCATGTCGATAGAGAGGTGTATTCTGATTGAAGCAGCGGAATTTATGTAGTAGATACTAGGAAATAGACAGTCCAGGGATACTGGTGTATACTTGACTCTAATATGAAGCTATGCTCTTTCATCTATCTGAACCTGTTAGTTGAATCATCACAAGATAAAGTAAAGAAAAGAAAGTTGAAGGAAGAAAATTTGAGTGACAATATTAACTTAGTATGATCCAGAGTCAGGTGAAGAAAGAAAGTGACACTATCAATCCTATCTGGCGTTGACAGTGATGGTGAGTACTCACCATCACCACAGCGATCACTTCACAACACCATCACTTCCATAACAACAATAATATTTCTAGAACAGGAGACGTGTTCAGTTTTTCTGTCTATATAAACAGGTCTGATTCCCATCGCATCCTACTTTTTTTCTCTTCCTCTACACATGTCTCCTTGCTTCTATCCTGATCTCCCTGGGCGAGGATAGTAAACCCATTACACTTCGTTCATATCATCTTCCTACACATTCCACATCGCATCCTATTTTTACACATTCCACATCGTTACAATCCTGAAAGACTCTTACGACCTTCGAAACAGAGACTGGTAAGCCTCAGATCTACATTCCGCATCTCCTACATCTACAAGAACTGACAGTGATGGATGCGACTAGATCTCCTCTTCAACCATCTACCCACGGAGCTACAAATCCCATTAGATCAAACAGCTCCATACAAGAAAGCAGGAAACAAACTCATACTGGCTGGGACTAAAGCATAGTGGATTCCACTGTTGTGACCAAACACGTCTCTCTGTTTATTGTTGTGGACGTGTTGCCCTCGGCGGTCATCGCCATGCCGATTCCTTCATGACAGTGTAGTCTACGTGACCAACACTACACTACACGTTGTTTATCTCTTTCTTCTGATTTCCTTCCTGTACTTCTTCATGTCACATCCTCTTTCGTGACATTGTGGTGAACCCTCATGCTTTCTTCTCAAACCAACCTTGAACACAGCATAATATGCTAGTCTTATCTTATCTACAAGATCTTTATCATCCTTCCTTCCTTTCCACCACCGTCTTTACTTTAAACATGCTTGTTGATTGTTCCCTCCCACCCTGATCAAAGACCATCACCAGGATATGAATCCATCCAAGAATCACATGATATCAAGTCCTCGATGGTCTAACGGTCATGATTTCCGCTTGTCATGGATTCGTCCTTACAAGCGCGGGAGACCTGGGTTCGACTCCCAGTCGGGGAGATTTCTTTTTTTTTTCTTACTTTTCTATTCATACACCTTTGATTTGTCTTTTGTCACACTGCATACAGGGCTACTTACGAAGGCCAAAGTGTCATATCTTTGCAGCCGAGTGGTAATTCCCTTCTTTCACTGCAGCTGTTCTCAATCATTTTCATGTTCGAAAGAGGAGGGTCCTCTTTACAACCGTTGCTTATCCCAATTCCGGGATTAAGCTACGCACCAAGTCCGCCGAGTCCAGTCATCCTGACTGGTGGTGCTCTCTTGACATACAGCAATCGCCATGTCGATGTCCATTGTCTTGTGCTAGATGAGTTCTAGTCGTCTACACTCGCTCCACTCTACTTTGTATTATGATTACTATTATCATGTTCCTTCGTTTGGAGGTATACAATGACACTGGACTGTCGAATCCAGAGGTCATGTTGGCCAAGCTTATGGACCACCAGCATTCTTGGGCCTTTGAAAAGGGATTGGACGGATCCACAAGACCATGTCTCCTGGGAATGCCCTCCTTGCTTGAAGGATAAGCACATTCATCGAGGATAGAACTTTTGGTTCGTCCGATTCAACCGTCCATCGACTACACATGATGGACCGCACTCACCACGCCCTGGCGAAGGTGTTCTTGTCGTCCCCGTTTGATGACCAGCTTTATCACTGCCAATCAGTCCCTTGATATACGATCGAGGGAAACAACCAACTATGCGGTTTCCCACAGAAGTCGCTCTGGTTCTTCATGGCATCTGTCTCCCGTATACGGTGTTATCACCGTCTCCTTGACATCTCTTCGGCTATAAATCGAAGAAGCGATGATAACAGCGAGATGCCGACCTGCATCCTGCGCCCTTCAACAAAACGCGCAGGCGTTGAATCAGTCATGGCTGGTGCGCCTTGTCAGGAAGGGCTGGGGGCTAGCGCAACCCTCTCCACCCAACGCTTGTCGGCGTTGCTAGGAATATCTCCTGCACGAGGGCAGCACTGGACAGTGTTCCAGAAAGGGTGCGGGGTGCTTTGCAGTTATGTGCTCTTGGTTATGATATAATCATGACAGGTCTGGCAAACCCGACAAATTTCTACATGGATGAAACTGTTTGGATGGATCATCGGCCCTTAATCTGGCAACCGCCCTTGTCGTCGGCCTGGAATATGGAATAGTCGGGATCACAATCAATAGCTCTGAGGCTGTCACTGCTGAATACTTCCAATGCCAATGGCATTTTGATGCTTCACGCTTCGAGTCACGGCTGCTTGTGTGCGAGCAGAAGAAAGGGAACATGCCACCATACAAATCTGGCTGCCTCAACTGTCTGGTTTTACTTCAGACATATGCTGGGCAATACCCTCAGTACATCTTTGGCTGTTGTATCGTTTGACGAACGACGTTTCCAGCGGACACACGACAAACAAGACTTGGATTCAATCCAATTCAAAGCCTCCAGGATGAGATTCCACTGGCGGATCTCCTGCCTATAATAAGCGCTGGTCGCCGTGCTTCTGGATGTCGGCTTTGAGTGTCGACTATTTAACTCATTGACTTGCCCTGAGTGCTTCGATCTTCCTGCTGCTATTCACCCTTGACGAAGGCACTGGTGCCAGATATGACATATTGCGTGTCTTGACTTCCGCTATCTGGTAGAATTGGCTTCAGCATTGGCCACTTTAATCGCCTGCATGCGACTCCTTCTATGATTGGGGGTCGGACGGTGCTCAATGCACAATGCAGCATTAGCCCATCGTTCCAATTACGCCCGCTTACGGCATGCTCTCGCTGGAGCTAGAGCTGCCACTGTCACTGCCAACCCAAGATAACGAAGAATACACGGTCGATTGAACAGACCTATCCATGTCTCGTCAAAATGTCAAGCCTGGTTGAAGTATTGGCTTCAACATTAGCCGATTCAGTCGCCTGCATGCGACTCCTTCTATGATTGGGGGTCGGACGGTGTTCAACGCGCGATACAGCACTGAGACATCGTTCTAGTTACGGAACTCGTTTGCGGTATTGCTGCTTCTGGCCCTGAGGCTGCTACTGCTGCACCCGGTAGTGCTCTGTGTCTGATGCTGCTGCTCCATATTGCATGATAATAAACCATCAGCCCTCGGTTCAGCAGACCTATCCATGTCTCGTCAAGCGACGGGCTGGATAGAGTCTGCCTTGGAGCAGCAGCATCGGGGCTGATATGTATACGAATTGAGACGAACATTCGAAACCAAAAAATGCCAACCAAGGGTGATTGTCAGGATATCTGTGATATCAAGTCACGCTGCATCGAATCATCGAATCGGTATCTTGATTAGTGGTGACAGATGTCATGCACTGTCCCACGATGATGAACGGCTAACGTCGATTCTACACACCGATCCATGTCTCGTCAAAGCGACGGGGCTGGGTCGGGTCTGCCTTGGAGCAGCAGCACAACGCTTCTGCGGCATTGCTGCTACTGATACTGCTGCTCCAAGGCCCAAGATAACGAAGAATACACGGTCGATTCAGCATACCTATTCATGTCTCATCAAACGACGGGTCTGGTTAGAGCCTGCCCTGGAGCAGCAGCATAACGCGTCTGCAGCATTGCTGCTACTGATACTGCTGCTCCAAGTCAACAGATGGATATTGTCAAGATATCAGTGCTGCGCCAAAATACTGAATCGATACCACGGTCAGTGGCATGACAGATGTCATCCGCACTTGATCGGAAAAATGGGCACATTTTTCATGCGTGACTTAGACAGCCTACCGTTTGACATTTTGTCATATTTGGGATGTTGGTCCCTGTTGCACATATGTGCTTATAGGGTCAGCATTGATGAACGATTTCTTTCACTTGGGACTCGAAGTCAAAGACGAAGCAATATTCGTCTTGACGCGAGTCCCGGAGAAGTGACAGTGGCTGGTGTGTCCCAACGATTTACGACCTGTCATTTCAACGGGGCAGCCCAATCGGTCTCATATTCGAAAATAGTCCTTGCTGACATCACTTCTCAGACCGAAGTCGGTGGATAAACTCTCCCTGCAGACATTCGGGGCTGTCGTTCTTTGGCCGATAGTTTGCCACATGACAGGATTGCACGGAGTCGGGGTGGTGCAACTGGTCCGGTTAAAGGCCACTGATTTATCTGGCCTTCTATCACAACTACGAGATTTGGTCTGTCGACGGGGTATAGCATTTATATACTAATTCTAGGATTAAACGACCACCGAGTCCGCAGGGTGCAATCTTCCTGACGCAGCGGTTTATGGCTATCTGTTGCTTAAACAGGGATACCGACAGTTATTATCTGTCGACAGAGTATACATTCTTACCCTAATACTGGAGTTAAACGACCGCCGAGTTCGCAGGGTGCAATCGTCCTCGCTGGTGATTGTACTCTAACAGAGAGCAATTGCCATGCCGATGTCAATTGTCTTGACAGAGACACCAGACAGCAAGTAATCTTGCACTGGTTTAAAGACAACACGATAAGCCACGCTTCCACGCATGTGGCGTGTTGTCTTTGGTGTGCAAGTAGATCCTTCAACGGAAGAAGACAGCAGCGATACAATCAATCGCCATGTCAATGTCAATCATATTGACAGCAACTGCAAACGACAGTTGGCATGTTCATTTTTGAACATGACAAACCACGTTTCCACGCATGTGGCTGCTGGCTTGGGAAGTTGAAAAAGCTAAGCAGGTAAAAACCCCAGCCGAATTTTTATCCGTGAGAATACTCAAACAAAGAGTCGATCAAACCCATATCGACGCCAAATGGCCGTGACAAGTCACCAGACAGCAATTTGTCACTGGCCAAAAGACAACACGTCAAGCAACGACTCGATGCATGTGGCGTGTTGTCTTTTGGCTAGTGTGATTATCCCATAGAATATGACAGCGATAATTCGATCATCTCATATCTCAATCAATAGTCTTGACATCAACTTCAAAACAAACGGCACTGGCCAAAGGCAACACGACAGACCACGCTTCTACGCATCTGGCGTGCTGCCTTGGCCAGCTGATAAGGCCAAGTATGTGACTGCAAATTAACGAATTCGAGCTTACATTCGGCTTCGAGCTTAAATGTGCGTGTTGTGCATGGCGAGTCCGTTATGCCAGCCAGACCGAGCGGTCAGTTCGGAGCTCGAAACGACCAGAGACATGAGAAATTACGCATCTTTAGTGCCAGGACTGTTTCCGCACGAGCTGGAATGTCGACACTTCTCAGACTGGACTCGGATGGCTAATCTCTACCTGGGGACAATTTGGCCGTTATGGACTTGAAGTCCGGCGGATTGTTTAACTACGGGCTGTGGAGATGACGACTTGTCTCTCTGATGATGAAAAACAGTCGTCAAGCCCAGACATGATTGGGTCGTTGAGGATAATCTGACGGATCTCGTGATCGAGATAAAAGGCCAAATAGATGCACAGGAATATCGGACTCGTTTGCTTTATAAGTTTCCTACCTGATTCGGCATGGCCTGCATGTATCTTTCCTTGAAGACTTGCTGTGATTCATTCTCTGCTAGATGGACTTCAAGAGTCAGAGGCAGTATTGGGTACGGAACAGAGAGACTGGATAAGCAGCTCTGACTCTTCATGGTCTTTGTCTCCCGTATACGGTGTTCTCCACCGTCCCTTGATATAGGACGATTTGGAAGAAACGCCAGGAGATCATCTTTGAATCGGGGCCCTAGCTACATCGAAGAGGCACGGTTGAATTCACCACCTTCCTAGGTCTCAACCGTGCTCGTCATGGGTTGTGCTGCTTTGGCAAGGTGAGGATAGTTCTGGGAATTGAGGAGGATATTTGATAGTCGGGGACAATGTCGGATATGACACTGGTTCCATCACGGTCATGTATTTAGTTTAGTGATCTAACAAATGTCGCACTGAATATAAGGTTGCTATGAAGCACAAACATGAGGTCTATCGTGTTTTCCACCTCCACCAAGCCATTATATGCCTGAGGTATCAAACCAGATGAAACTTCAACCTCGGAATATCTCAATAATATAACTGCATATGGATGAACGTGAAATCGAATCAATCCTAGATTCAACCCAGAATACCATGATAATAGATTAATCTAGAACGCGGGGACACAGGTCAATCATCTCCTGATCGGGAAATGCTTGTGATTCTCGCTCTCTCCGACTTTTTTCCCCAGATCGACTCCATCTTCTCTTCTCCTCCTTTTCTTTCTCTTCAGACTTCTTCTATCCTTCTCCAACTATACGATTGATCACCCCTCGATATATCTCACCGACATCACTACACCCCATCGAATATCAAGATGTATCTCCGGGGATTCTTGCCCCTCCTCCCCCTCCTCCTCCTCCCCATCGCCTCGGCACTCGGCACCTCCTGCATCAAAGTCGTCGCCGCCCTGGTGGGCCGCCCCAGCGACATCTTCTACCACTTCCAGCGCGAGATCTGCGACGTCGGATGTAAACCGACCATCCCGCACTGGGACCTCTGGGCCCGCAACAACACCTTCGTGCCCGCCGCCCGCGACATCGCCCGGCGGCTGCGCGCCCCGCAAGAAGAAGACGCGCTGATCCGCATGGGCGACGAGGCGGCCAACAGCATCAAGACGCGCTGCGGTCCGCTGCTGGGGGGCCGCGATATCTGCTCCGATGACGACACGCTCGCCGGGTTCGGGAACTGTTTCAAGAAGACCTTTTTGCGGTCGGCGCTGCTGAGCGTGCCGACTTTGTTGCCGATGGTGTCGGATGCGATTTGCAAGGAGCAGTATGAGTTTTTGAATCAGGATGAGCTGTGGCAGGAGATTATCCCGGGGAATATGCGGGAGTATGCGCAGGCTTGTCAGAATTTGGAGGATGGGATGCAGGTGCTGGATACGAATTGGGATGGGATGGGAGTGAACATTGGGGTTTGATTTGATTTTAGATTATGTTGATATGTTTCTTTTCTTGTAGCTTATCTAACTATGTAGACTTCTGTCTATATATCTATATAAAATGCTGTCTATAAGTTGTCTAGAAATGGATGTATAAATAAGGCAACCACGGAGATTATAAGGCCGACAGTTCCGACATCATCCATGCTTACTTTCTCCTCATCTCACTTTCTCATCTTCTCTCTATCTTTCCCATCTTTTCCCCCTTCTCTTCTCCCTACTCTCTCTTCATTTCACTATTCTTCATTCCTTATTCTCTCATCAATCGTCCCTCTCCTTCCTATCTACCAGTACCACCTATCAATTGAGCCATGCCCCCTCCCTGATCCGGCTATGGCGTCACTCTCGTGGGCCCTTCGCGCCCTGCGATCTCCCACCGTCACACCCTCACGCTCTCTCGTACGCCCTCTCGCACCATCTATCTTCCCTCCGTGTCGACATCTCTCTCCCCGCCGGTTCGTCCATCCCGGCAGATTCCAACCCTTCGTCCCCCCCTCCCCCAGCTCCCTCGGCCGACCCGTCCCCGCCAAGAGCTATACCCGCACCCGGAGATGGCTGCGCCGTCTGTTCTACCTGTCCCTCGCCACGGGCACCATCTACCTGGTCGACACCCACTTCTACGCCGCGGCGGTCACCCGCACCGTGCGCACCTTTGCGATGGGCATCTTCGTCGCCCTTGACTATAAGATCAACTTCCGCCCCGAGCCCCCGCTGGCCAGCTCCATCAATGCCCTGCACACGCGCAACGCCGAGCGGCTGTCGGACCTGCTGCGTCAGAATGGCGGACTCTACTTGAAGATCGGTCAGGCCATTGCCATGCAATCCGCCATCCTTCCCCCCGAGTTCCAGCGCATGTTCGCCCGCATGTTCGACGATGCCCCGCAGAACGACTGGAAGGACGTCGAGGCCGTCATCCGCGAGGACTTTGGCCGCTCCGCCGAGGAAGTCTTCGGCGTCTCCTTCCACGGCGACCCAGACAAAGGAGTCATGGAGCGGCGCGCCCGCGCCAGCGCCAGCGTCGCCCAGGTGCACTGGGCGCGCCTCCCCGACGGCCGTGAGGTCGCCATCAAGATCCAAAAGCGCGAGATCGCCAAGCAGCTGGAGTGGGATCTCTGGGCCTTCAAGGTCGTCACCTGGATCTACAGCCGCATCTTCGACATCCCCTTCTACAGCCTCGTCCCCTACGTCAGCGAGCGCCTCTCCCTCGAGACCGACTTTGAGAACGAGGCCGACAACTCCGAGACCATGGCCCGCCTCGTCGCCGGCGAGCCCCGCCTCCGCGGCCGCGTCTACATCCCGAATGTCTACCGCGAGCTCAGCTCCAAGCGCGTCATGACCGCCGAGTGGATCGAGGGCGTCCGCCTCTGGGACAAGGACGCCCTCACGCGGTCCTGGCGCGGCGGCTGGCACCGCGGCAGCCCAGGCTGCGGCGGCACGCCCCTCGACGATTCCCCCCCACCCACCACACTCAACTCCAACGCCGCTCAAAACGACCGCACCCAGCTCAAACCCGACCGCGACGCCTGGCGAGGCCCCTCCCGCCGCGGCGGCCTGGGCGTATCCCTCAAAGACGTCATGACAACAATGGTCGACCTCTTCTCCGCCCAGATGTTCCTCTGGGGCATCGTGCACTGCGACCCCCACCCAGGCAACATCTTCGTCCGCCGCCAACCCTCAGGCCGCGCGGAGCTCGTCCTCATCGACCACGGCCTCTACATCCACATGGACACCCCCTTCCGCCACCAATACGCCCGCTTCTGGAAAGCCCTCCTCACCTTCGACAACAAGACCCTCAACGAAATCGTCCAACAATGGGGCGTCACAAACCCCGACATCTTCGCCTCCGCAACCCTCATGCGCCCCTACCGCGGCGGCGACCTCTCCACAGCTCAACACTTCGAGAACCTCTCCCAACACGACCACGCCCGCCGCCACTACGAAATGCAACAAGCCGCCCGCCGCTCCATCCGCCAAATCCTCGGCGACGAGTCCAAGTGGCCCCACGCCCTGATCTTCATCGGCCGCAACCTGCGCATCGTCCAAGCCAACAACCAATTCCTAGGCTCCCCCGTCAACCGCGTCAAAATAACAGGCACATGGGCGAGTCGCGCGCTGGTCGAAAGCCCGGACCTGCCCACCGGGGAGAAAATGCGGAACTTCGCCCGCCATATCCTGTTCAAGGTGGTGCTGTTCTCGTCGGACTTGTTCTTCTGGTTCACGAAGATAAGGCAGTTTTTGCATTTGGGGGGCGGCATGGAGGATAGTCTTGAGGAGCAGATGAGGGGCATGGCGAAGGATATGGGGGTTGAGTTGACGCAGAATGTTTTTGAGGGGTGATTCATCACCTTTTTACTTCTTTATTGATGATTTCTTTTTTTTATCTTGATTTTGAGGATGATGGGTTTTTTATCCCTTTGGATTTGGATGATGACGATGATTGATTATAGATGTATCTATAACTATGTACACATCTCTGCTCTAGTAGATAGGTAATGTAATAGAATCTTAGATTCATAGCCTACCCCCATTTTAGAAAAAAAGAGCTTACATGAGCCGTCTACACAGATAAGATAGGTAAAGTAAGTAAGTAGTGAATGAGATTATATAAACTACATGACTCGTTTGCTCATGGCACATAGAACAGAACACAACCTATCTACCCCTTCACAGTGCATGCATACACACACATATGACTACTTCCTCCTATCCCAGAGATAAGCTAGTCATACTCGGAATACCCCACAGGCCGCCACTCCTGTCCCGGATAAGCCGTACTCGACATCCTGATCTCGTCGCCCTGGTCGCCGTCGATCCGCACCGGTAACTCGACGGGTCCCCGCGAGCGCGTGACAATTGGGATGTGGCCGCGGGTGGGGTGGACGGTGTCTAGTTCTGCGGGGCGGGTGGTGTCTCGTTCTGCGGGGTGAGCGGCGTCTAGTTCTGCGGGTTGGGCGGCGTCTAGCTCTGCGGGGAGCTCACTGGGTGGTGGTGGTGCGCACCGGGGGATTTCGATTTCCTCTTCGAGGGTGTATCGGATGCTGGCCTTTTCATCGACGGCGCTGTAGTTGCTGTAGTCGTCGACTTCATCGGCTTCCTTTTGCTGGTAGTATTCTTGTTGCGGCCGTGTGAGGTGATGGTAGTGCGCGATGACGTCTTCTTCGTAGGTGGGGAGGCGCTCGTCTGGGCCTGGGGGTTCTTGTTCTTCCGCGAGCACTTGTCGTGCTGCTTGGTAGGGGGTGAGGCGGCGGTGGTCGCCGGTTGTGCGACGGCGGCGCGGGGCGATTGACATGTCATCGTTGTTGATGGTGGTGGTGGTGTTGGTGTCGTCGTCGTCGACGCCTGGGATGGTCAGGAGCCAGGGTCGCTCTTGGTCGCCAACGCGGCTGACGCGCTTGCCCTTGTCCATTTGGTCGAAGGTGCCGAGACGGTAAGCTGGGTCGGAGAAGTCGGCGCTGGGGATCTGGCGCTCTTCGGGGCGCGGCGCGAAGGCCTTGGGAGAGCGCGAGCGGAGGTGGAGGTCTTGCGCGTAGGTCCGCTCGTCGCGACCGCGCGGGTGGCGGCCGCGAGGGAGCGGGATCTCGTCTGAGGGGGAGAAGGTGAGTGCCCGGGTGGTGGGGCTGAGGGGGTAGCGCCAGTGCGGGGCGGGGGCGGGGGTATAGGTTTGGGTGCGCTGGTGGGAGGATAGGTGCGGCGGGCGCTGGGGGAGGCGGACGGGGTAGGAGCCTGTCGAGGCGTGGTGTCGTAGCGGGAAGGGCGTCTCCACGATTGAGGATGAGGAGAGGCTTCCGGCCGTGGTGGCACTGGCGGCGGCGGGGGCAGTAGCAGCAGTAGCGGGAGGGGGTGGGAAGGCCGCCGCGAACAGGAGATCCCCTGACGAGCCGGACCCTGACCCTGACCCCCATCCTGACAGCGATCCCGACCCGGAGCCGGACCCCCAGCCGCCAGACGACGCCGTGCCGGTCCGGGTGCCGGTCAGCGGGCCCGCCGTGGACTCGCGCGCGGACCCCGACCGTGACACGGAGGAGACAGACCCCGAGGACGTCGAGGGGATGCGGTGCACCCCGCCGACACCGCGCTGGACATTTTCCGACGAGATCAGGCGGGCGATGGCATCGTCTGTTTGTCGGTAGTCGCGGAAGCGGGAAAAGGATTCGGGGTCGAAGAAGCCGTCGGCGCTCGCGGCCGACAACGGTGGGGGGCGGAGGGGCGGGGAGAGGGAGTCTTGGGAGATGGCGATGTCGGAGTGAGGACGGGGATTGAGATCGACGGCCGAGGGGAAGCGTGAGAAGGAGAGACTGGCCGTCCGGGTTTCGCTGGGGTTGGCTGTGAGGGGACGCAGGTGGGAATCGTCGCCGGGGGAGTCCCCGGGCGTGGTGGCGGAGTCAGGATTGGCGCCCAGGGATGCGCCCGGCGAGGTTGAGCGGGGACGACTGAAGAAAGCCTGAAGGATTAGTTTGATTTCCCCTTTGTTTATCTCCAATTTTTCTGATGTCCCCGTTCTTTGTGTAAGAATAGCAACCACAGACTGTGCTTTAGGAAGGACTCACTCCCAGACGGTTCCTGGTCTTCTTCTTCCCCCCTGTGGAGGAAGTCTCGTGGGGGCTGCTCATCGAGGATGATGGGGAGCAGGGAGCTGGGTATAGGGAGTAATGAGATAGAGGGAGGACCTCGAATGGAGGAACCCCATGATAGAATCATGGAAGGATGGGAGAGAGGTAGGATGAAGAGAGAGAGAGAGAAGAAGAAGAAGAAGAAGAGAGGAAAGAAGAGGTGAAGAAGTGAGAGAAGAAAGAGTGAGGGGAACGAGAAGCCTGAGGATCATCCCGTTCGCTGCCTCGACTCAGCCTCAATCCAGCTCAGGCACCAATCAGCGCCGACCTCGGAATTCTCTGCCGCTTTAATTATATCGAGACATCTCTAAGCGCCCTGGTATCAAGAACAAGATTCCTGGTTTCCCAAACGTATCAACATGAACCTAGAACAGAAACAAACGCCAATCATAATAGAAAGTAGGATAACATAGGATAGAACATATAGAGAGAAAGGAGAGAGAGAGAGAGAGTTATTGCTCCGCCCCATTCCCCTTGAGCTTGCTGCGGCCCCGCGCAAATAATCCCTTGGCCGTTTGCCCTGCCCGTCCTCCCAACACCCCTGCCGTGTGGAGCAACTCTTTGCCGCGTTGCTCCACCTGCTGCTTGTTCAGTATTGGGCCCGAGGGCCGTCGCGCGTGGCCCGACCCGCCCGGGCTGCCGTCCCCGTGCGCGCCGAAGGGCCCGCTCAGCGACGGCAGTTTCGGGAACTTGCCCCGCGACACCACCACCTTGGGCTCCCCCGTCGACTGCTTCCGGGACTGTGCCACCACGTCCTGGTGCTCCGGGTGCGCCTGCACTACCACCTGGATCCACCGGTTCAGCCCCGTGTCGATCGACCCGAACTGTGTCCGTGTCTGGTGGAACGCCCGCACCCGATCCTCCGACCGCGGCATGTTGAGAATATCCCGGAACCCTAGTAGACTCGGCTCCAGCGAGGGGGATTCGGTCGGAGCGGACACCGCCGGGGGCACGTCCGCCACCGGCTCCGCGTCCACCGGCCCCGCGTCCGCCGGCGGCGGATGAACCATCTCCGGCGGTCGCTCAAAGCCGATGCTGCTGGCGTCCGTCGCCGAAGGTGGGATGATGGTGAGCTTGGGTTTCTCCACGGGCGGACGCTGCTCCTCCGCCTCAGTAGGGGGGGGAGTGGCTGCGGCAGCGGGCGGCGGCGGGCTGTCGTCTGCCGGGCCCGCAGGAAACTGTCCCGGCATGGGCCCTATGGGAGGCGATAGGGCGTCCACCGCCGGAGGGGAGTCCACTGCCGGAGGGGCCTCCTCACCAGATGACGTCGACTCCCAGGAGAACCGCCGCGCCAGCCGCGGCCGGGACTCTTCGGGCGCGCCAGACGGGGCGGGCGGGACGGGTGCGGCGCCCGAGTCAGTCGGCCGCGAGTCCTCAGGACTGGTGGGGAGGCCCTCCGTCCAGTACCGCTCATACTCGCTGGGGATGAGACTGTCCGGCGGGCTGTCCAGCTGATGGTCTGGCTGATTGTCCGGCCGGCCGGTCTGCGGCCGCGACTGCGGGTCGTCGGATGGGGTGTTCTCGCGGCTCAAAGACTGTATGATCTCCTGGTGGAGCCGGTCGTTTCGTGCGTCCTGGGGCGAGGTCTCGGTGCTGCTGCTGGGGACGATGATCGGCACCTCCGGAGTTGAGTTGTGCTGGTTGGTGGCTACGCTACCGATGTTGAGCGGCGCCGGTCGGTCTTTCTCCGCCAGCGGGGACGAGGTCGACTCGACAATCGCGGGGTGTTGCGGCGCCGCGGGGTCCAGAGGCGAGCCGAACGGGGTGCTTGGGGTCATTTCGGCGGCGGCTGGCTGGGCCGGGGTGTCGGTGGTGGTGATCATGGGCATCCGCGACGGACTGTTCCCCGGGCTAGGAACGCTCAGGTCCCGACGATGGCCCGGTTTGAACCCCGGGACAGGCTCCGTGGGTGTGGACAGGCCCTCGCCGGGTTCCTCGGCGATGGTGGGGGTCCGGGTGTCGCTCGTGGTGCGGGGAGGCATGATGGGACTGATCGCCGACGTGCTGGCGCTGTTAGACCGCGTCATGCTCTCCACCGCGGTGCTGGGGGTCTCGACGTCGAACGCTTGATGAACGACGGAGCGAAATCCCAGCGAGGGATTATGGTGCAGCGCGCTCTGCTGCGATTCTTCGGGGCGGGGGCGGGGGGTGGGACGGGGGCTGGCGCGGGGGCCGGCTTGCTCATGAAATCTGACCCAAAGCCCGACAGACGTTTGACGTCGGGCAGACCTAGGATGGGTGTGGTTTGACTCTGCAGCGGGGTGGGGGACGGCCCTGTGGCAGGGTCCTGGGGGTGAAGGCGGGTGGGATCGTCACCACTGGCGCCCGGGCCCGGCGGGAGGTTGGTGCTCGACCTGGGGCCCGTCGCGGACAGACCCACATCCGCAGATGAACTCTCCGCCGACCCTGCTGGCCCCTCGCGCATCCGCTTGTAGATATCAACGGGACGCACGATCGGGGTCGTGGGCGACGTATCGCCGGGTCTCCCGGGTGACTGACCGTGACCGGTACCGTCGTGTCCGGGGATGGCCTGGTCCCTGGACTGGGCGTGGTTCACATTGTTGGAGTGTGAGGGTAGGGGGGGGATATCGTCCTCTTCTTCCTCCTCATCGTCGTCCCCCCAGTCGTTGCCATCGTAGGAGTACTGCTTCGCTTCGACCCATCGTTTGGTCTTGGCCCGGTTCACATTGGTTCGAAAGGCAATCGGCGTGTCGCCACCGCTGTAAGGAGAGGCGGGGGAGTTGGAGTGGTTAGTGGAGCTAGAGTAGGACGCCGGTCAGTGTCTGTGCTTTTCGGGGTCGCTGGAGGGTAGGTAGGAACATACAGTGGTTGATACGGTTGTTTCCAATTATGCGCCATGACGGGGACAAACTCCTGACCGCATCAAGAGTTGAAGCGGCATAGGAGAGCGCCAAGCGAGAAGACGATCTATCGGATCGATGGAGAGGAGCAGAAACAAACCGAGTGACGCTGACGGTGGCGGCGGCGGGCGGTGTTTCACAGAGATGACGTTTCAGGGGGAGGAGATTGACGTGGCCGGATTGAGAGAGATGGGTGGTCGAGGAAGGAAGTCGAGGAGGACCCAAAATTGCAAAGAGAACCGTGACAAAGAAAGAAAGAGGACTGGTCGGACAGATTAGCGAGGTAGTGGCGGCAAGTTCGGTCGAGATGAAGATGAAGCTGAAGATAGATCGAGATCACGATCAAGGACCAAATAGGAGGCCTTCTATTTAAGGCAGGTGGCTGCCTGAGGGGAAAGACCGTGCATTATTCGACCTGCATAACAGGTGGCTGGTGGCTGGTAAGGTGGCGTCTTGTGCATCACGTGTGTGACTGCGCTATTCCCGAATCGGACGGCTTCATTATCGTCCATCCCGAACGCAGCAGAAGAAAACACCGACGTAAGAACGGCTGCATCGATCTCTCTCTGCTCATCGTTGTCTGTGATGGCCTGGATTTGTGTCTAATTCTGTGGATTCTCTCTTGGTCACGATCTGACTGTGTTTCTTCTCACTCGTTTGACTATCTGCCTTTCTCGCCCCCATCCACGAAACCAGACACGTTTCCCGGTTGCCTGCCTCCTTATCTACGATTAGATCCACCTCGACATAGCGCTCCGATCGAGACACGCCACGACTCGAATTACCTTTTTGAATTACTTTTCTAAATTACAACGTCTATCCTTCACGATCCAACCGCCGACAAGATGACCGGTCCCTCCATACAAGATCGCACCAGCGAGTTCAACTCCATCCTGGGCCAGGCCCAGAAGCGCCTCACCACCAACAAAGTCGGAGCTCAACGGCAGGCTCTCCTGTCCGATGCACAGAGACGGCAGACTAATGGGTTTGCCGAGCCGGGAGTACCGGGGGAGAAGAGGAGGTCGGAGTTTGCCCGCCGCGCGGTGGAGATCGGGCGGGGGATAACGGGGACGACGGCCAAATTGCAACGGTTGGCGGAATGTGAGTGACAGAAGCTCTTTCAGTTGGAGAATGGCGGGGCGGGTTGGCTAACGGGATTAAATCAACAGTGGCAAAGCGGAAAACTCTCTTTGACGACAGACCGGTGGAGATCTCCGAGTTGACCTATGTCATCAAGCACGACCTGGCATCGCTCAACCAGCACATCGCCTCGCTGCAGGCCTTCACGCAATCCCAACATCCCAAGGCCAGCCGATCCAAGGCCGATCAAGAAGGGGAGCACAATGATAATGTAGGACGGATTGAAACAAGAACTTTGGGGCCATCGACGCTAACGGATCCATTTAGGTGGTGGTCATGCTGCAAGGCAAACTAGCTGACGTCGGCGCCAACTTTAAAGAAGTCCTGGAAGTGCGCACCAAGAATATCCAGGCGTCGCGATCGCGCACGGAGAACTTCGTCTCGTCCGTCTCGTCCAAATCCCAGAGCGCCCTCGACACGCAGCGCTCGGACTCCCCGCTGTACAACACCTCGGGCCGCCGGACGCCGCAGCCCGGCGGCGCGTCGGACCTGCTCACGCTGGAACCGTCGAATCCCTCGCCGCTGGGCCGCCCGAACATGCACTCAGACCAGCAACTGCTGGTGATGGAAGAGGCACAGACGAACAACACGTACATCCAAGCGCGCGGCGAAGCCATCGACGCAATCGAGCGCACCATCAGCGAGCTAGGCGGCATCTTCGGCCAGCTGGCGCAGATGGTCAGCGAGCAGTCGGAGATGATCCAGCGCATCGACGCCAACACGGATGACGTGGTCGACAACGTGCAGGGCGCCCAACGCGAGCTGATGAAATACTGGGGACGCGTGCAGGGGAATCGGTGGTTGATAGCGAAGATGTTCGGTGTTTTGATGGTATGTCACTCTTTATTTCTGACCCATTCAACTCATACTAACGATTTTAGATCTTTTTCCTTCTTTGGGTGTTGATATCAGGATAGAAACGCCTTTATCCTTGACCCACTTACTAATGTAATAATATCTTCTATTCACCTTGGGGCCGAGTCCGCTGCGCTGGACGAGCCTCAGCATTGCCACATTACCTGTCTGTCTCTATCTTACCTCTATCCCTGCCTATTTCTCCCTCTTGGCTGGGTAGACAAATCGCTCTATCTTTCACCCCCCATCTACCTCCACCTCTCGCTTGACGGTAATTGATTCATTGATTAACCGATTCCTTATGTCCTATGTGTCACCTACCTTACCCATCAGCTGGGATTTTTCATGTCTGGATATTGTAGTAAATATCTTACTTCGCTTTACTTTTTCCCTGTTATTTTTCTTTATCTCTTTTCAAAGTTGCCTTGTCTATCCTACCCTATTCTATAGACCAATGTTGATACCTGGGGTCTAATTTACTTGATCTTATATATATAAAAAATATACAAATAATATTCATCTCCTCGTAGGACCATAATATATATATATTTTAGACCCCCCAACAAAATTAATATAAAAATAAGTAAATCAAGAAACCACATCCACACAAAAAACACACCCCAACCGCACCCCAGACCCATGCAAAATATGCACGCTCTCCTCACAATCATGCGGAATCACCCCCCTCCGCACCATCTCCTTCTGCGCCGCCCCGAACCACACACTCTGCAGATCTGGTAGTGCGAGCGATAGCCTCTCGCGTCTGCCAGCGCGGCTCTGGCCACTCGGGGACGATGGATTGGGAGGAAGTGTAGGAGACGACAGCGCGACAAACTCAGCCCAGTCGTCGCGCATGCGCCAGAGGAATTCACGGCGGGGGGTCCAGCTGGATGAGGGGATGGAGATCGTGGAAGAGTGTTTGAGTTTTGTGGGGTGGTGGTGGTGGGATGATAGGGCTGATACTGCTGTTGCGATTGGGGAGGATAGGGAAGGGGACGGGAATGAGAATGAGAATGATGAGGCTGAGGGGGATGAGGATTGGTATGTGCGGTGGTGGTGGGGAGGAGGGGTCGTGTTGTCGGTTGTGGCTGCTCTGAAGAGGTCGAGGAGGCGCTCGAGGGTGGATGTTGTGAGCAGGAGACTGAGCCAGTTGTTGACGGAGGGGGAGGCGATGTCGGGGGCCATGAGACGGCGGGCGGAGGCGCAGAGGAGGGTCATGGTGTGGTGGGTTGTGAGGAGGGTTTGGGTATCCGTGAAGGGGGGCTGTTGGAGGATGGACTGCTGGGTTTTTATGATTCGGGGGGTGATCGTAGTGGCGTTGTTTGCTGCGGAGGCGGTGGATTCGAGGAAGAAGGCCAGATGGGTGCTTTTTGAGGTCAGTTGATGGAGCCATTGTTGATTTGATAGAGGGAAAGAAGTAGATACGTACATTGGAGCAAGAAGACGAGCCTGGAGCATCCCTACTCCCCGACTATACACGAGATCTTTCTCCGTTTTGGACGACGACCAGACCAGCTGCACGTCGGGATCAGTCTGGAGATGCTGCTGGACGACATGGTCCGCGAGGTAGTAGGACAGCCGGATGCAGGTCGTCCAGCATCGGGTGAGGTCAGCCAGGTATCCGAATGTATAGTCGACCCGGTCGTCAGGGGCGTCTCCATCGTTCGCGTACGTGGGCGGGGGCGGGGGAAACAGATCTGCGATGAAGGTCAGGTCGTCTCCTGGGGAGACGCCCATGGGGTTGACGACGTGGTGGTAGTGGCGTCGACGGCGGTCGAGCCATGCTTGGGCGATGGCGCATTCCCGTTTGCCGACTCGCCTGGAAAGGAGGCGACTGGTTAAGAGGAGATTGTAGATTGTGAGCAGATCGCAGTGGGATGTGATCTCGATCAGGACGCTATCGGGCAGCCGCTCCCAGATGGACTGCTGCTGGTGGTTGTCGGGTTGATGTCTGCGATGTCAGCCGGTTAGGGATGCGATGCGCGAGGGTGGTGATGGTATCAACCTACAAAGTCAACCTCCTCTGTCGCTTTCCATACTTTTTGACCCGATGGATCGCGTCGCGGAAGCGCCCGATAACATGCAGTCCCATGATTCTGGCATGATCTTCGTGGGATGGTAAGATGACTGCTTTGTGGCTCGTGTTGGCAGCTGTCTTTGATCAACTGATGTCTCAGAGACAATCCGCGATTATTCAGCAGCGCCGGACCCTGGCCGATATGAGTTGGATTAAAGAAGCGACGACCCACGGCTGGTTGGTCGAATGAGGTGGATGTGGGTGGATGGATTCATTTGTTCGAAACGGCTGGATCCGAAGATGCTGTCATTGTCATCTAAACGCCACCCAGCAAGATTTGCTGTGTTCTAGCTAGGTCTGCATCGCCATTTGCAAGAACAATATTGTGCCTGTTATAGGTGGTTATAGCTGCGGATTTCTGCTTCAATATACTCCCTGTCAATGGAATGATGGAGTGACAGTTCATCTATGTAAAAGATCGTGTAGATATAAATAGAAATATGTGGGGCCGATCTTGTTGAATCAGCCCTGCGCTGTGCACTGGCTGTCTCCACTATCGATATGCGTGTCTGCTTAACTGGTCTTTTAGGGCAGACATTCTTGTTTTGTCGGATGTAATCATGGCTGGTTATGGAAATACATGTCGGGATATATTCATATCTAGCCTGACCAAAACACGATTTGATATTTTGGTGGATGGCTGTCAGTACGTCATAGTATGCTGCAGTCGAATATATATAACCGAACTCGACATATCTTACTGCAACATCACCAATCCAAAGAACTCCCCGCAGAAGAGCAATCTAAGCTCCGACAGAATTCTAGCTCCTCCTCCACTTTATCAGTAGCAACATGCTCAGGCACAGCCGGCCAGATTTCCTTCCCTGCCTTCTCTTCCTCCTGTCGATGCTCGAAGAGCAACTTCCTCACCACTTGCTGGAAGTATAGCGGTCCCTGTATGGGTGTTAGATGTAGGATATAGGAGACTGGAAAAAACAACTAAGGGAAGAAAAGTAAATGTATAATTCACCTTCTCCGCCTGAGGATGTAACACCCCATTAGTGAAAATGCCCGCGTTGAGGTTCATCTGCGCCGCATTGCACAGATCCTTGTCCTCGCGCAGGACCTGCTTGAATAGCTCAGAAATACTGGTAAAGGCCTCATCAGAGGCGCCCTTATATCGGAATACCTCATACTCCATTTTCGTTCGGGAGGACGAGACGGGGACGCAGCGCATCAGGTAGAAGAAGGTAGATCTGTATCCGCTTAGCACACACTCTTCTAAATAACCCGGGAGGAGAGAGGAAGAGACAGACGAGATGGTGATCGACGCGTTCGGAAAGTAAAACGAACTGTTAATGTCGAAATCCGACGTTTGCTCCTTGTTGGTGTTGAAGTGCTGAATGAGTCCCCGGTCCGTGACGACGTAGTATTTGCTCAGGTCGGAAAGGCCGTTGATGGCGGGATGACCGGTGGGACAGTGATAGCACTGTATTATCAAATTTGATCAGTCATTGGAAGAGAGAGAGGGTAGCACCAGCATACCTCATTATAGTTATCTGCCAGAGTCTTCCAGTTATAATCCCCCACCATCTCCCACTGATGATCAAAGTGGTACTCAGACAGATCGAAGTGCTGGAGTCGGGGCTGCTCGTCCACGCCCACAAAGTCCTCTCCCCATGGCGTGGTAGGCATAGGGGATGCCTCTAAATTGACCCAGACGAAGCCAAGCCGATCCACATGGATGTGGATGGGGAAAAGGCCGTTGATAGTCTTGTCAAACCCCTCCAAATTCTGGTACTTGGGTGCTTTGGCCAGCTGTCCGTCGAGACCGTACGACCATCCTGCTTCTGTTAGCCCTAATCACCAGATACGAACATCGTTTCCAAACAGCCAAATAGGAACACATACCATGGTACTTGCACGCGATGATACGGGCCGTTCCGCAACCCGCCTCCATAACGGGATACGCACGATGGCGACAGACGTTGTGAAACGCGCGCAGACAGCCTTTGCGATCCTTGATGACGAATACGCTGTACCCGGCGATGTCATATTTGACGTATTCGCCTACGTTCTGGAACCGGACTTGGTGGGTGATGACTATCCATTTTTTGGAGAAGATGGCGCGGCGCTCGAGAGAGAAGAGGGACGGAGAACGGTACCAGAGGGCAGGGAGAGCGCGGTGCTCATCTTTAGGTGATCTATCGGGTTGGGTGGTGTTCGACTTGCCCAAGGAGAAGAGACGGTCCATTGTGCTGGTACTGGATGGATTGATACACTCTGAGATGGAATATTGGTCGTGAAAAACACTGGTGGCGTAAGGATTTATTCAATTTATTCACTACAATAATATATTGTCTGCTCGAGTCTGCAACTGTCATCTTTACAATCTATAGACTGATGTTTTCATGTGGATAGATGAACCTGAAGCCCTAACCCGGACCCGGGCCGCTCCCGTCTGCGGGGATGAAGGGATCATCCTGGGCAAAAGATATCAGGACAGATCCACTCTGTCATGACATTGTATGGTTTATATGTGTAGACGGTTCATTATTTCACTGACTGAAAAGAATGTATAGACTAAGATAGTCGTAGTATATAGTACCATAGAATGAAAAACAAATCCTTAAACCGCACTATACCCATATCCCAAACTAAACACGAGCAAAAACAACAGCAAGGACAAAAACGGAAAAAAAAAAAACCACCACCATATAGCCCTAGACACACAAATCAATCAAGATACGGCTCAAACGGCAAGACAAGCGACACAAACCCAATAGCTACAAACAACCCACAACACACAAAGATCGGAACCGACGAATAAACATCTCCCCAGGTTGTAATAAACGGCGACGTCAACGACGCCAAACGAGCACAGGCCAGCGTGAGTCCGCAACCAATGGCCCTATATGCGTCGGGCATGACTTCGGGGGTATATCTGCCTCGACATCAGCATGACATCCCTTTCGTTTTATTCCAACGACAAAACGTTTCAACGGGGAAAGAAACCCACCCATAAATCACCCCATACATAGCATTCAGCCAAAAGTTGATCAAACTCGAGAACGCCAGATTCTGCGCCTCGTTCTTGACAGTGGTAAACACCCCCGCGAAGATGGCGCAGATCCACGCTGTAACGGTGATGGAGCGACGGCGGCCGAGGAGGCGCGTCTGCACGAGGTACGCGCTGAGGAGGGGCCCTACAATGCCTACTGTTGATGAGACGGACCAGTCGCGGTAGGTCTGGTATGTGCTTCCCGTGCCGAGTTTGGCGCCGTGGCCTTCGAGGTAGTAGGGGAGGAAGATGACGTAGACGGGGTATCTGTGGTTGGTTTGATATTAGAAACTGATTCAAAAAGAAAGAAAAGAGGAAACAAAAGACAGAAAACAACTTACGCAACCCCAACAAGAACCCAGAGCAAGATCAGACAGATCATAGAGCGGAGTTGTCTCGATCCAGAGAACAAGCCCCGAAGCAAGCGGAGGGTTCGTTGCATGTCGTATGGATTCTCTCGCTCGTAGTGATGCAGCTCATCCACCGACAGGACAACAGAAGACTTATTAAGTCGGCTGATGATATTGACCGATGCGACAGCCTCGTTCAATTTACCTTGAGAGATGAGCCATTTCGGAGACTCGGTCATTCCCAACGCGAAGGATCGGACGATTGACATGGTTAGACAAAGACAGCCGATGATGATGTACAGATATCGCCATCCCATGTTGTCGGCTTTGGTGCATGTCTCTGACGTTGCGCCCTGCGGACAGCAGAAATTTACCACAAGTGGCCAGGCTGGACAGAGTCAGTATCAGTCAGTGCTTTAATTTCTGGAGGAAGAGTGAAAGATAGATACTTACCTATCAGCCCAGTCACAGCATTCCCCAGTCCCCACAAACAGGCAAGACCACTCAGTAGAAATCCCCACTTGCGAGGCAAGCATTCCGCCAAAACGGTCAAATCAATCGCCACTAGATAGATCAGCACTCACACAGCTCACAAACATAAGACGAAGGTAAAGAGAAAGACAGGGCAGAAGACGAGAAAATCTCACAATTCCCCCCACCAAAAAACGCCGCCAGCGCAATAAACACATTCAAGCCCGCCCAATTCGGCGATCCAGCACACACAGCCGTAAAGACCGAAACCCCAAATATCGACCCCTGCCACGCCCACCGTCGGCCGCATATATCCGCCAAAAACCCAAACGCCACGGCCCCGACGCCTAGCGCTGCATATTGGGTTGCGGGTAGTAGGGTGGCATACTGCGGCGAGAACTCCTTGGACGCCTGTGGCATGACCAGGCTGATGGAGACGAGCAGCATCTGGACAATCCGTTAGAACGGTAACGAGTATATCTGCGGCTCGTGCTGGACTTACCTGATCAGCAATGAAACCGAACCCGCACGACGCCAGCAGCTGCCACTGGTAGCGGCCCATGCCGATTGCCTCGATAGCATTCTGGATGATGGTGTCGTTTGGGCTGGAGGGCTCTGGTGCATAATGAGGGGCGGTTTTGCCTTCCGATACGCTGGGCGTCTGGGTTAATTCGTCTTTCTTTTCGGCATCCATGATTGGGTTTGTAGAAATTCTAAAAGGTGGTGAAAGAGGAGAGGATATGGAGGGGGATATCTCGCCCCTTTGATGTCTTCTCACTTTCCCTTCCACTAGAGAAGACAAAGATCGACCGTGTTTAGTCCACTTTGGGGCGAAGTCCGGGGAAAGACACCGTACGCTATCTTGAATGCCGAGATAGGGCTTTCCCGGGACACGGGACGCGGGCCGTATCCGCCAGTTGATATTATTGCATGGCACGAGGACTACTTCTTGTGGCTGTTTATGGTAGAAATGTGATGAGTTGTAGAGTACATGCTAAACATATCGCACACATGCGTAGGTAGCTAACCATTCGAATAGATCCAACCGTGCCGATTCAATGTCCACCACTTCCGTACTAACTCGGGGACAACCGGCATCATCGTTTGCACCGTATATATGGGTTGAGGAATATGCACAATACAGCCAAAGGATCCCTAAGAGAAGAGGGAGAAGTCACAAAGACGCCAAATTCCACCAATCCTCAATCGCCCTCCCATAACTCTCGGGCGCCAAAAACAAATTCTCATGCACTATCCCATCCAACGGATCCCCCACCAAGCTATGAAACTCCCCCGACAACGTAGACGGATCACCCAGCGCCGCGGCAAAGCCCGTCGCTGGAGGAGTGGTCACCAAATCTGGAGGATACGCGTCCAGGTCCCTGGCGACCGTCTGGTGTCCTGAGATGCCAGCGGAGCCGACGAGGGGGAATTCCGGGCCTGGTGTCATCATGCGTGAGGCGGCCGGTCTGGTGCTTGAGTTGAGTAGGGAGTTCCCGAAGAGGGACTTAGGGGCGGATGAAGATGGCGGTGACTGGCTGGCGTGGTCGTAGACGAGCAGTTCCCATAGGAGAGGGGCGTCGATGGACCAGGTGCGGTTTTCGGGGTTTCGGGAGATGCTCTCGCGGAGTTGGTGTAGTTTGTGTGACTAGCATTAGTAGAGGGTTAGTAGAGCTGGAGAAAGGTCTGTATGGGATGTAGACTGACCATGTTTTCGAGGTGTGGCCATCGCGTGGCAAGCGTCTGCAGAAAGCGCACGCACTTCTCGTATCCACTTTTTGCCTTATCGCGCAAGTCCTGGTCTTCGACGAAGCTGTGCTGAAGATGGATAGTAGCGACTACGACAACGCAGGCGCCGATCGTGGGGTCAAAGACTTCAAACCCCTTGTGATCGATGAGGTCGATTAGGTGGAGGACCCAAGCCGTGCACGCTGTGATAGCTTCGAACGACTGCCGCAGGAAAGTTAGCGGCATGGTGTGTCGGAAGCTTCGCAGTCGCATGGATAGGAGAAACGGGTGGTTCAGCAGACAGGGGATGGCGAGGTACACGAACTGGAGGAAGAGCCACGGGCCCCAGAAGTCGCGACGCTGCTCCAGCTCGGCCAGACTGTGGCTGTGAAAGCGGTTTGCATGGTATCGGAATTTTAAGGGGACGCGGCTGTCAAAATCCGTGTGCCAGTATGTCACGATGGAGTAGTCAGACCGTGAGAACCAGGGCGGCGGCGAGGCGGGGTCAACTCGCGTGGCGGCGTAGTTCATGGCGAGGGCCCATACTTCGGTTAGTTGGATTGTGTAGGGAAATAGACCTAGGTCTTCCTGGGGACTGGTTACTCCTGGATACTGGGGAATGGCGACGGGTTCGTGCGAGGATGAGAGGCCGGATCGTGTGTCGAAGGGGGTGAGGACTCCGGATTTGAGACGGTGGGTTTGGATTCCGTCGCCTTGGATGTTTTTTAGCAGTTCGATACTCCATAGACAGCGTCGCTTTTCGTCTGTTTCTGTGTGGATGTTGCCTAGCACCTCGCCGGCGAGGTTGACTCTTTGAGCGAGGTAGGTGGCCATGTTGAGGGTCAGGCCTGCCTGAGTGATATTCCCGGCTATTATTGTCAAAATTCAGCTCTGTTAAATGCACCAGATTGGTGGTGGAGCTTACTTGAAAATTCGTAGAGGGCCAATAAGCAAAGCGTCTGCAACGAGGAGACCTCCAATCTTCCATAGTTAACTCGCTCCATGACCAAAGAGCGAGCCCTGGTGGCATGGCCACGAAGAGCAACACCAGCCGCCGCCGGCCCAGCAGCAAACCGCAGACTGATCGCCTGAATTGCAAGAACGAGCTCCGAATCTCTCGAAGTAATCGACTCGACAAACCCTTCAGGATGGAACAAAGGAAGCGGTTGGTAGTTGCAGCATCTCAAATAGAGATGCGCCGCCATGGTGCTGATGGTGTCCGCCTGAGTCTCATTACTGGTAATCGAGCAAGCCCTAAGTTCCAGGGAAGCCGTCGCCAGCGTCGGCTCTTGCTTTGCGCTGTCATGCCCAGACAATCGTTTACTACAATGTGTACACGCACAGCAAGATGTACAACTCACCTCAAGCAACCGAGCAATTCCTCGATGCGACCCTCTAAGCTCTCCAGTCGTCTCGCCTGTTCAGTCAGGCGAGACTCGACCATGTCCGACGACCCTCTAAAGTCTCCGAAATCACTCTGGGAGTAAACACATTGCTGGCCCAGGCGCTGGCAATACGAGCATTCTGGTTTTTCCCCGGGACAGCGGGACTTCTTTCTTCTGCGATCGACTCAGTTATGCACGAAACGAGTGCCAAAAAGGGCAGTATTAGAAGCATCACCCTACCGACATGGATCACAAGCTTGACGGGCCCGCTTCGAAGGTCGGGGTTCATCGGCTGACATGGTTCTTGCGTGCTGCCTTGATATGGTCAACCCGGATACGGCCCTGGAGCGGATGGATCCCGGCCACACATCGCAGAGAGTATCTGTTATGAGGATGGGGGGTTGTTGGATGTGCGGAGAACACAATAGGGCCGAGCTTTCCTATCGGGTTATCTGTGCGGGGTATGGTGGAGACGGCGATATCATCCTGATTGACTAGTCATTACCTTGGCTATCTTCGAAAGAGGTTCAATTGAATTGGATGCGGGATTATTGTAGATCGCTTGTAGTCGGGGGAAGTTGACGAGCATCAACAAGACCAATCCATGTTTACACTACCTACAGGCCATGCTTACTCGTGCTGCTGCAGTACTGTGTGTGGGGAAGTTCGTTTCTTGGAGCAAATAGTCATGGACGAAGTTAGATGGCATCCTTCTCCACGGCGGGACGCTCGGTCCTCCTGATCATCTCCAGTATCATGTATTGGTCCGTCAATGGCCTGATAATTCATCACAAATTCGATGAAACAAGCCACCATAATCAAGTATCCCGATAGTGCGTACCAAGCTACGTACTAAGTGGCACTGGCTGATGGCAAGGTCATTTTGTCAAAAACGTCAAAGCGGCCATGCACAACGCATCCACCCCAGCCCTCATAGTTGGCTGGATAGCAGGCGCAAAGAGAGCGGAGTGATTCCCGGGAATTTGGTCCATGAGGTGATCGACCCCCTGGGCCCGATCCCAAACGCGCGGATCCACACCCCCAATAAACCAAAAGCAGGACGGAATACCGTCACACGTAGCCAGTGTGGAAAAGTCTTCACTGACATTAGTCCGCTGCGTGTCACCATCGAAATGTTCAAAATGGCTGGCGAAAGACGCAGCCAACTGAGACGCCACATCGGCATCATTCGAAGTCGGCGGGAACCTCCTCGTGGGCGTGAACACCGGCTCCTTGGGCGACCCACTCGCCAAACATTCGGCCTGAACAATGCGCTGAATTGCTCCGAGGATCTTATCTCGAGTCTCCAGCTTGACAGACCTGAAATCGATACCGATCTCGGCCCGGTCCGCAATGATATTCTCCGTCTGACCAGCTTGCAGACTCCCCACCGTCAAGACCGCCAGATCGCTGGGATCCACCTCCCTGCTCACAACACTCTGCAATCTCACCACAACATGCGCCGCCAGCAGCACCGGATCCACCGTCTGATGCGGCAGCGATCCATGGCCACCACGCCCGAAGAGCGTGATCTTCATGCTATCAGCAGCAGCCATGATCGTGCCGGGCCGCGAGGCCACACTCCCCGCACGCAGGCGCATCACATGCTGACCGAAGACATAATCAGGCCGGGGGATCTTTGAGTAAAGCCCGTCGTTGACCATCGCCTGCGCACCGCCGCCCCGCTCCTCGTTCGGCTGGAACAGCACAATCAGCGTCCCGCTCCATGCGTGCGTGCTCTTCACGAGCGTCTCCGCCGCGGCAAGCAGACAGGTCATGTGCATGTCGTGACCACAGGCGTGCATCACGGGCTTCTCAACGCCGTCCTGGTCGTGCATGGTGATTGTGCTCGCGTAGGGCAGGCCCGTCTGCTCCTGGACGGGAAGCGCGTCCATGTCAGCGCGCAGGAGGACGGCCTTCCCGTCGCCATTGCGCAGGACTCCTGCCAGCCCGTAGCCTCCGATGTTGGTGTGGAGTTCGAATGCCTGCAGTGCTGACAGGTGGGCGGCGACCTTTGCAGAGGTGTATTGTTCTTGCAGTGACAGCTCGGGGTGCGAGTGGAAATGCTTGTATAGATCCTCGTAGGGAGCGAGGTCCACAGCCTCGGCTGCCAGGATATCGGATAAGTTTGCTTGCGCCATCTTTGCTCACACCCCAGGGGGAAGATAAGGTGGGAAGAAAAGGGGGAAGCTGGATCAAGGCGGTGATGAGTAGGAAGTGATGGACGTTTGTTCAGCCCCTCCATGAAGATGACACGGCAAGGTGGGGGCAAACAAAGACAATCGTCTGGCTAGCTATGTTTGCATCTCTTAGTGAGTCCACGTATATTAGTCATTTTTTTGTAATCCGTTAACTCAATTTAATAGTTAATAGTTATAGTTGACGTTTTCACCTTTTTTACCACTAAGTTTGAGCAACAAAAGCATCATGCACGGTGGATTCCGAAAGGAACCCAACCTGTAGGGTCAAAGATCAGTACATCACTTCTAGTATAATTCGGTTGTCTCTGCCAAAGCCGGTAACATGCTGCAAACCGCTTTCTTCGTATTTCTACTTCAATAGATGTCAATCCCAATATTATATTTGGAGTAATTCCAACAACCCTCACTTTCAATCAACGGCATGAGGAAACCCGACGTATCATCCACCTCGGAGGAACCTGGTTTATAGCACATTACTAGAGAAATAACTCCCATGACATACTCCTCGATTATACTAAAGGTATTCCAGCAAGAATCCCGCAAGAAGATGGTGGTGTCTGACTGGGAGGGCTTAAGGCTCCTTGTCCTCATAATCTTGGATCAGGGTACACTGCACGAAGTACTTACAGTACCCCAAACTCCGGGGTACGCGGCGCAAAAATAGCCAGATGTGCATTTGTCAGAGTTTGAATAGGTATTGCATCGGTGCCAAGGGGAAATATCGGCCATGACTGAGGTGGCACAGGCTAGGAAGATTACGGAGAGAAGTTTCATGGTAGACTAGTAGATCAAAAAAAAGGATTGGTTTTCAAGAGGTTTTACTAGGTAGTATACTGAATTAGACCGAGATAGGATGAGTTAGATTACAGTAGCAGGGGAAAAGCTGTCTTATATAGCTTGCTAACTACCCATGCTTGGGGTTCATTCTTGGGCTTTACTATATTCAGCTGGTATCCTCTGGCTCAGCTCATGATTAATATGGAATGTACATGTAGCCCCTTGTTGTCCTTATTATGCATGTCCACCCAGCCATCGTGCGTGCAGCTGGTATTTGTGGACTGCGAGACATGTAGCCAGTCAACATGCTGGCTGATTTGTGGTGTTTCCCCGCAAAAATTATTATTTCAGCCACCATTTTGTGATCACTTGGCTCAAGTAAATATTGGGATCACATTCATGTTACTAAATACATTCAAGAGCGATGAAACATAGATGCACTGCACTGGTTAGATCACAAGGAACCGGATCTACACCCAGGTCAATGCACAGTTGTTGAAAAGAACACCATTCGGCGACAAAAGATATCCAGACACGTTTGGGCTCTATGGGGCATTTATCATAGCATTTTATATTATGACACGACATCAGTATACAGTCGCACAATCCGAGTGACTCCATCAATACTGATAACAAGCAACAAGGCCAAGTCTCTACTTTACATCTTGACCCTACTCGAAAGCTCAAATTTTAGTATTCTGATTTTGATATGTCCTATTCAGTTGACAGTAAGGGAGAACCGGATACATGCATCACCCCTGAAGAACTAGATAACAGAGCACACCAAAGAGACAGGACACAACTCTCATAGCATACTCCCTCAATATACCTAATGTTCTCCAACAACCACCTCAAAAAGTGATGGTGGTATGTGACCGAGAGGACTTATTCACCCCCGTTGATGTGGAAGTCAGGGACACACTGCACGAACAGTCAGTTGTTAGTGGGATCAAAAGTATTCAATATCACTTACATGACCCTGTCCTCCAGGAAGTCCGGGATGATTGGGCTCGCATTTAAGGCCTGGATTGCAGAAAGCACCTGGATAGGCAGCACAAGGCTCGCCAGGGCCGCGTTGGGCCATGACTGCGGTGGCACAGGCCAGGAAGATGACGGAGAGGAGTTTCATGGTGGATTCTCAAAGAGGAGTTTGGTAGATCCAAGATGATCGGTTTTCAAAGGTTTCGATGGGCGGTAGATTGGATTGGATTGAATGAAGACGGGATAAGAGAGAGCACAGCAGCAGGAGTAACGCTGCCTTATATAGTTTGCCAATTGCCTATGTTTGGGGTTTACTCTTAGGTTTTGCTGTATCTGGTTGATGTTCTCCAGCTCAACTCATGTTGTGTTTGACCGAGTTACTGTGGACGTAGCTCCTGGTTGCTCTTGGTACTGCATATCCAGCCAGCCACCATGCGCGCGGCCGGTATCTTGTGCTACCCAGCAAGGAATCCCCATGTAAGGAAGCCATAATGTGCAAAAGGGTCAGCAAAGGAATGTATTGGAAAATGATCGAAAAATGGAAAGATCATCATAACAGGAGGTGAAGGTAGTGGGACTTGTGAGGCCTGGCTGGCTTCAAGTTCCATCCCATGGACTTGCATTTTGCAGCTGTTTCAGCCAGTTGGATCAGCGAGGTAGACGACTACCCTAGGTCAACTACGCCAATGCTATAAAAACAGCAAGGAATTGGTTTTCCAGCAAAGAAGCAAGCAAGGATTGGATTTGCAAGGGCATAACAAACCAGGTTCACTACCATTGGCCAAAGATGGATGTCCCAGGATTGTCGGCTATGTAAGGGGAGGTCAAGTACATTCTGTGGAGAAGTCACTTCGTTTGCATGGATTATAGAATACTTTGGCAACCTGTCAGGAGGATTATACTAACGACAACTAACAGAAAGAATGTCTCTAGTTCAAGTGAATGTAGGGAGGTATGCAATATTGTGTCAGATCTTTAAACCCACACACCGAAACGTACTAAATTCCATCTGAGAATGTGTCCAAGTGGGAAAAATGTGTCCAGGTTAAGACTTGCTCTGGATTGTCAACACTCTATGAGAAATATTGCCTTGTCCAGGCTGTTTGTCTATCTCTCAGCCCAGTTTGCTATTTCCCCGAATTATTTGGGTATACTGCGCTAATGGCTCTAGCAAGCCACTTTACTATATTATAGTCAGCTGGACAAACATCAACGTCATTAATAGCAGTGCCCTACCTACTTCGCGGGTGGGGAATTTCGCACTAAAAGATAGCTACTTCAATTAGTCCACAAAGATTACCATGTCACTTTGGGCTTCGCAACCGGTTAGCCCATCTTCGGCGAGAATTTCAGCAGCTCGTGTAGAGCTAGCTGCCAGCCAGTCTATGAACCTGATACCTGAAGGTAATCCTACCACAACAAACTCGAGGCTAAGGGAGATCTGGGACTGTAGACTGGACTGGCCATGTCATACTGCACAGTGACAATGCTCTTACTTATGATAAGTACACGGTCATCAGAATACATGATACTCAGCCTCGTGAAAGAGAAGGATACTCAGCCTCGTCAAAAAGAGAGCCAGCGCGTGAAAATTGGTGTCTCGGACCGAGGTACAGCTTCGACATTTCGTAGCCTCGTTCACCCACTGCGGAGCATATATCCAGCAAATGCCATACCGCCGGCGTGGAATTCTCAACACCCCTTTCTACACTAAGTCGCGATAGGAATATTCCGAACAACATACCATACAAAATCATGTCCAGCAATGTACTCTGCCACTCCACCCCAGAGGGCATTACCACCCTTACCATCAACCGCCCACACCGCAAAAATGCCATTGACCCGGCAACAGCCAAGGTGCTCTACGAGAGAATTCGCACATTCGAAGACGATCCAGCCCAAAAGGTATGCATCCTCACAGGGGTGGGAAATACCTTTTGCGCGGGGGCAGACCTCAAGCAAGTGACCAGCAGTACCACCGCCACCAGTGCGGACGCCCAGCCCAAATACCAGCGCCATTTCGACGAACCCCCCGCCTCAGGAGAGCCGTCATTGGCACCCCTGGGACCGTCGCGCCTGCAGGTTAAGAAGCCCGTGATTGGGGCGATTGCGGGCTACGCGGTCGCTGGCGGGCTGGAGTTGAGTCTCCTCTGCGACATGCGGGTCGTGGAAGAGGACGCCGTGTTTGGCGTCTTCTGTCGGAGATGGGGCATCCCCCTGATTGACGGCGGGACGGTCCGTTTGCAGGCGGTTGTTGGGCTGGGAAGGGCGCTCGATATGATTTTGACGGGTCGGGCTGTGGGGGCTAGGGAGGCGCTTGCTATGGGGTTGGCGAGTCGCGTGGTGCCCAAGGGGAAGGCCCTCGATGAGGCTACTGCGATTGCGAGGCAGTTGGCGGGGTTCCCGCAGCTTACCATGAATCAGGATAGAGACTCGTGCTATTACAGTGCGTATCAGGCTAGCTCATTGCAGAATGCGCTGCGATGGGAACATGTTCACGCCATGCCGGTCCTGGAGGTGGAAAGTGTGAAGGGGGCTGCTAGGTTCAGTGGTGGTGAGGGAAGACATGGATTGTTTAAGAAACATTCCAAGTTTTGATCGTGGCCAGAGAGTAAAAACCTGCTTGAATGAAATTACTTACCTTTGATTCGCATGATCTATGATATCTGTCGCGTGATAACGCAGCGAGATGACCTCGGTTGGGACAGTCTATCAACAAGCGGGGTGCATGTGGTATGATGTCGCCCAAAACCTGATAATCGAGATATATATAGCGACTACCAACGGGAAACTGGCTATTCCTTCGAAAATACGTAGGAATCGTTGCCATGGTTTCCCCATCTGCAGCAAACGTCGTCACCAGCGTCGCGCGACGTCTGAACGGGGACGTGGTGACTGTCACCATCTCCCGGCCATCCAAGCTCAACAGCCTAAATGTGTCTCTATTGGAGCTGTTTACAAATACAATCCAGGAGCTCCCTCAACGATACCCTAACCTGATGGCAGTCGTGATCACTGGAGAAGGCAGCAAGGCGTTTGTCGTCGGTGCCGATGTCAGCGAGATAAGTATGGTGGATACCCCCGCAGCAGCCCGCCAGTTCATCACCAAATTCCACCTCGCCTTCAAGAGTATCCGGGAGTGTCCAGCTCCGGTGATCGGGCGAATTAATGGTTACGCGCTGGGGGCGGGCTTGGCCATCGCTGCATCTTGCGATTTTCGGGTGGCTAGCAGCAATGCAGTCTTCGGGATGCCAGAGGTTTGGTTTCTCAACTTTCCTCTGTGTATTCTATGGTCTAGGATAAATCTAGGTCTGATTGTGAATAGGTGCGCATTGGGGTACCAAGCGTGGTTGAATCAGCCCTATTTCCTGGGTTGATTGGCTGGGGACGGACGCGTCGACTGCTCCTGCTCGGTGAGAATGTCGCAGCTGAGGAGGCTCTTCAATGGGGTCTGGTTGAGAAGGTCGTCCAGCCAGCTCGCCTCGACCAAGCTGTGGATGAGTGGCTTCAGCATTTGGAGAAGAATGGTTCGGTGGCTGTTCGGCAGCAAAAGGCACTGATGCTGCAATGGGAGCGGCTGGGATTGGAAGATGGGATCCGAGCGGGCATACCAGTATTCGGAGAGTCATTTGCAGGTGGCGAGAACGGAGAGCCAGCAGAGCCATCTCGAATGACTGCGGAGTTTTTGAAGATGAAAGGAATCAAGAAAGATGGTGGCGGATCTAAGATATGATGTGGATCAATATGCTCGACGATCCATAGCGGAGCTCACTTGATTGTAGTCGTCTTCTTTGGCGAGATAGCTAGATTCCCTGAGTTTCTGGGTTAGACGTACGTAGAATATTGAGATTCTTTGATAGTTAGTAGGTGACCACTGCTCATGAAACGGATCTTTGTATCAGTATAGTCCACATTTCGTTCGCTGGCGGGGGAATTTGCAGTATTTAGTTTCTATTGGCCTGGAGTGGAACGTATTGACTCGAGTAATGAGTATATTCCTACGTCTTATAGCCTTATGGTCATTACTGTTGTATAGTATCGGTCCTACTATCACTTATTGATGAAGATATGAAATACATCACTTTTGGTCATTACATTCATCTAGTTACTTTCTCTCTCTACTCTAGAGCTTCCTGTTCAACTCCCCATGAAAGAAAGTAGTCACTAAGATTAGTACAATTTCAATATTAGCATAAAGGCGTCTGAGACAGGCGGAATGCTATCTCTTGACAATTTTACCGTGGATGCATACCTCGCCATATCGATATTAAAGGCTTGTTCAATTTATCGTTGGGCTTGAATGCGGCTACCTTTTCGAGGCTTTTCCATGTGTTCTCTCAAGAGGGGTTTGACGATCATTAACTGTTTGGTAGAGCATCAGCTGTGCAACGGACAAGGCTATAGCCTGTAGCGAGCTCCTAGTTGAAAAAAATATGCGTACATAAATTTCTCATCTCCAACCTCAATTCTCTAAGCCTTGTAGACTCAATTTCAACCATCTTAGTTGAGCAGAACGATGCTTCCAAGCCCTTGAACTGGCACTGGCAACTACTTCTAACATTAAACCCCTTCTATCGTACTTGATACATTTCCGTTTTCCCCGATTCCTAATTTTAATTCTTAATCAAGACCATGAGAAAAGAGAGCAAGGGATCGAGGATAAGCGATTGGACTTTTATTCCATCATCATGGCTACCACAGATAAAGTATTCTGATGTTTCCAAGGAGTCGCCGTTGAGCGACATTCGCAAAGAGCGGCCCACCTCCAGTCTGTCGTCATCGACTAATATCCTTCCGGTGCCGAAGACACTGCGCCAGGATACATATGAGGACGGGAGGGAATGGATTAGAGGGGCATTGCTGTGTACCTGTGCTGCGGGGGCAATCTTATCCCTCAATATCATCCTCACAGTTATCGCGACTGCCCTAGGCCTCTCAAAGCATGGAGGAAGCTTCCAAGCAATAAATGTTTACGAAGGAAGCTGTCCGATGGCGAGTAACTGGGCCACTGGATTACATGCGTTGATCAACGTCCTCAGCACTTTTCTCCTCGCTGCCAGTAACTATGTGATGCAGTGCTTGGGTGCGCCTTCCCGAGCTGATGTCGACAGGGCTCATCGGAAGCGCAGGTGGTTGGATATCGGTACTTTCAGTGTGCGGAATCTCTCAGTTCTGAACAATAAACAGCGGATCTTGTGGGGACTGCTATTGGTAACGTCGACGCCAATTCATATGGTGTGAGTGTAATATCTTTCAATTGAGAGTCCCATGAAAGTTAATCATCGACTATCCTGATAGATATAACTCGGTGATCTATTCTACGGTCTCGGCATTGGATTATGCTATCCTATTAGTTCCCGACGATCTGGCCTCCAATGAACCTCTTGCGGCAGCAGATGACAACTTTGAACGTGGTTTTTTCAATACCGTTGGCACTAGCGCTGCTGATATACAGACCGAGATGTTCAACGGCACATATAGAGATGTGGAAGCGCAGGAATGCTTGGACGCATACAACACAGAGTTCAACAGTGACTTGGGCACTCTCATCGCGGTTACAAACCGCCATTTCTTCCATAACACGACAGTTTTGAAAGCCAGGATCGATAGTGGACTTTTCTCAGGAACTATGGACACGCCGTTTGTGGCCTCGTCACTGTATGGCTACGTTACGGCATCTAAAAGAACAACCCAGGAGCTGGTGGAACATCATAATTTCATAGTACCAGTCTCACATTTTGAGTACCCATCGTGGGTCGTGACTGTGCCCAATCCTGCAATGCCTTCACAGGAGGCTACTTTCGACTTGGAAAACGGGTGGGACGCTGTTTTTACCACACCGACTTCGGAAGACTGGAAACACGACCTCAATAGGCTTTGCAAGTACTTGATCTTCGACAATCCGGACCGAGAGGCATTGGATGAGTATCTAAATACTCCTGGGAACTGGATCAATAGCTCATGGGCCGCAAATATTACCTTTAAACACGGCAAAGACCCAATATACCCAAATCAACTTGGCATTGGTGGCGATCCCATAGCTTCGCTTTCGTTCCCGGAGATACCCGTTTCGCGGTGCATGATTAAGCAGAGAAGATCGCTCTGCCAGCTGACCTATAGCCCGGCAATCGCAGTCGTTGTAATTGTGTCCAACATGATAAAAGTCGTCTGCATGTATTTGACAGCCAGAACCAGTCGGACACATCTCCTATTGACTGTTGGCGATGCTATATCATCTTTTCTGGCAAAGCCGGATCAGGTGACCCAAGGCCAAAGAAATACGATGCGTCCGTCTGACGGATCGAGATCCTCCTCTATTGTACCAGGGCCTGGTCAGCAAGAAGACCAGTACGTATATCGTCAGGTTTATTATACCGCACTAGTGCCAATGAATTTCCTGTTTCGGGGACAGGCATTCTCAGCAACTGTTGAAGAGTTTGTTCCGGGGGGACGAAAAAAGTGGTATCGGGCCGTCAGCACAAAACGATGGATGATGGCCCTTACTTTGTAAGTCGCCTCCCTATCGCTTTGAAACCGCCGTGCTCTGACCCATTTATGTTTCCAGCTTTGCCTTCTGTGCGCTACTTTCTGTAGTACTATTCCTATTGGCATTTCGTTTGGTAGGCAGCTTGTCAGCTGCGTGGGACTTGGGCTTTGGGAAGTTCAACGGAAACAACAAAATCACGAGTCCAGGGATAAGAGAAAACACTCTATCACTGGTTCTTCTCACCAACACACCACAACTGGCATTATCTATCCTATATTTCTTATTCAACGGAATTTTGACCTCCATGCTGGCCGCAGCGGAATTTAACAACTACGCCGTCCGAAGAAGACCACTCCGAGTTTCCTGGCCCAAAGGCGAACAGCGATCAACCTACTACCTAAGTCTGCCTTACCGATACAGCGTACCGCTGATCTCAATTTCTGCAGCGTTGCACTGGCTTCTTTCGCAGAGCATCTTCTTCGTCAACATCGTAGCTTATGATGTGCACGACGAACCCGTTGTCGGGGAGTCTGTGCGAGGTTGCGGCTACTCGCCATTTCCTATGTTCATCATTCTTCTCACGTCGGGTATACTTTTCATAATATTCTATATACTAAGCACCCGTTGGTTCAAGTCTCCGATGCCCCTGGCTGCTGAGAAGAGTGCTTCTATAAGCGCAGCTTGTCATCCTCCACCGGACGACTGTGATGCCGCATTGAAGCCGGTGATGTGGGGTTATAAAGTGTGGCAAGATGAGTGTGATGTGGACTCGCTGAGTACTAGTTCTAGGACTGGACTCTCGGAGACATTGCATACTTGCTACACGTTTACATCCAAGGAAGTAGTAGCCTGCTAGCCCATTTGCACAGATGATTTGGAATTTTATCTTCTTTGTGAACCAGACTTCACCTTCACTGTTATTCTATCTATTTAAGACGCCGGGGCATGGGATTCTATTACCATGCAAAGCCAGTGGACGCGTATCATAATCTATATTCTACTTTTTGGATAGTATAATTCATGACCGAAGATGGCCAAAGGAATTCTCGCCAAGATTCTCAAAACCCAGTCATCCACTGATCAACCATATTTCATGCCAGTTGATTATAAAACGTGCTTATCAACGCCAGGCTCTGACAACCTTGTGTCAAAAGTAGTCCATACGATGACAAGAGATCATTCAAGACAACAAGTATGAACAATATATTCATGCCTTAGGCGCCATGCAGCCTTGCCAAGCCCTCCGCATACCCAACGACTAATCAGGTGCCTGAAAACTCAGACCCGCGCCAAGGATGTACTAAAAATACGCCGCCCAGCCACGATCTAACCCATTTAGGGAAGGTATTGACAGGGCGGGCGCCAGACGCGTAGGCAGCCTTCATTGAGGTGGGTTGCCCGTTTTTATATTCCACCCACTGTATTCAGCCACTTGTATAGTCGAACAACGCCTTGGACATTCAGATCACTGTCAATATGGCCCCGTACTATCAGCTCCTCGGGAAGAGGGTCCTCGAGGCCGCAGAAACTCATGTCCACAGACGAGACCTCACCGTTAACCACACACAGTCGGTGACGCTAGGGGTAATGGGTGCCTATGTTGTGGTTATTGCGCTATTGTGGAACTTGCCCTATGTGCGGTGGTCCTTGTGGCCATTCAAAGTGAGTAAATCATATGTTTCCTTTCTCAAGGGAAAAAGGAAGAAAACGAAGGTGATCACAATACTGACAGGGGTAGATGCTGGTAATCGCCTTCCATGAATTCGGCCACGCCATCATGGCATGTTGCACCGGAGGAAGAGTCAAGTCCATCGAGCTTGACCCTCACGAAGGCGGCGTAACGCGCATGCAGGGCGGAATCAGCGCCATAACGCTGCCCGCTGGCTACTTGGGCTCGTCAATCATTGGCGCCTTGCTGATCTTCGCGGGTTTTAACATCGTGGCGAGCAAAGTTGCCAGTATTGTGCTCGGCGTGTGCTTCTTGCTCACTTTGTGGTGGGCGCGCAGGGATTGGCTGACTATCGTTACTGTCCTGCTTGCTGTGGGACTGCTCGTTGCGTGTTGGTTCATTGCGCACGGCGAGGCCTTGAGATGGGTTGTGGTGAGTTCCTCTCTTTCTATGGCCTGGGTAGAGAGTGAGAAACTGATTGATTATAGCTTTTTATTGGTGTTATGTCCGCTTTATATAGCGTGTGGGATATTGTAAGTGTGCTTGCTTTTGACTGTGCCTGTTCTGTTATATTAACAGTAGCAGTGTGATGACCTGATCATCCGAAAAGTGAACACTTCGGATGCCAGTGTGTTCGCTCAGCGGTACGGTGGCTCCTCGCGCTGCTGGGGCGTGATCTGGTCCCTCATTTCTATCCTGTTCATGGCTATCGGCATCATCGGCGGTATTGCTGCGTTCCCTGAGAATTTCCAAGAACAGCAGGATGACTCCAAGAAATTCATCCCGACTATCTGATGTGATTTCCGAGTTGTTCTTATCCTTCCTCCTTCCGGCTTTTTTTTTTTTTTTTTTTTTTTTTTCTTTTCTTATACTTTTCTATTCTCTTTATTCTCATTTTCTTCTTTTATTATTAACCATGTTTTCTCATCTTCTCAATGTTCCCAATACCCTGTCTCCATGTTTTTGATGACGAAATGCTGTTCTGGGTTGAGGGGAGTGGTTATTTTTCAAGTTTGTGTTACTTCTTTTAGGAAAATTCTCTATCGGTGCTGCAGGCAGATTACTCTTAAATATTTCGAAACAATCGTGCTTAATGAATGATATTGTTCATTAATACAGATCCACCACCCGAAGCAAGGGTTGTGTGCCTGAGGAGCCTACTCTAAAGCCGCCGCGGTGCAACAATTTCCGCATGCGGAATGTGACATGCCGCCCAACTTCTACCATGTATCCTAACCTCCTGTCATCGACACTATACGGGCAAAGTAACCTATTTCTAATCCCCTCATTCTTGAAACAAGATCATCTCGTTAATATTTTCTTCCTGCGCTGAAATGATATCAGAAAAGCGCAATCATTAGCCGTCACCCAGGATACCAATAATCATCGATGCAATCTGATACCTCGAAAGCTCAATCAACATCCTCTCACTAGGCTAATAAAGCCCCTGTTTCGATGGTTTTCAACCGACCATACTCGGCAATAAAAAACACTGTAGCCGGCATTTGGGGGTATTTCTTCAATCCCCCCCTCCCCCTCCAGGTGGTGACAATGAAAGGTTAGTATCCCTGCGGTAGAGCCAGAGAAATTGGATATTATAGCTAACAGCCACTTTCTGCCACTAAAGAGACGATCCAGATGACCAGACCTCGGAGGATGAAGAAGATTCGACGAGCACAGCCACCGCTTCACCAGAGGGGTCGCTAATTGCAGACGAGGAAGTTCCAGAAGGAGGAGACTCTGCGGAGAGCCCGTTACCCCAGAGTCCGTCACCTCAAAGTCCGCCACCCCGAAATCCGCATGGAGGACGGGAATCCCCCGACTGGAAACGTCCAGATAGTACAGACACGCATGAGGACCCATCAAGTGACCACGATGACGCCATGGCGATGGAAGGGGATGGCCCATTACCGCAGAGCCTGTCACCCCGGCGCCCTAGTGAAGGACGAGAATCCCCCGGGTGGGATCCCCCAGATAACACAGACACGCATGAGGAGCCATCCAATGACAAAGATGACGCCAAGGAGATGGAACGTGACAGCCCGCCATCCCAGAGCCCGAGTGAAGGACAGGATTCCCCCGAGTGGGAGCCCCCAAATAGTACAGACACGCATGATGACCAATCAAGTGATCACAATGACGCCACAGAAGGAGAAGCGAACAGCGCAGAAGAACTTACTACTCCGCCCAAAATCGACGACCAAGACCCTGGACACCACTGGGTGCATGGAAGTGTTACACCGTTAGCGACTGGTGGGCTAGATCATGAAAAGCTGCCGTGGGGCAAGAATACGGTCACGTCGGCCAAGGCTGGCTTGTCAAAGGTTCAAAGTCGTAGACGGGATTTGAATGCCCGCTTCAACGTGGACATGAGAGCCGACGTGAGCCTAGAGATTCACACTCAAATACAAGGGGATGTTGTCCTTGGTACGTTTAACTAGATTGCCATGGCGTTCTGGTCAAGCGGGATACTTCATACACATCGGGTGCTATAATACATGGCGGGTCTAGAAAGAAGCATTTGATTTGTGATCAAGACTGCACTGGTCATGGCTGATCAAACGGTGCTAAGTCTACCTCCGCTCTTATCGCGCGGGGGTTCGGCCGGCGGAAACCTTCCGCCATGAATTCAAACCCGACCAATTACTTGCCAGTCGAAGATCGCTCGTCCGAAAAAGACCAGCTTGGATCATTCATAGCTTGGATCAAGGCCAACGGCTTGCATGTTTTCCAGACGAGAAACCCATTCAAGGTAACCCAGTGGAATATTCGAATGCAACCTCATAAAGAGAGCATTCTCGCATGGGTCCACGCATGCTGGACCATAAGAACCAGCAAAACCATGGCACCTTGGCGGGGGCTGTTCGTGCCCACGTTTGGATCCACAGTTGCGACGCCATACTAATGGAGAGTTTAAACGGAGTCGGCGCCGCCTTGTGCCAATCGGAGAGGGGTCTCCAAGTCAACCCCTGGATAGTCTATTTAGGCTGCCGACCTCGTGATTCTATTACCCGTGTTAGTTACACGGTTCTTTTTCCTCCGACCCAAGACGAAGTGTGTCCACGACGTTTGATATGACGATTGACACTATCAACCCAAGCTTTCTAGGAAGATCAGGACGCCTCCTCACCATAAAAACACCATTCTCGTGGGTTATATTTCTATAGGATTGTATGGATAGGTGCTCCAGGCATCATCCCCAGAGGATGATAACGCTTGGGGATGAAGTCGGCTCGGAGCTCGATTCTAATCGAAGTCCCCACCGGGGGAGAGTGCTCTGTACAACTCGCGAACGGGTGTGAGTTTGGGATGATCAGCCAGAATTTGAAAGTGCCCATCTCTCCTACAATGCTAAACAAATTCCTTCTACCCGTCTTCCAAGCGAAGTGGAGCGGCTGTACGAGACTCAATACACTTTATATTCTGAAAGCCACATTGGAGCTAGCTTGACAATTTTCAAGCAAGATGCAACCTGCTCCGGGCATTATGATGGTACATAGGGCCGAGCCGCCACAATTGCTGCCTCGCATGCAGAGATACCTCTAAATGGCACATGGATTACACAGTCTCCAGGGACATAGGCAACCGAATTAGTTTGTTCGGAGGCAGTTGCAGGCTGAATGGTGCTAGAAAGAAGAGCAAGCATAGAAATCGAGCCATATCAATAGCGCCAGAGCAGATCGACGATACGAGTTAGGCCAATCCCCAAAATAGATGTTTGCAATTGCCAGCCCCTCCTCTCCTTGCTCCTCATCACGAGATTAATTCCGCACCTCTGTTGATCGATGACGCCGAGAAAGGTGCACGGGGGAAATCGGCACAATTAAGCCAGTGAGAAATCGCAACAATCTGACAAACAAAAAACGTGGCTTCAACTTTCCGGAGTCCTCGCGTATGACGAGGATTAGCATGAAACGCGCCTGGGAAATTCATAAACGGATCTCATATTTTGATGTCAGCTGCTGGGAACCCAAGAAGGGTCAAACTCTCCAATATCTTGTAACTCTGCTAGAATAGGAACTCGCCAAGGACCGTGGACACCAATCCGGTGGGAACCGGCAATGCCGTTCTTCATCAGCCAGCCGGCTGAAATTAGCCATGGCGCGGTTTCTCAATCCCAATGGCCCATGGACCTCTTGAGCCATGATAAGGATACACAGAATGGAGACGAATGCGTAACCGCTGGGTGCGCCTGATCCTGTTCAATCTTGGCGTATTTGGATCTCGGTTTGAATTGCGTCCGAGTGCACACACTTTCCACGGAGAAACCCGAGTTGCCAACTAGTGATGGGAGTTTGTCACTGCAGCAACAAATCACTGATAAGAGCAAAATAGGCAGCTGTTATTGGTGCTTGTTTCCGGTTCTTTCACTCGAAATAGGAGAAGGAAAACATTCGGGCAATCTTAGATCGTCTAGACTCTTCATTCTTTTTCCCATTCGAGACACGCCAAGCCCTTATCATCATCTCCTTTGCGTGGCTTGGGAAACCTTACCCAAAAGAAATATGATATTTGAGGCTGTGTTATCAAGCTGTCTGTTGTCCCCACATATTGACCAGCCTAGTCATGGATCATGGACTACGGATCCCGGGGATCACCACAACCTGGCGCAAGCTACCAACCAACTACTGAAATTGGGTTCTTGTCTGGCGCTGATCCACCTTGGCAAAGAAATCTGCGCGCGACATTGCCCAGGCTTACGCTAATACACCCGATAAAAAAAAAAGAAGATTGAAAAAAACACAAAAATTGAAGAAGAAAAAAAGATCAATTATGATATGATGCTCGTGAGCCTGAGCTGTGCATGAAAGAGTGGGTTGTCTGTGCAGTTGAACAAAAGAAAGATAAAAATAGGAAGATGCCTATCAGATTGATTACCTGTCATATTGGCAACCATTCATATCCCGACGAGGCGGCCGGCAACCGCCATCTCCGCCCGCCAAACCCTAAAAAACCATAATCTCTACTACGCAATGTCCACCAAATTCGAAAATCTGGAGACTTCCCGAGGAGGGGCGCATCCCCGGACCTTGCCCAGAATGGGGGGTAAGAAAATAGCGGAGCCTATCTCTCTCCAAGACCCATTCTCTTCGTCTCAACACCGTCAGCCGCCAAGTACTCCAAGACCGGTTTCCCACCATCGTACCGGTGGGCAACCGGGCCCTTATCGCTGGGAAAACAAAGATGCCTGAATGCCAATGCTTGGCGGGATCCACCGATCGACAGCGGGTCCAAGGGAGCAACACCGGGGCTCTGTCTGATAGTGATTGGACTGGGAATGTAATCGGCACGCGAGGGCGGAAAAGCATGACGCCGTGATGGCGGTGCCAAGGGACATGCCAAGCGGGCAACCTTGCGATGCATCACTCGACAGTTCCGGATAGGGGGAGACATGTGGTCAAGATATCGTTGTTGATAGGAATTCTTGTGTTGCTGCTTTGGCACACTGCCATGTAGCCACACACACAAAGAGCCAGAGCCGACACATGAAGCTGTTGGACGTGTCGCTCGGCTTGAAACACTCTTTTCCGGCGGTGTAACAGACACACAAGGCAAGCGGTGACGGACAGACATCGATTGCGCGAAGTCTCAGGCAGGTGGCATGCGAACAGTAGAGATATCGCTTGGCGCGCACTGTCGGATCCTTGGGTAGAGAGACTGGCCTGGAATATAAACCAATCGACCCTGCTCGCGCGGGCCTGCGCCCCAGCCATGTTTTTCGGCTAGCAGAATCAATTTCTTTTAAGCATTGCGCTGCACCTTGGCCTGAAGATACCATCACTGACTCGCTTGTCTCAATGCACAATCAACCACCGCCTTCTTCCTCCGGGGGCATACAGCCACCCGGGGCACCAGCTGCAAACCCTAACAATCAACTCATATATTGGGATGCATCGATCGCCCCAAACCCCTCTGTCCCCCAATTCAACGACGAGTCCAGAGACCCCGCTGGTATCTGGTCCGTAGGGGGCAGCACGACGGTGTCTCTATCAGGCCACCAGGTAGCCCTAGACGATGACACCAGCTTTCGCTCCACCCTATCTCGTCACTTCTATGCCGACATTGACACCACACACACGGATATACTTCTCATAATCTGTGCTTTTGTCAGCGGCCTCGTCGACGGTCTCGCCTTCAACGCTTGGGGCAGCTTCGCCAGCATGCAAACAGGTACCCCACCAGCATAAAACGCCCCATTCACCAAGCCAAACTAACAACGCCCAACAGGCAATGCCGTCTTTCTCGCCCTTGGCGTCTCGGGCCAACCATCCCGGCCAGAATACCGCTGGGCCAAATCACTCATCTCCCTCGCAACATACATGCTAAGCAGCATCACATTCATCCGCGTCTCACGCGCCCTCGGCCCCCGCCGGCGCTCGACAATGGTCCTCTCCTTCGGCGTCCAGACCGCCCTGCTCTTCATAGCGGCCATGCTAATCCAATGCTCCGTCGTCAGCCCCGAGCCCGAAGACCTGAGCGCCCCCATGGAATGGATGCAAGCGCTCCCCATCGCCCTGCTGGCCTTCCAAGCCGGCGGGCAAATCTGTGCTTCGCGCACCCTGGGCATAGACGAGATCCCCACGGTCGTGCTCACCACGCTCATCTGTGACCTGCTAGTCGACCCACACCTGCTGGCAAAGACTAACCATAAGCGCAACCGGCGGGCCGCTGCCTTTTTGGCGCTGTTCGTGGGTGCTATGACTGCCGGTGGGCTGACGAAGATCACGGAGATGGTGGCTAGCTTGTGGTTCGCGATGGGCCTGAAGTTGGGGATCACGATAGCTTGGCTTGTTTGGAAGCCTGCTCGGGGGAGGAAGAAGGATGTTGAGGGTTGATTTTCGATCCTTCCATCTCAAAATCATCCTTCCATCCATGAATTATTCATTCATTCATTCATTCATTCATTCATTCATTCATTCATTCATTCATTCATGAACTATTCACTCGTTACCTTCTCCCTTTTTTTATGAACCCCTCCTGTCAATGATTCTTTTTTTTTTTTTTTTTTTTTTTTTTTTTTGCATGATTTATATCTGTTTTTGTCCCATGAGCAATGATCAAGTATATATAGTCCTAGTCTTAGGGCATGTTTTGATAGCGGATATAGTACATCGAAGTAGGGCTTGACCCTAGTGACTAGCCATCAAGGATTCTTACCCTACGGGCCTAGCCAGATATTTCTTGGCGAGCTTACTACATGTCTTTGAAGACAATCAATAGATGAATGACTGTTTAAAAATAGGTGAAAGATGGTATTAGCAGACGATATTTTCACAAGAATTCAAAGTTACATCTGTGTAGCAGTGCTCTGGGCCGCAACAGGCCTCATCCTATCACCGGCTAGATGAGATACCGTTTTCCCATCTACATAATCACGCATACCTGACCCATGACCAAGTAGCGTTGCTAGATATACATGTCTTGCCAATGACGTATTGATGAGGGATTACAATGGGCAGGTGATGGATGGACAAAGTCAAGAACAGAGAAAGCATGGAAATTTCAATAGTGGAAGCTTTTTCCATCGGCAAGTATCCTGTCAGTCAGTAGTGGCTTTGCCGAATATCATGCCAATATAAAATACAACCTGGAACGATGCGGAGTGGTGCTGTTCAGGAAGGGAAATAATCCTGATAGATCTATGGCTGTCGGCTTCTTGTTAAAATATGAACTGCCTGGAATGCCCACATGCGGATGCTCTATTGAGGAATAGTTCTCCTTTCATCAATAGTACCTGGCTGTCTTGCTATTTATCAGGGTCTAAGCTCTGCTCTTGTGAAAAAATAAATCCTACACTTTAGACGGCTTTTGTAGGATTGGATACCCGCTTAGCTTGGACCTACTACTCGGAAGGAAAATTGCATTAGTTAGGTAGGGCCTGTGCGTGTGAAGAGGGATCTTGTGAGAATACAAAATCCCTCAAGTAGCTGACAAGAGGGGAACGAAAATTGTGAAACAATCCCTGTTACATACTCCAATCGTATGAGGAGGTCGGTCAACATCCCGCAGTCAAGACAGAACTCAGTACTATATCAGCTTAGGCTTTAGCAAGTCGTCAAATACTTGAACACGATACCTCCCCGGCAGGTGTTATAATGACACGCCCAGCAATAGCCGGTGTGCACTCGAGCGATAGGTCGCCAAGTGGTATAGTAATATCGCGAAGAGTATTTTCGACGCCACGGCGCATCCCAAAGCAGCCTTAATAAACGGCCCTCCACGCCGTGCCTTGAAACGCTAGCGAGTTAGCACCCGTTGCGCATTTGGAAACCGATCTGCAAGCTATACTGTATCCGTCATGACTTGCAAAAATAAGGGTAGTGCGGGTGGCCCGCCGCGCCCAAAGTAGAACGCCAAGATCTGGGGTTGGTATGGAGTCCTAATCAACACGGCATTGACTCCATCCATGGGTGGAGTAAAGTGGGTATATATCTTGACACCAGACCCCGGTCAAGGATAGTAAATTGATCATGGTATTGTATCTGACATGGACGCGGTTGATAATGTGGAGATGGCGACATTCCAGCGCAGCGATGACGACAGGCAGTCTCCATTTGAGTGTAGTGAATACGTGATTGATGACTACGATGCTGATGTGCACCGTGCACGGGTGCTCTCGGTCGGTTTGAAAGATGCGATTACCAGGGATCGATTGTCGCCTTGGTCTTGGAAGATGCTCCGGCTGTATGGGATTGTGCTTCTCACAACGCTAAGTATGTCCCGTGACAGATGAACCTTGACATTTGAGGTAGTATGTACTGACCGATGGTTTAATAAGACTGTTGTATGAACGGTTACGATGGCATGCTCATGTCCTCTGTCAATGCCATGGATTCCTTCCACAACCACTTCGGAACAGATATGCAGGGCAGCCAAACAGGCATTTTGTTCTCCATCTATGCTATCGGTACCCTTGCCGGGGCCGCTGTCGCGGCTCCTGCGTCAGACACGTTCGGGCGTCGCTTTGGCATGTCCGTCGGGTCAATGTTGATCATTGTCGGAGCAGGCCTCGAAGCGGCGGCAAACGAACTAAGTCAGTTCATCGGGGGCCGATTCCTCATCGGTATGGGGGTCAACTTGGCGAATACGGCTGCAGTAATTTACCTGGTCGAGATTGCCCTGCCGCAATGGCGAGGTACTTTCGGGGGGCTGTATAATGTAGTCGGGTATTATACCGGATCACTGTGTATGTCCTCTTTTCAAACCCTCAGCGTTGGGATATTGGTGGCTGACTCTCACATGAAGCATGCACTTGGATTGCTTACGGAACCGGGTTTCTCGCCACAAACTGGAGCTGGCGAATCCCCGTCATTATCCAGGCAGTCCCGCCATTCATTGTCATGACCTGTGCATGGTTGATGCCCGAAAGTCCACGGTGGCTCTTCGCCAACAACAAAGCGGAGGAGGCTCGCGAGATGCTGATTAAGTACCATGGCATGGGGGATCCCGACTCATCCCTGGTAGCATACGAATGCAACGAAATCGAAGCTGACGTTCGGTTTGAGGCGGATCTGGGCGGCCGTCGATGGTGGGACTATAAGGTTTTGTTCAGCTCACGCGAGATGCTGTATCGGATGTGGTTGTTGTTCTTGGTGTGCATCTTCTCCCAGTTTATCGGGGGGTCGGTCATTGCGTAAGTCTTCCCCACACAGTATATCAACGTGTTGCTGACCAACTGGGACAGGTATTATTTGCCCGTGATGTTAGAAAATGCAGGCATCAAGAGCCAGTCACAACAACTACTCCTCAACGCTATGAACAACGTCTTTGGTTTTGTCAGTGGCATTTGCGGTAGCTTCACTGTCGACCACTGGGGCCGTCGCACGCTGTTCTTGTACGGAACGTTCATCACAGGCCTCATCTACATCCCCATCAACGTGATAGCCTCTTTTGATGCCGACAACATTACCACCAGTATGGGGTACGGGTTCATCGCCTGCATTTTCCTGTATGGGATTGTGTATGCCTTCTGCTGGACCCCGCTACAGACTCTTTACCCGGCGGAAATCCTGCCCAACCATGCCCGTGCTAAGGGTATGGCTTTTCAATCCATTGTATATGGGGCGTCGAGCTTTATCAATCTGTATGCGACACCGACGGGATTGTCGACAATCGGGTGGAAGATGTACACCATATTTAGTAAGTCGACTGTTTCTTCATAGTTTGCGCGGACGTCTGCTGACAATTGCAGTGGTGTTCCATTTTCTGGAATATGTTTTCATGTTCTTCACCCTCCCAGAAACTAAAGGCCGGACGATCGAGGAACTAGAGGTCTTGTTTGGGGCACGCAATCCAGTCAAAGCATCATTGCAGAGATATGAGGTGATCTTTCGAGAAGGAGGGGGAGTAAAGATGCTCGATTAGGATCAGCCGAAGAATCGCAATGCTCATTTCCTTTGGATCACTACCTGAAAAGTAAATAAATAGTCACGAAAGACAATGAAGGATTCTTTATGAGAGACAAAAGTCCGCAAAAAATACCACACCAACATAGATGGGGTAAGATTTTGCCCAGTCGGAATTGGCACAAAATTTGTTGATATGCTTCGGACTCCCCTTATTTGAAGTCTTTTCGGGGAGTGGGAACATGCTAGTGTCCTAATTTCAACAGTTTTTTCTCCAAATTTAGAAAGAAAGTTGGGGAAATTGGACACAAATGGCGGTGATACTGCCGCCATCTGTCTGGAGATCTGTACTTTGACTTTAGAATATCCGCTGATGTGTACATGAGGCACAATGAAACATTTGCTGTCGATGCTGCGGTATATCAACCAGCGCACACTCAGCGGTAATTGGGCCCATTTGTACATCCTAAAGGACTGGATTTTACACATGTAACTAGCAGCATACCAGGCGGCAATCAGACACAAATACACTCCCAAGCCTCTGCCAGAGACCTGAAGACAAGGCGAGATTATAGGGACTACTTGTCCTTGGTGATTGCCGTGGCCAGTGAACTGGGTCTTATGGTTAACCACGTGTCTTGGTGATAATAAGTCAGTATAGATAGAGACTGAAAATGTAACCTATTTCACTGTTAATATTATCTGAATGTACTGTAATGGGTTTGTCCTCCACCAGAGGCACGATACCTATCCCATCACAATGGATCTAGCTCAGATTAGGATATATATTTTCTGGATTCTCAACTAAAGTGGGCAAGTGCTTGAAAGCTGGGCAATTTTCACTTGAACGATTTCGTTTCTGTATTTGTTCCAAAAGAAGCGAAATAGATTGAAAGAAGTGAAGGAAATACTCCTGTGATGAAAGGAAGATGAAGCAATGAAGTAGTCAGGAAGTGGATGCCTGGTGATGTTCACCTGGTTGCCTGAATGCCTTAAGGCTGTCTACAGAGCCCGAGGCCGAAATAGGAAGCGGTCTGCCATTCTGCCGCGCCATTATCAACGATCAACCAACTTATCAACACTTCTTTATACCTTACTCTCTTCTCCTCATATTTGATCCAACTCATTCTCATGTTGTTCTACTCTTATCATGTCTGAGCTTCATCCGGAAGATAGGCGTTACCCTTCGGGTGCCTCCCACCGACCATACCCCCGTCGTGACGATCGCGACGGCCGGATGTACGACGACCGATCGCCCTCCCGGTCACGCTCGCCTGGCGGTATTACGTCCCCCGCATAGCTTAGCGTGTGGATACATCAACAGCCGTATCAGTCCTGCTCTAGGTGAAGACATTACTGACTCTCTGCTGCGAAAAGATTATGCGCTGTCTCCTCCGAGGGGTCCTGCAGCCGACAGAAAACGCGACTATTCCCCTCGGTACCACAGTAGGGATCGCGATGACCATCGACGGCGAGTCTCCCGGTCGCCTCATCGACGAGAAAGGCCTCAGTATCGAGACCGTGATCGCGAAGGATACCACTCGCCTTACAGCAGCCGGAGCCGGAGCTACAGCCGGAGTCGCAGCCCGCACCGAGGTCGCTCGCAGTACGGACAGGAAAGCAGGGAGGTGATGATGGATGGATTGCCAGTGGATATGGCGGAAGAAGACGTTCGACAATTCCTTCCCCTAGATATTTCCCTCCGTCGGATGCGCTGCACATTGCAACATTCTTGATGGCAAGAGGCTGAGATGTACATGTCACCGGTGTTGCCGGTTGACCTGTTGAACAGATTTCCAATGAACTCAAAGACGGCTATCACATTGAGGGTCTCGAGGACGTTAGGGTCATTAGGGACCGCCAGACCAGTATGACTAGGGCACTCGTGAAGCGGAAGGGATACTGATAAGTGTGCAGAACTTTCTCGCCAACTAGGCTTTCTTCGATTCCGAAACCTTGACTGCTCGCGTGACTTCGTTGAGCGCAACTTCCCAACTGTCCTCTTCTATGGGCCCAATGCTGGTCCGAACGATCGGGGCACCAAGGTGCGCATTGCCTATAGCCGCGAGCGGGAAGACCGTGCGCGTGCTCGGGCCGAGGGAGACTGGACATGCAGGAATGTGAGTATTGCCTGCCACTCGAAAGCAGGATAAAGCTGACGGATTAGTGCTCCATTGTCAACTATTCCACGCGCAGCAAGTGCTTCCGTTGCCAGGCACCTCGCCCCGGTATGTACAACTATGCCGCATCTCGTATCTAAAGCGTTCGCTAATATCAGTAGAACCCGGACCGTCAGGGCCTCCAGGTATCGCTGCCCCGAAGGTGGAAAACCATGGTGATAACGATGCGGCACCGGAGAATCAGCCTTCGCAGTTCTTACTCTTCCGGGGCCTAGAGTCCTCGGTTACAGAAGAGCTGCTTGCCAAGGGAGTCGCGAAACTTTATCGACCGACGAACAGTTCCGAGAATTCGTCTGGGAACCAAAAGAAAGGGGCCAAAGTCTCATCTACCACTGGAGATGCTAACCTAGGCGCCCGCGATGGATCAATTCGGCGAGTCTTGCTTGTGAGGGACCGTCGAACCAACGAGAGCTGGCGTTACGGATTTGCCGAGTTTGCCACTGTCCAGGTATCTTCACTTTCCAACCAGTTATCTAATTCGCTAACTGTTATAGGATGCGCAAGCAGCCATCACCCGACTGAACTCGTTTGACAAATTTACCATTTCATCGAGGCCGGTCCTTGTCAGCTACATCCATGCCGGCGTTTTCGTCCCCGTCATCAACCCTTCGGCCAGCACGGATCGATTCACATTCAGTCCGCTGAACAATTCACAGCTGAAGCTGATGTATTGGGACGATGAAGCCTACGTTAGGGAACTGACCGTGTCATCGGCGGAAATGGACAATCCGCCCGCATCACAAGAACACCAAGCGAAAGGCAGCAAAGAATCCGAGAAAGAGAAGGCCAAGAAAAGAAAGGCAGACGCAACCGCAACCGCTGCGTCCAAGAAGATGGCAGTCCCGTCACACCTGCAGTTCTGGAGCAATCGTCACGCAGAGCTGCACGGCATCAAAAAGCGGGATCCTAACGATAAATCGGACGAGGGGTCACAAGACTCGACGGCACCTCCCGCCCAGTCCTATGCGGATCTCACTCGCAACTGCTGTTATCTCTGCATGCGACAATTCAAGTCCTCCGCAGAGGTCAACCGCCACGAGCGCCTCAGCCAGTACCACCGCAGCAATTTGCAAAAGGAGGACCTGGTCAGCCGAGGCATGAACAAGCTCATCAAGCACGGAATTGTTCCAGCACCGCCCGAGTACCGCGATCGTGCGCGTGAGCGACGCCAGGCTTTCGGACGGCCCAAAGGCACCGCCAAGAGCAAGCCCGCACCGCCGAAGGAGCCGTCACCGGAGGTGGAGGTGGAATCCAAGGGCGCGTCGCTGCTCAGCAAGATGGGCTGGTCAGCTGGGTCTGGGCTTGGTGCACAGGGAACCGGCATGACGGCTCCGATCGCCACAGAGGTGTATGCACAGGGTGTGGGACTCGGGGCTCAAGGGAGCAAATTGGGTGATGCTGCCGAAGAGGCGGGCCGGAACACTCGCAGTCGATACGACGAGTTCTTGCAGAAGACGAGACAGACTGCTCGGGAGCGATATGATAAGATGGAGTAATTTGTATAACAGAATATAAACACCATTTCGCCATAGCCAGCAGGCTGATAATGTATACGGGGTATATACACACAAACACTTAGATACAGAAAAGAGAGGAGAAGCGCAAAGTAAGAGGAGAGTCAGTATCCGTAACATCACCGCACCAACACACCTTTTCAACCTCCAACCTCCATCCACAATAACATCACCATCCACACCAAAATATACACAATCCTTCCAACCCCCCCCAAAACATCAACCATCTACGCAGCCTTCCCCTCCCCCACCCCCTCCCCATCCCTCTCCTTCTTCAACGCATCCCCATACTTCTGCCCAAGCACACTCCCCACCCACTCCTCAATATCCCTCTCAATCTCCTCATCCCCACCCCCGGACTTCGGCACAATCGGATTCCCATGCGCATCCTCAATGCCCATCCCGCGACGCATATACCCCCTCATATCCTGCACACCGTCGACCCCAAACGCGAACATCGCCGCCCCCGTCGCAGCCATACCGACCGAGACGACATTTATCGTCGCCAGATGCAGCGCCTCGAAGGCTTCCGCGCCGCCGTTGGCGTCTGGCCGGTGGTACGGCGAGGACGTGTAGAAGGGGGGTCGGGCGCTGAGCGTGCGTTTGTTGATTGCGCGCCGGGTGGCGCTTAGGCTGAAGGCTAGGAAGCCCAATCCGCCGAGGAGGAGCTTGTATTTTGTGTCGGGGGTGATGGGGGTCCATTCTTTGACGGGGTCGGTTGGTGGTTCTTGTTGTTGTTGTTGGTCGGGGTGTTGTGATTGTGGTGGTTGTTGTTGTTGGCTGGGGCTGGGCTTGGCCCAGTTAAGGATGGTTTCGAGCATTGTTGCGTAGCTCTGAGTTTGGGTGGGTTTTGGGTTCGGAGGTAGTGTGGATGTGTGTTTTGTTTAAGGATAGGTAGGTAAGAGGAGTTGCTTCAAAGGTCGGAGCGCAATTAGCTTGGCTGATCGATAAGTAGCGATGATCTTCGGAGGAAGTGCGGAGATTGATGCAGACGGTCATGTGATTTGTGCCTGAGGCTGCCGTGGCCTAGTGTATACGGCATTGTTTGATTTAACTACATTTTGAAGAGTTTATTAATTATTTCAAGGAGAAATAATCTCTCTGTCTCTCTCTTGATAAGTGAACATCTATACGAAGTTACATCAACGTCCCGTTGAACGTGTATATCTTCAATATCCGTTCCATCTGCCCCCGCATCCACCCGACCAGTTCCTCGTCCAACCCCAGATTCGGCGAAGACAGACTCTCCAGATAAGAGAGAACAAACCATCCGCCCAGAAGCGGAGCCGTTTGCTGATGCGCCGCAGTGACCGGTCTGTTCTCCGCAACCGGGTACTCTACACTGTTGGACGGGACCATATTCATGGGCACGGAAACCATCTGACTGCCCAAGAAGAAGGGGACACTGGCGCAGATATCCGTAGCTAGTGCGAAGATAATGTTGGAGGAGGATTCAATTCTCTTCAACGTTTCGCTGTGTGGGGGAAGCACGCACAGACAGTGGAGTATGATATTGTGGATGACGATGCGCGAGTCGCGGTAGAAGTTCCACGTAGACGCTATCCACAGGTCAGAGTAGCAGTCGCAGCGGTTCGCAAAGACACCTGCGGCAAGGATGGACGGGGGAATTGTGGTGGATTGGACGGGCATCCAATGCGCTGGGAGGGCTTTTGTCCAGGAGACTATTCGGTCATCTAGAGTGGTGGCATTGTCGAGGAGAGTAGTGAGTTGGGTTGGGCTGGGGGCCTCAGTGCTGGCGCTTAATTTTTGCCAGGCGAGTCGCAGGTTAACGAGTTCCGTTGAGGCACAGGTGAGTTCAGATGAGGTTGACTGCGGGACTGCAGGTGAAACCGGCCATATTTCAGGGATTTGTACCAGCTGATCGGGGTGACCTGTGAGGCCCAGAGAGTATTTTACCTGCACATTTCAGTATGGCTTGATATGTCATTATTAATAGAAAGGAGAACAAACCACTTGCATCTGGACCGCATTAGCCAATGTCCTAGCAGATACCGAGTTACGCTGCTGAGCATCCAGATTATTGACGAGTGCGATCGCCCCTCTTAGATGTGCTTTCGAGGGTCGTCTCTTTTCCTTAAGAGCAGAGAATTGCTTCAATTCGTTAGAACATACTCAACCGATCACCACATAATACGCACATCATAAACAGAAAGCAACAACGCCGTCATAAGAATCTCATCCACATTCCCCCGGAGACCGCCCTGCAGGGCCATTCGGGTCTGGGAAATAGCCTTCATGGAGAACTGCTCCGCGGACTGAAGCAAAGCCCTCTGACCCGTCCACGCCGACACAGAGAAGAACGCTACGGCCAGCGCGCCAAGCTGGAGGTGGGAACCGCGCCGCGCGTTGGAATACGACTGCGGGAGAAGCTCCATGAAACCAACGCGGATTAAAGGATCACGACGGTGATATAGCACCGAGTTGAAAAATAGGGTTGCTACCGTATCTTCCACTGGCAGATGAAGACTGTTGGGAATCATCTGGATTGGCCATGGCGTGGAAGTGGACGTTCTATTTCGACTGACCGGCAAACGACTAGCGTTGGTTGGGGTCTTCTGTTGCTTGGACTTTAATTTTTGGGCTTTCACTATCGCGCTGGGTGTTGACACCGAAGAAGCTGGCGAGCCAGTGCCTGTTCTCTTCTTCCGCTGAAAAGCAATCCGATCGCGGAGCATAAAGTCCAGCGGGTGCGGATATCCAGGACAAGAGCGGCCGGTGCGCAGGCAAGCCCTACAGTGGGGACGTGCCTCATCACACTATAGATGTTAGCTTGCTGCATCCCGCAGAGGGAGCCATACATGGTATACCTTAATACGTCTCGTTCGGCAGTTCTGGCATCCAGTGCTGGGTTTCCCGCCGTGTACCATTGTCGCGATTCATGAGACGAGGGGATATCAACGATTGATCAGACCATCGCTGTGGCGGGTCAAATGCAGTACGGACACATCGTAGAGTGGTGTCTCGATATTTCTCGGCAGCTCAACAGCTCCAGTCATGAAGGAGCATGGGTGGGCGGTGGTTCATGTTTAGCTGGGATCCTCAGGTAGATTACCGGCTCGGCTTCACATGGTGAGACACATCATCCTTATCTTATCTCACTTCGATAAGATAAGAAACAGGACACGTGATCTACAGAGCTTAACCCAACAATAACAGCGCATAGAGGCAATTAAAAATAAAATGAATGATATGTTTCGAATAGTCTCAATGAGAGCTTTCGAACGGTACTATCAAATCCCAAATCCAACATACTTTGTGAAACGGCCAAAAATGATCACTTTCGAATCGCCCAATTGGGAATGTGACCGGGCTGTTTTGTATGGGGATTTTGAAGAATTCCCATCTCGAGGTTTCACTAGCGCCGTTTCAATAACACGTGATCTTGATGGGCGAATGAGGCCGAGTTGAAAAAGCGGTGGAGCTGGCATTCTGCCACCACCCATTCTCAGGCACATTTGCTGCCTTAAGGTGCTGGGATTCGCTGTCCGACAGTGTCGACCGATGGTGGTGGTGATCGCCTGGTACTGACCATTTCAATTGCATCCTCGCTACTTGGGAGGCCCAGCCTACGTGCGATTCGACCACTTCTGCGGTTGGTTTGGAGCTACGGAATTGCTGAAACAATGGGACAAAAGAAGGGTATAATTGCAACAATTCTAGTAGCGTAGCTATGCTAATTAATCCCTCAGCCAGAACTCCAGGCTATGTCGTCGACATTCGCTCTAAGTAACAAAAAAATCACAAAAACCCGAATCGCATATCTCATTATCTTGTTGCATCATATTCAGCCGTGATGGGTCTTCATCCCGTAAATCATTCGTAATCATGTCATAAAAGCGTAGCTCCACGCAGTAGGTAATGTATTAGATATCGACATCGTCGACAGGGTATGCACATATTGTACAGCAGCTAGCGGCGAATCGACCCCCTCACTTCATAGACCTTGTCGTAATCAACATGTCGGCTCGGCCCGGACGATGGAACCGGTCGATTCCCAGGTGTTCCTTGCCGTCGCGGCCAATATACACGCCGAAGCCGTACACCGAGTGCTCGCGATCGCCTGGCGGCGCGATAACCAGACGGGTGACGAGGTCCGCCTTGCTGCGGGGCTCGCGCAGGAGTTTATCCGCCAGGAGAGGGCTCTGGTAAAGGAAGCTGATTTGGTCCGCGAGGGTGGAGATATTGTGGGGCAGGTAGCGACTGCGACCGGGCCAGATGCACAGGAAGGAGGCCATGTATACGGCGCAGAACACGATGAGGGCGTAGAACGCGGGCATGTGTGCCCCGATGCGGATCTCGTCGTGGGAGGGGTACCATAGGGCGATGAAGACACCTCCTGCGAGGATCGGTAGGGCTGCTGAGACGAGGCTCATGAGGGAGATCCAGGCCACTTTGTAGTGGCCGTTGAGGAATGCCAGTGCTGATACCTGGAAAGGGAGGCGTGATGGGTATGACAGCAGGATACTCTGGTCTGCGCGGGCCCCGTCAGGCGAGGATAAAGCCGCGAAGGGCTGCACGGCACGGAAATACACGTCGATGGGCTGCCACGCCAGGAAGAAGAAGTTGCCGATCAGCGCTGGGATAAAGCTGTACACGAAGTTCGACGAGGAGAACGCGCCAGTAGACGGTAGAGTGCGCAGTCGAGGTGGAAAACCACCCTTGATGGCATCGTGTATGAAGCTCACGAGCACGAAGGCAATGAACAACGCACAAACGATGACCGTCCACGCTACCACCGAGATATCTTTCAGAAACCACGGAACCCACCGGTGGCGGAAAAGTGGCGAGTATGGATGCTTGAGCAGGCTATCGTGCCCATTCGCACCATGTTGCTCGATGTCGTAAGATACCGTGGATAAACCACGCGGCTGTTCCTTGCGATTCTTCACGTCACGGTGGAGAGACGGATTTCGAATCGGGGCGTCAACTTCACCGATCCCGTAGAACACCTCTGCGCGGCCAGTCACCTTCCAGTAACCGAGACGCAATACTCGGGGGTCGATGAGATTCGCAACATTGGGCTCCGTCTCGGAATATTGAAAGTCATGCAGGATGTTCGACCGTTGAATGAGTGGAATTAGGTCCGCGAGACTCACAGGGTCCCACATCAACCCGGTCCAGGCTTTAGTGAACCGCAGCAGCAGAAGGATCAGTCCGATGGTAAGCAGCCCATACAGAGCCACGAGAGTCCACCCGACTGCCAACACAGCCGTCCATCGAAATGATCCCTGACCATCAGCCTCGAACCATTTCGCTTGGAACAAGCAGCTCAACAGTGGCAGTGTGACCAGGTTCGAAAGCCAGATAGTGAACAATGCAAACCCGACGAGCGGCTCTCCGTGCCGAAATTGCGAGAAATCGGGGAGAAGGAAGTTGCGGGACAGGATGGGAAGCTCCTCCAATGTATGTTCGCGCTCACGCTCAACGGCCATTATGATAAAAGGCATGGCGCGATACACCGCCGCTTGGATCACAAACGTCCAGACAGTGATAACAACTGCCAGAATCTGCGGAAGATACTGCGTGACAAAATATCGTGCGTCTCCCAGATGTTCGTACGCCCAGAGCCCCTGGTGACGGCTGGACCACACATTGCAGAAGGAAATGCCCGTGATCATAAGCAGACAGCAGAGGATAATTCCCGCCAGGGTCCACGGCCGGAGCACAACCGGCATGTAATCCAAGGGCGGATACAGAAGATCATCATCGGGGGGATCGACGGCATTGAACGCCTCGGGATCAACCGAGTTCTGCACCGATCTCTCCACAGGCTGCGATGACGTCGGCTGTCTAGGCTGCAGCGGCGCCGGGGGAGGAGCCGGGGCTCGGATAAAGCTTCCCAGCTCGTCGTCCCACACCACACGGTCCTCGAGGACCTCGTCGCTCCCTGCTGCGCTTGGCCTTCGCGATCCACTGACCTCTTCATCGAGCGTCAGTTGGTTAATAGCGAAGCGCAGATACGGGGAATCATCGACGCCCGGGGTCGCTGCCCGTCCCGAGTAATTGTCGACGCCCACAGGACGAGTAGTGCTTTGTGACATGGTATTAAAGCGGACCTCCCTCTCCTCGGCTGACCGTATAGAGCCAGCCGGCGAGGGGGCCTGGCTGCGTTCCTCCCGCGGCATGTCCGCGAGTGGGCTCGATGGGTGCTGGACCATCGCCGGGGGGGCTAGATGCGTGCGAGAAATGCTAGGGGACGGATTGCGGGAAGCAGGGTGCGAGCTCGGAGTGGCATACCGCACCGTCGCTTGGCTGGCACTGCTTCGCGATCGGGAGCTCGAGGTATGCTCGGAGAAAGAATAGTAGTCGTCTGAGGCGGCCGCGGACTGTTGCGATTCGGTTCGCAGCAGCTGCGGTCGGCTTGCTGTGAGGGGAGAGGGAGGTCAGCGGGACCGAGAGACTTTGCTTCAACAACTGACACACGCGTGTAACACCAGCGGTCCAGTTCAGTTCACTTCCAGGCTGGATCCATCTAACTTACAGCTCACAGTCCTCAGACTCAAATTTGTTGCGCTCGGGGCGAGCATGGCGGTCGAGATCAACCGAGGAATGAAGGCTCACTTGCAGGCTGACGTTTGAAGTACATTCCCAAGATGCAGGCACCGACCTGTTGCAGAAGGCAATCTTTGGCAGGGGGGGCGACCAGAAATCGAACTGGGGACTAAAGATCTCAGGAATGCGAGGGGGTCTATGGGTCTATCCAGATGGAGGAGGTTATGGTGTGGCGGTTGAAAGTCCCAACCTCCCTTTTCCCAGCCACCACGAGCATCACATCGCGTCGCTATCTTTGGCTGATCGGCGACCAACATGGCGGGGTGTGATTGGAGGGCGAGGGTCTCAGTCACGAATGAAAAGATCTGGATCAAAAGATGCAACTTGCATGACCAAGTGAAACAGGTGAAGTATTGGGTGGTGGTGCGGTGTGTGTTGTCGGGACTAACTAGTTCGTAGTTAGTAGGAGATACGAGGGTCAAGTTGGCGATCGACGTTGCGGCCCGATCCTCATCTCTCCATTTCTTCCCTTTTCAGTATTTATCTCGCACTATAAGTTCCCTACGAGGATAACAGTGTCAGTGTATCTTTTGTAGTCGGTGATGATTCTCTATTATATTGCAACATGATCAATCATGGCCAACAGATTAGTATTGGTATATAAATAATTGATACATATCCATGTATATATATTCCTTCACCCCAACCCCCCCAACAGTGTATACTCTACATGATGCTCAACAGTGTCACAAAACCCAGACAGATATATCTGGGTATGACGCACCAAGTGTTAAAAAGTTAAGCATCATGCAAATACGCGGCAATAACACCGCCCCAACCCCCTGCATTATGATTCTCCGTCGCGACGGCATGATTCCCTTCTAGCACCATATTCTCCGTGCTCTTGGTGTTGGTGCCATAGAGATAAACCCCCGATGACTCCAGCACCTGTACCGCATTCTTCTGACACTTACCCTTACAATCTCCGCTGTTGCTGAAAAACACCCAGTTGCAACCGCCGTATAAGAAAATGTCGCGGGCATGGTCGATGATCTCGAACAGCGCCATGCGACACTTCGCGTCGTCGGGGGCGCACTGCCCGAACTTCGGGTCGGTGGAATGTACCGAGTCGTCCCACGGGGCTGGGGCGAGGGCGTTGCCAGGCCCCTGCCAGTAGGGAGATTCACTTTGCTGCATGGCGGAGAAGACGTTGCGCGCGCCCGCGAAGTTGTATTGGTAGAGAGCGTTGTGCTCGAAGCCCGTGCCAACTAGCCACGTCGCTGAGTTGCCTTCCACGAGGAGACCCCGTCCGGTGGCGATGGTTTGCTTGTTGTCCCCGTCGAGGTCGTGGTCGGCAGTCCAACCCCACACGTTTTCGATGTAGGCGGAGGAGGTGCGCGTTAGGTGCAGCAGGCCCCAGGCGGCTTTGCAGTCCGCGGGAGATTTGTGGCATTTTGTTTGCACATGGCTGCCTACTGCGCCCCCGATGCGGAAATGCGTGTTCCATAGTCCGACGTCGCCGGGCTTGTGGCCGGCGATGTTGACTTCAACCTGCGATGGGTTAGGGGGAGAACGCAGAGTGAAGGTAGAAGATGTCACTACTGACCAGCTTGCATCCAGGAAGGACGTCCGCCACCGTAAATACCATGTCACTGACATGAATCAAGCCCATATCGCCTGGGTTCCCGAGACGGACCATGGTACGCACGTCTCTGGAGTTGGCGAATTTGTCGCCAGCTGCGCTGATGGTCGACGCAAAGGCATCACCGACAATGCGCGTTCCAGCTGGGACAACAATGGTATCCGTGACGATGTACGTGCCGGCGGGAAAATATATGATTTTGCAATTGCGGTTCTGAGCGAGGATACTGTTGATATTCCAGGTATCATCCGTAGCGCCGTCGCCGTGCACCGGCTTGCCGGGGACAGACTTGATATTGAGGACCTCGCTTGCGGTATAGTCCGTATATGTCGGCGGTTGCATTGTAAAATACTTATCTCCAGAAAGTAAGGGTTGAGAGCGCGCTGTTTTCACACGCTTCCCTGATACTCGCTGGTTGTGGCTCTCTCTCTGGGCATACTGCGAGTGGGTTAGATGAGTGTTGAAAGATATATTGGCAGAGCAACTCACCAGCGTTCCGTGTACCCAGGTATCCTTCACGTCGCCATGGAGAACGGCGTTTCCATTAAGACTGACAGTGTTACCTTGATTTTGGACATTCTCCAGAATTATCGCATTCCCTGCGTTACCAGAGTCATTCGACGTGATGAGAGAGCCGAGACCCGAACCATGGCTGTCGATCACAGTCAACGAGCCAGATGTTCCTTTGGCATCAATGCCAACCTTCCCATTCTGGAAGCTACATCCCAGAAATACAATATCCGTTCCCCCAGCTACCACGCCAGTAGCTGTTCCTTCGAACTTAACGTTCCGGAATACCCATTGCTGACCATCCAGTTTCATTCCAATCGAGCCGCCTTTGAACCATAAGTCATTCTGTGTATGATTAGCGCTGTCTCTAAATCCAGGGGAATGACTTACCAAGATCAAGTTACTATTATAATCATACTTCGTCGTCAACCCAATATGTGTCGCAGACTCAGTAGGCATGTTGAAACCAACGTTCGACAGCTGCGTCGCCTGGCTAACAGTCCAATCCAGGAGCGTTACAGGCTGTTTGGGATCCATGCCCGTAGAATCCAACACCACATTCTTGATCCCGATGTAGAAGTTAATCGTGCCCCCGAAATTCGGATCTTTCCCGTATACGAGATGATCGGCCGAGAACCCTTTGGCGGCTTTGATAACTGGCGGATCGGTAGGATCGCCGACTATGACTGTCCCCACGTACAGCTGTAAGGGCTCGTTCAACAGATACAGTCCCTTAGGAAGGTATACAATTGCCGGCTGGCCCGTGGTGCCCATCTTGTGGGAGCTTCGACCTGGTCCCTCGACCGGCCCATCTATACAGCGAATTTGCCCTAAGCAACCCGTCAACTTCTCATTTTGCGGTGGTGGCGCTCACCTTGAATTGCCTTCTGGATAGCCGAGGAGGCGCTCTCTTTCCCCGTGTTATCGGCGTCATAGTCCTTAACAACATTGCGAAACACGGTGTAGTTATCTTTGTGTTCCGCAGAAAGAAATGAAGACTGGCCGTTGTGTTCAATATGCTCGTACCAGTACCCTGAGGACTTGTTCGACGATTTACACGAAGACGGTGCCGTATCAAGCGTTTGGTGAGTCACCGGGGCGTCGTGATGTGGTGACCATGGCTGGGCGGCATAATCCTGGATTGTGAACGGAATCCCACTGCCCTTGTCAGTTTTCTTTTGCAATATAGAGATGGTAGGACCCTTACCTGGTCATAGGAATATAGCTAGCGGGTAGAAAGTAGTCTACCCCTGCGACTCTCTCATCAATCTCAATACCCTGAGCTCCGCTGCACAGCAGGAGTGTGGCTGTTAGAAGCCACGAACGACAAGGTACCATACTGGGCTCGCGGTTCTTCAACCACCGATAGGAAATTGAACGAATGTAAAGGTCTAATATAAACAGGATAGTTCAGGAAAGTCATAACAAGATATACACGGTACGTTCTGGGGGTATCATAACGAGACAAAGATCCGAATCTGCGAGTAAGTAAAAAACCAGGCCTGAAGAAGTCACGCGCCGAAACACACAAGCTCCAAGAAAGGGATGGAAGGTCCAGTCCTTCAGAGACTCCATTGTCTCTTATTTATACTTACCTCAGGGGTGAGAAGTGTGCATACCAGCTCTAAGTTAGTAGAGCATACTTAACCCAACTGAGGAATACTATCGCGAGAACCGCCGGGCTAGAATTCCGGAGGAATGTAGGTACTTATCCCGCAGAACGTGATGTTCATATTGACTGTTATAAAGGAGCTATAGTTCCAGGTACCATTCTGAAATATTTAACAGGTATGCCGAATGATAGGCGTGGTCCCTGTGAAGAAGATCTGTGTGGTTTTTTCTAGGAAGGATTGAGCATTGTCCCAGGCTAGCACCGTAGTGTTTTTGCGATGGAGAATGCAATCGAGATCTTTCTTATACACCTGAAACAATTGTCTAGCATGCGCTGAGCGCTGATAGTAATGAGAACGGGAAAATCAGAGAACGCGTGGTCCTGCGCATCGTGAACACTGGAAGGAGTAAGCAAGGGCGGGTTTCCGTACATGCCACGTTCAGGTAAACATGCACTCTTTTCGTCAGTCGTTGCCTTTCCAGAAGTATTCAACGGGATTTGACGGAGCTATTCTCCATGGAATTTTGCAAAGTATTTTGGAAGAGTCGTCGTTTCAGATGGATGTCACTGATGTTGGTAGAGACCTGCATCGGATTCTGCTGGAGACCTATAAAGACCAGCAGCAGCGCCCAACAGACCGTCAGAGGCGACATCGCGTGGCACCCGACGCAATGATTTGGGTTTGTACCTGGCAATACCCAAAGCCCCTGGATGAAAGCCCAAGATAGCAATTTTAGAATGTTGAATTGCGGACTGCAGACTCGCCAGACGCCATCTGAATGCGACTTGAGACAAACCGGGTCTGCTGGTCATTAATCAACAAGGAATAGTTTACTTTCCTATTTGACAGAACGCTCCAGGGTATGCGCCTTCCCAATAAAAGTAGGCTATTGTCGGGGATAGAATACGAATGGGTGATGCATGATGAGTTCATGATGAAGACTATGCAGTCGACTAGTGACCATACTCAATCCAATAGAGCCTACCCAGTCCAGTGACAGGGAAGAACGAACTTGCCCATAATGAAAAGCAGGAGATTGTACGGAGTACCGAAAACTACCTAAGTTGATTCCATGGCTGCCTGCGTCTAGTCGATTACTGCTTCTGTCTGCACCCGCATAAAGCAGGTTCAACCGTGGTACCAACACCACCACCAACCAATCACTCTGTCAATCCCCTCCCCTAACCAACATGGACGATCCGGAAGCATCGGTTGATCCTTTGATCGGGAGATCGGGAGATCGGTGCTGATCATACATCAGCCACTTTCGCTACTATTGATTCCACACCACGCCCTCCTCTAATTGATACGCCATCCCTATTTGGTACGTATAAATGATTCCCATACCCCCCAAGGAGACATACTAATAGCCATGACAGATATGGCCAGCTATTCGCCCCAATACCCAGATACCTTCACCGACGCGGCCCTCCGGCAGTGGATCATCGACTACTACTCCACAGTCGACACCGACGGTGCCGTCGAGTCCATCGCGGACTTCCTCACTGACGATGCCACTTTCACGCTGGGTGTGCAAGGAGCCACAGGACGACCGGGTTTAGTTCTCACTTATTTCTTTACTTCGTGGTCTATTTGACTCAAGTCGCTTACACAAGTTTCCATGGCAGATATCATAAAGCTTCTCCAGTCCAGCTGGGACTTTGTCCGCTCGCGCAGTCACACCCTCGAGAAGGTCTTTCCCTTCGGCACCAATCCTGACTCCCTCATGATGTATGGCACTGTCACCTATAGTCTCAAGGATGGGCGCACTATACCCATTGAGTGGTCTGGTGTGTTGGATATGGCCAAGGTTGATGAAGAGTGGAAGATGAGATCGTATAAGGTGTATTTTGCGGCGGCTCCAGCTTTTTAGCAGCTGCTTTCCTACAAGGAAAACCATCAATGGAAGGGATGGATAGGATGAGAGACTGTGACGGTCGATCAGAGTGCATTATATTTTCATGAGAAGTCAATGTCCACATGAAATACTGGGTATTCAGCGTAGGGAGATGTATGATATGCATCGTATCACTTGATAGGCCGTATATCCCTCAACTCACAGCTGTATATCACACCCAGAAAATAGCATTGGGAGATTGTCGACAGTTTCTGTAATAATCATGAAGTAGATCTTGAAAAAGATACGACCCATATTATGGATGCACAATTGGAACTCTGTCCCATAGTAACTACCACAAGCTCAGCTGGAGATATTCTCGACTTCATGTGCCTGACCGGTGATTTTCCAAAGAAAAGTCACAAAGGCTTGTGTTTCCCATCTAGTAATTGACTTTTTATGCATACTGCCTGACCAAGATGACCGAGATAAGCCTCGAACTATAAGTGATCCATGATCCTTTTTATTAGCCTGTTGCTGGTTTAGGCTAGGAAGCGGGGTGATGCGATAGTGTCCGGTCTGATGACTGTCGCTTCGAGGTGACGGTGCATGCATAACCTCATCATCGAAGAGATCGTTGAACCTTCCCAGACCATCTATAAATACTAAGCTTACACTTAAATCCTCTAACTGACTGATAATTTCATTGAAGGGAAGAACATCACGATGGTCTCCTCCACCTCACCGAGAGGCATCGCCCTGCAACGGGCCCAGGCGGACCTAATGCGCGACCGTATCACGAGGGTCTGGGAAGACTACCGGGATCTCACCAACTACTTCTCTATTGAGATATCGTCACAGAGAATGTATAAGTTGAGACATTTCTTGGAATCCGAGCTTCTCTCTCTTCATGGCCAGCCGTTCGAGTTCTACGACCAGCAAGACAAGGTTGACTATCTGCTATTGCAAAATTACCTCCAGAGACAGCTTCGCAGCATCGAGCTCAATACCAAACTGGACGAAAATGCAAAGCCGTTGTTCCCGTTCAGTGAGAGCATTGTGAGTTTGTGCGAGGCACGAGCAGCGGTCGTTCCCCTGCAGCCGAAGCATGCCGCAGAGCAGCTGTTTGAAACGCGAAAACAGATAGCGGATGTGACGGCTGGCGTGGAGAAGGGCGAGTACGCCTCGATGACGAAGTCTAGCGCTTTTCGTGGAGCGAGAATAATCGATTCTATGCGACACCATCTCGAGGAGTGGTATGGTTTCTATAAAGGGTATGATCCCATGTTCGATTGGTGGGTGGTCCAGCCCTATGAACAGGTAGACGAGTCCTTGAAGAAACTCGAGGAAACCATTAAAGAGAAGCTCGTTGGCATCACACCAGGCGATGAAGACACCATCGTGGGAGAGCCAATTGGCCAGGATGGACTCCTGGCAGAGCTAGAAGCTGAGGTGATCCCGTACACACCGGAAGAAATCATCAAAATCGGGGAGCGGGAGTTCACTTGGTGCGTCGACGAACTGAAGAAAGCTTCCCGCGCAATGGGATATGCCGACGATTGGCAGAAGGCACTGGAAAAGGTCAAGAACGACTACGTCGAGCCGGGACAGCAAACCCAGCTCGTCCGAACGCTCGCACAAGAGGCCATTGCGTTCGTGGAGGACCATCACCTCGTCACCGTGCCAGCTATCGCCAAAGACACCTGGCAGACGTTCATGATGTCGCCCGAGCGCCAGAAAATGAATCCGTTCTTCCTAGGTGGCGAGTCGATCATCGTGTCCTACCCAACGGATACAATGGACCACGGAGCGAAGATGATGAGCATGCGCGGCAACAACATCCACTTCTCCCGCGCGACTGTCTTCCACGAGCTCATCCCGGGTCATCACCTCCAGTTCCACGTCAACGCACGCCACCGACCCTACCGCCTCTTATTTGACACGCCGTTCTGGGTTGAAGGCTGGTCCCTGTACTGGGAAATGATTCTATGGGACGACGAGCGATTCAAGAAGACCCCGGAGAATCGAATGGGGATGTTGTTCTGGCGACTCCACCGGTGTGCCCGTATTATCTTCTCGATCAACTTTCACCTGGGCAAGATGACGCCGGAAGAGTGCGTGGAATTGCTGGTGCAGCAGGTTGGACATGAGCGTGCTACTGCGGAGGGGGAGGTCCGACGGTCGCTATCGGGCGACTATTCACCGCTGTACCAGGCTGGGTATATGCTGGGAGCGTTGCAGATCTATGCCCTGCGCAAGGAGTTAATTGAGACAAATCTCGTCGATGAGCTTGCGTTTCATGATCGCTTTTTGAGGGAGAATAGGATGCCGATTGAGCTGTTTCGCGCGTTGATGCTGAATTTGCCGCTGTCGCGGGAGTATCAGGCGAGGTGGCGGTTTTACGGCGATCTTTAGTATATATTATCTGCTGTGATATAGCTTCTAGGCTTTTTTTGCATAGCGGTGGTCGTGCCTAGCGTGGACGTCTTACCATCGAGAATGGAAGAAGGCGGTTTAACATACTGTCCTGGAATTATCCATGCTCGCACAACATATGGTCACTACAACCACTAAAGTAACTCAACAAAGAGTACCCACATGGAGTAAAGCCCTAAAGCAATAAATTCTATATTTAGCATATCAACGGGACTTGACCGCATCCATTCCACTCATCTAAGTTTGACCATCCCAACCAGCAAGATGCCAACCACTACTCCTCCCCAACTCCAAGCCCAAAAAAAACCCGCAAAAAGAATCCCAGGTAATCGAAACACTCAGACCTCTCTCACTGTAGGAGAGGTAGGAGGAGAAGAAGAAGAAGAAGAAGAAGCGTTATACCCAGTAACAAACTTCCCAATCATCCGCTCCATGTCCTCCACAATAGCAGCGCGAACGCAGTCATTAGTCGCCGCCTCCAACTCCTTATCCAGCCAGAGCCCGTACCAGACTCCGCCCGTGTGTTCAGGGGACGTGTCATACCGCAGACGAATCTGTCTCGGATGGTCCTTGATCTTGTAGATCATAGAGACGAGAAGTGCGACGGCGCCGGTGTAGCCGCCTTCGAGGGGCACGAACACGCTTTGGAAGAAGAAGTCGCGGGTTGTGGACTCGGGGCGCTCGGGCACGCCAAATACTGCGTGGAATATGAAGACCTTTCTGAGGTCAAAGTTGACCATAAGCTCGCTGGATTCGCTCATTGTGGTGGGTGGGTGGGTGAGCTTTGCGAGAGGGTGCTTTTTGGGGGTTTCTGTGGTTGGTGTTGATTTTGTTGGTTTGGTTTGGGGGTGATCGTCCTGAGAGGATGCTTGGGGTGATGGTGATATGAGTATATCTGCGGGATACATATCTATTTATACGGATTAGATGCATGCATCGAGAGACGGGTTTCGGTTGTTCATTCTGGCTCGAGGTGTTTCTTTCATCCTTTGTAGTGTGTTAGTATAGTTGGGACTATAACCAGTGCAACAAAGTATCCAGTCAATGGACAAAGATACAACGATTGGACGACTGCACAATGCATGCAAATCGTAGCAAGAATTCGTTATTCCGATGTATTATGCTGACAATAAATTGCTTCTAGCTTCTTTTTATGAATTCCAAGAACACCATTGAGGGTCAAGCCCAATGTTTGTTCGTGTCTTGTCTCGAGCGCATGAAACAGTGAGGCTGTCCGCTATTGGACACTCATCAAAATTCATGCAGGGAATTCACGGTTCGGACCCAATACGATAATAAAATAAGAGAGATAAAGAAGTATGAACATCTCACCACTTGCTGTATACAATGAAGAACAATAAAATACGAAATAGGAAGGTGGGGAATTCTTCGGGTCGCCAAGAGGCTGTGGAGCCATGTCGAAATGCCCAATGCCTTCACGATTCCTACCTCCACTTGCTTGGTTGATATTTTGGTTGTCTGATGTCCCTACATGGAGCGCAAGTCTGATGCTCTGAGAGAACACAATAGATGTTGAAGTCTGACTGAACGTTCCGGTCATGAATACTATCGGCTCTTCGACTCCCGGTGAAAACACTGTCGTGGACCCTAGTGTTGCCGCAGGTAAAGTAGATTGTAATAGCATAATATGTCCGGCTGTTATACTCACTGATGAACACAGCACTTCCAAAAGGATCCCGCGTGGTATCTGTAAACCGCCATGGCACAAGTTTCTGGAACTACACCGGAAGGATCGAAATCGAGCGGGCCGATGGCCAGCTGGAATCATTCTTCATCAAGGTGATATCAAACATCCGCGGACATAACATGGTGCAGGGAGAGTACGAGTCAATGAAAGCAATCCATACAGTCTGCCCAGAGTTTACCCCTAAACCCATAGCCTGGGGCACATATACCGACACTCCAGGGACGCATTTCTTCCTCGCTGAATACAGAGATATGAGCGGTGACATGCCTCAGCCAGAGGAAATGGGTTCGTGTCTGGCACTTTTGCACCAGAAGGGCACCTGTCCGAATCGAAAATTCGGGTTTCATATTCCAACATACACCGGGCATTTGCCGCAGACTAACAACTGGGAGGACAGCTGGGAGGTATTTTTCGCGAAGAATATGAGACAGGCGTTAGATTGCGAGATCCAGGCTAAGGGGTTTGCTTCAGAGTTTGAAAGTTTAGTACCGGTCTTGTTTGATGTGGTTATCCCGCGTCTGCTTCGCCCTCTCGAGACGGACGGGCGGAGTGTAAAGCCGTGCTTGGTGCACGGCGATCTGTGGTATGGGAATTCGGGGATGGATTCCAGGACGAAAAGTCCTGTTATATTTGATGCTTGTTCCTTTTACGCGCATAACGAGTGTATGTTCCATGTTCCGCCGACTGGGGTCATCTCTAATGTCATCCTGCTTCTATCAGACGAGTTCGGTCAATGGAGGCCAGCATGCAATCGATTTGGGCCGGAATATCTGAAGGCGTATCACGCCCGTTGCAAGATCTCCGAGCCGGTAGAAGATTATGACGGTCGTCTCGATCTTTATAAATTGTGAGAACTCGGGATAGTCCTCTGTTTCGCCGACTAACTACGATTAGGAGGTTTAACACCCAAGTATCTGCTTTATTTCCAGAGAATCAGGGCCTAAGAGAACAGTATGTTCCCAGAGTCACGGTGATGAGGCAAGCTAACGAGAATCCAGAATGCTTGGTGACATGAGAGATTTGGCTCGGCGGTATGGCTAGGTTGAATTGGATTGGAGTACATAACAGGCCCATGTTATTCTTGTCGCTTTTTACACCAACGAAATGCTGAATGTCGTGACTGATACCATAAACCTCACGTGGGCATATGCCTCACTCACTAGATCCCAATAGAGATAGCCAAGCCGTCTATGTCTCCAATGCTTTCTCGAATCAGCCATCGATGACACTATCCTGGACGAGCTGCCGCGCCGTCTCAATTGATTTCTTGACGGCCATCAAACCAATCTAAATGCATAATCAGCTTGATCACAATGGTAAAACAGTGTTGTCTCTTACTGTATTCTTCTGCTCCACAGCCTCATCATAGGCCGGGGTCCCCTCCTGAATATCAGGATGGTCCCACTCAAAGAAATACGTCAACTGAAGACCGCGATCGCCCAGATCTTCCCCATTAGACACAAGATTGGTAGTAACCGACCCATCAAGCTGACGAAATATGATCTGCAAACACGCACGTCAGATGATCCCCCCCGATTGGGCCCACACCAGTCCATTCAACATACAAATTGCTCTCCATGACTGGTCACCTCCTCCGTCATAGTCTTCGTCTCCCCAGACGGCGTCTCCAGCAAACATTCTCGCAGCACAATGTCATTGCTATCTTTCACAACGACGCATTTCTTCATTGCAGGGACGAACTCGTCGGCGTGGCGGATTTTGCGCTGCAGCGCTTTCCACAGTTGCCGGCGGGTCAGCACGAATGGTGCGTCTGGTGGGTTGACGGGGAGTGTCCTAGCTGCGTGAATTCTGACCATGGTGCTGAGAAAATTCCAAAATACTAATTTGTAGAAGCAACCATAGAGAAAGCCAGGATTGGCGCAAGGATCCAAGATCGGATGCAGACGAGGGGTTGTCGTGTCCAATGACGTTGACTGAGATCTCCGTCCCGCCGGGATGGATGACGCACGGACCACATCATGTATCATTGCCGGACGCGTCTTGATTGTCCATCCTCATATTCATTGATTCCCAGTCGGCTGCTGATTGACGAGGAATGTCATCTTGGAGGTGTATTTCCAGTATCTTGCTGGCCTATCCACACTAGAAACTCGAATGGAATAATACTAAGGGTCAACGTGTCAACGTGTCAACGATCACTATCCAGCTCGACAGGGCTCATCTATCCACAACGCTCAAGAAAATAGAGCAAAAGTGCTGCAAAGGAAAAGTGATAGCTGAACAATAATATTATTAATCTAATAATTCGTGCCCTAAATACTGACCTACCTAGTCCTGCTTGCTGGTTCGGAGAAAGGGTGTCCAGGGACTCTATGTTACTATCCATGTTCTACTCGAATGCATACTGTTTGCATCCATATCTCGTCTTTATGGGCCTGGACCTTTTTGCTCTACATGTCACATATAGGCGTCCATTCTTTCATGTGGTTATCACCTCTCACGGTGTGAGAATGCCTAAACAACACCAATAAAGAACAGTCGCAGACCCTTGCGTAACAAGTCTACAGAATCCAACAAATGAACAACCATATTCCCACCGCGGCTTTGTTCACACCTTGCCAAACACATGCAAGGGACAGGGTCGGAGATAAGAGATCCAGCAGTGCACAATGAACCTCTCCCCTCGAACCCATTCATCCTGAAACTATTCCACAGACCCCGCAAGCGCATCAATGCCCCAATCCAGCCGCCCCCGAGCAGCATCCCACGATTCTGAGGAGCCCCTGCTGCCAACCGACAATGTCCATGACTGCGGTTGCAACATCCTTGTGGAGTACTACGAAAAACGGCACAAAGCGCTTCAGCGCGTACTCATCATCCAATGGATAGCTATCGTGTTCCTCGTCTTTGGCATAGTGCTAGTGCTTCTGTCAAGGTCGAATGACGGGATACACTGGATACCCAACGAGCTATATTGTTCGTCGTGTCCTACCCCACGTTTATATTCACAACATGCTAATAAGGAGTATACGCTAGCCCCCGCCAAAGACGCAATCCGATATGAGACCAAAGTCTTCAGTCATGGCTTTGGCGGCGACAAGAGCGAGTATATGGGTCCTCCCACACAAGAGAATATATTGGCTTGGGATCGTCTCTACCAAGGTATACCGTTCTCATATTCTTTCGTTTGTTCCTGATTTAGTGTAGACAGTTATGTAACGGGATACAGCCGGTATCAGCATGATTCCCCATGAGCAGGCAGCCCAGCTCCCCGTAAAGACCGCCGCTATCCCAGAGGAACCGGGGTACTATGTCGTGGGACTGGACGTTTTCCACCAGCTGCATTGCTTGGTATGCTATTTCCAGCTACACTTTTCTATCCGTCTTTTCATTTTCTGGTCAGATCCAATCAGCTGGTATAGAAAGGGTTTAATGCGCCTCTTGATTGTAGAACCACATCCGGTTGAAGCTGTGGGCGTATCACGATAACAGCGCCATTCCAACCAGCTCTGCAGCTTTCAATGCCTCCCAGACGGGTTCGTCTCAGGAGAAAGAGAGTGGCAATCTCGGAATTGAGCACCTCGACCACTGCGTTGACTCCATCCGCCAGAGTCTCATGTGTTCGTCGGATATCTCGACCGTTGTGTGGGCATGGGACGAAAGTCGCCAAATGACGCTGCCGCTCGCGAACGTCACGCATACGTGTCGTGATTTCGAAGCGATACGACAGTGGGCGGGGATGAGACAGGCGTCGGATTGGGATCGGGGGGTTGATCCATCTCGTTTATGAAAGGTGGGGTCTAGGTGTTGAGAGTCTCAACCGGGGGTATAGATTAACATGGCAGTTCACTAGCAAGTCTACATGGGAAATTTTTAAAAATTCAATCAATTGATTGTTGCATTGGCTTGAATGTCAATTGACATAAGCATGAAAAAATCTAGGTACATGAAGACAAAAAGACTGAACTCGAGAATAGCCGGCTCTACTTGTTCAGCGTAGAGTTTAAACCGAAGAGTTGATCCTCAATGTTGGCACAGTGAACCTGCCATGGCCAGATCGACTTGTCCAGCGTAGAGCTCGAACCCAAAGGTTGATCCTCAATGTTGATACACGGAGCCAGCCAAAACTCGCTACATCCCGTGTCTCAGTTGCTGTCGCTCCCCATGAGCTCAGACTCGTCGTCGGTCTTGCCGTGTCTGTAACCACAGTAGCCCTTAATGCAGTGCATGCAGCGCTTGCATTCATTATCGTGCTTACACGGGGTGGGAGGGGCCTCGAGACCAGTGTCGGTCACATTGATGGAGCACATTTCGGTGTCAACAGTATCGCCTATATCATGTCAGTAATCCCGAGGTGGCTATTCCAGGAGCCAGTTCAACTCACCAGACTGGTTAATCTGGTCCGCGTCCACATCTCTCTCCCGGCGGGGAATCTTGTTGCAGTTACCGCGCCAGCAGTAGTAGTCGTTGGGGCAATCGTCATTATGGCGGCAACGACCGTCAACACAGATACCGTCCCAGCACAAGCCGCCTTCGCAGTCGGCGTTGTTATGGCAGAGGCCGTCACTGCGCTCCAGCAGATGCTTGTCAGAAACATCCGTCTTCACATCTCTCGCCCGACCGGGGATCGGGTTGCAGTCGCCTCGGAAGCAGAAATAATCGTTGGGGCAGTCGCCATTATGGCGGCAATGACTGTCAGTGCAGACACCTCTGACGCACAAGGCGCCGCGGCAGTCCTCCATGTTGTGACATTTGGGATCGTTGCGCTCCGTCAGCATCTGGTTCGCGTCCACATCTCTCTCGCGACCAGGGATTGGGTTGCAGTTGCCACGGAAGCAGTAATAGTCGTCGGGACTATCACCATTATGGCGGCAACGACTGTCAATGCAGATGCCTTCCCAGCAGAGGCCGCCCTCGCAGTCGATACTGTTGTGGCAGATGCCCTCATCGCGCACAAGCAGGTGCTTGTCAGAGACAGCTGTGTTTGTATACAGTGTTAGTTGTGGTCAACGGTTATGTATGGTGGTGGAGTAGATATGTACCGCTGTCCACAGCCTTGGGACCGGGGATGGCAGATGCAGTCACAAAGACCACGAAGGTCAGGAGGTAGACAAGGTTGAACTTCATCTTGGATGGGGCAACTGTTGCAAGTGGTTTGGGCTGCAGGGTGCAGGGGGATATGACTGAGGAGGACTGGGGAGGAGAGGGGATGAAGGGGAAGAGGGATGGGAGAGATGGTCAGAGAAAGCCTACGTTGCTGGGTGAAGAAGGGGGTATTTATATTCGAGAGATTCAGAAGAAATGAGGATCAGTAAATCACTTCATCCTGGGTGAAGCTGTTCGTTTATTCCCGCATCTGCTCATGCACTTCCTTTGTTGAAGTGTATCAGTCCATCACTGCAGGTAATCATCGAGAAAAGTACTGTGAATCTGATATTAACTGACTCGAATTAGATCTGGACCGTGGTCTGCAAGAAGGCTTTTTCACAACTTCACTTCAATGATACCTACAGAGGCAATTGTACTGGACATGCCATCATACAGACTCGGCTTTCTGGATAGGTGAAGTATCAAGTCATCCCACCAGACATCGGTCACTCACTCATCCTCACATACCTTTGTTGTCCCCAGGTACCACAAGTGCGCCTCTCGCTCCGGTCTTGTTGCGCCCAGATTCCCAGTTTCATTGTTGACTCCCTCGATCACTTGAATATCTGCGGGGGTCACAGGAGGGTCTTCTTTATTCCCAGACGTAATCCAGTACTCCGGCGATGATTGGCTATACTCCGGAACAATCCCCACCAAAGTACGTGACAGCCGATAGAGTATCTTGGGGATATAATCAGCATCATGAGTGATGCGGTAGCTGTGACCGACTCCTTGATTGGTGGTGTACTCGGCTAGAGCGAGGTTTCCCACGGAGAGAGCACCGAATGTATACTGGACTCGTCAACCCAGAAAGACAATCCGGTGTAGTCACCCTACCATGTCGACCTGATACCCAGCCTGCCTCAGATACAATGATTCGAGTGTGGCCAAGGCCCCTCCGAGGCTGTGCCCTGTCACGACAAGTCTATATCCGGGGTAACTGGCCAGAGCAGATGCTAGCTGTGGCAGGAGGATCTCATGCGCAGTGCTCGAGGCGTTCCAGAATCCATTGTGAGCCTTGCATCCGTAGCACAAGCTTGAAGCATCGACATGGCTAATCTGAAAATCTATCCAGCGATTTTCTGCGGAGACAGTCCCGCGGAAAGAAAGCACGATGAGCTCTGCGCTTTTGTCGACAGCGATGTAGCCCGTTGTGTCGCCGGGCGTTATCCTACAAATGCACTACATTGAGCTAATGTATCTTAGAGAGTCCAGCCCACAGGGCAACATACCCCGAAAACCCATATAAGATCTCCGTTTGCGCTTGCATAATGATAGTGCAGTTTCCAGGGTCGCAGTACACCGGAGATCCCACAGACGTTGCGTTATGGTTTGCTTTACAAATCGCCGCCTTCGCATATTGCGAGATGCGGTAAAAGTCCTCCAACAAATCGTACGGTATATCTATCCGTTGACATTTAGCATGTTTAGATCAGAGTAAATCAAATTGTCTCACAGCACCTCTTCTACCCATCCAGCCACCCGGGACTACCGCGCCGAGTACTGCGCCGAGTGCGCCGAGGCGCAGAATTCTAAACAGCATGCTGAAAACTGGACACATTGGTTGGTTGGGGCTGACCAAGTGCAGGGGAATTGGCAACTGTGGGTCTTATATTTGGTTTTTCTGATCGGTTGATTTCTCAGCTCACCACTTTCGATATTGTGCTACGCCTCTGTCGACAAACAAACATCAGCTGAACACGCCGGCGCCCATGTGTCAGTCCAGATCGTCCACGATCCTACATGTATTTGGGGCTATCTACACAGTCACAACCCTAATTCAATACATGGTTGTCCTTCTGCAATGGTTTCGTACCGGAAACCATGTAACTGGCATGATTCTTTTACCACAGTCCAAGGAACCGAAATACTCTAGTCCAGGTATGAGGAAAGGATACCATCACGGAAGTCGGAATATGGATCGAATAGCGCCAATTATAGGATGGCAACATCGCAATGCAAAGAGCGTCACACAGTAAACTCTATGCATGAAGTACACACACGGTCCCATTTGCGGTCTCCAACCCCTCCATAAGCAACACAGGCATCATCGATCCCCGACCCACCTATCAGCCACTCTAGCGATCCGGTCAGGGATCATGAATACCGATCTACAGCGTAGTGCCCGTCCATCAATCTTCATTGGCAGACTCAATTGGTCACTCTCAAAGTATATCACCCATTTGATCCCCGCATTCTGCAGAGAAAAGTCTACATGCTTGGTTCAGAGACGCATTGGCAAACTATTGACCCACTAGTGAGGTCATGCAGGTGCTCTCAACTACTAAGTATACATAGAAGCTGACGCGATTGCCACGAGCTGAAGCTTTTATTGGGAGCTATGGTGGACTTGCTTTTTTGAAGGGCTCTTTGGCAGGAAAAGCTGATCGACGATTCTCTACTGAGGGATGTTGTGGCTTCGGGCTCTCCGGGCCGGCCTATAGTATTGAGTACCATGTCTTGCCTGTTGAGAGTTCTGGATTGCTTTAAACTGAGCTTGATCCGTGGATTTTGTAGTCGTTTCATTGTGTTGGGTTTCTCAGGTGTCGTCAATCCACAGTCAGGGAATTGATTGTGCTGCGCTCTTGTATTTGCTGCAAGAATGACCGTCGACGAGGAGACACCTCTCCTGAGTTCACCTCCAGTGCAGAACCTGGGAGATCAGATCAAACGCGAGTCCACAGAGACTGGAACCAAGTCAACCCGATGGATCGTCTACGGCTGCTTCATCGGTAAGTTTTCTGGCTATCTATACCGAATCCCACTGACATATGCAGGCATCTTTCTTGCGGCCGCCGACGACTCAATTGTAGTCTCGACATGGGCCGCCATAGCCTCGCAGTTCAACCGCCTATCACACGGTCTATGGCTCGTAATAGCCTACAATTTTGGATACTGCGTCTCCCTCCCTGTGGTAAATAATCCGATATACGATGGTGGATGGCGTTGACTTGGATCTAGTATAGTTCCCTGTGCAACGTGTATGGGCGGAAAGACATACTGCTGTGGTCTTATATGCTGTTTGGGATTGGATGCCTTGCATGGTACGTTCATATCTCCTTGTGCCTTTCTATACTGATTGAGTCTTGCAGTGGGATCAGCACGTCGTTAGAGCAATTGGTTGTGGCCCGAGTTGTCGCGGGGGTCAGCGGAGGGGGAATGATCTCGTTGGTTTCGATAGTGATTACAGGTAAGCATACCTCCAATAACAATATCAATAACATCCCTAATTGTCGACAGACCTCATGCCACCCGGTGACGTCGCCCTTCTCCGAAGTTACGCCAATGTGATCAATGTCGCTGGACGCAGTCTGGGTGCCCCCATTGGAGGCCTACTAATACAAACAATCGGATGGAGATGGTTAGCAGACTCTCCCTTGTTCCCGCACGCTGCTAACTGGTCTAGGTCTTTTCTCTCTCAGATCCCCCTCGTAGGCGTCTGCATCTTGGTAGCCGTATATGGCCTTCCGGCCTCGTTGAACCAGACTGTTAGCGCGGAGGGTGGTTCTCCTCGTTCGAAGCTGGCGCATCTCGACGTGGCGGGCCTCTTTACTTTCACGCTGTCCATTCTTACATTGGTGTTTCTTGTTCAAAGCGAAAGTAGCTCGCCGGGAGATAACTCCAATCTGCCTTATATTCTGCTGCCCATCTTCCTGGCTGCCGTCATAGCGTTTTTCCTAGTGGAGGCATACTGGGCGGCATACCCACTTATACCTTTATCGATTCTCAAAACACCACTAGGAGGCTACTGCGCAGTTCAGATATTTATGAACGGAGGTCGATTTGCCGTGAGCTGCCTGCCCTCCTCCCAGTTCCTATCGCCCACTAACACAACCAGCTCATAACCAACACCGTACCCTACTTCATCCGCGTCAAACACACCAGCGACGTCCTTGCCTCAATTAGCCTCATCCTCAGCTCTCTGGGCGTCTGCATCGGCGGCCTCATTTCAGGCACCGTCATCAAGCGGTAAACCCCCCCCTCCTTCTCTTTTCCCATCAAACCGCACACCATTCTCACAAAACAAACCAAGAACCCACCGCTACAAACACATCACCATAGCCGCAATGTGCCTAATCACCACCTCCTTCGTCGCAATCCTCATTCGCTGGCGAAACGGCTGCTTCAACTGGGAAATGGTGTATCTGTTCACAATCGGCGTGGGCATGGGCGTCATCTACTCGGCGCAGTTCGTCGCAATGTCGCTCGACGCTCCCAAGGGGGCCCTCCCTACGTGCATCACCACCTACTACCTCAGCCAGCAGCTAGGCCTAATCATCGGGCCCGCCTTGGGCGTCGCTGTGGTGCAGCGTATGTTTGGAGATCGGCTTTCGCGGGAGTTGGCTGTGTTTGGGGAGAAGCAGGTATGTCATATGAATGATGGTAGAATGGAGAGGGGGGCGCAACTAATCGGTCATCTGTTTGACGCAGCTGGTCCAAAAAATTGTCAACGATGCAAGATTCTCGGAGACGCTTCCTGAAGCAGTACAGGAGACTATTCGGGCTGCGTATTTGCGCGCGTTTCAGTTCATACCGGGTGAGTTGTGTCTCTGTCGATGCTAGGATCGGATGTTTGCTAACTGGCTCAGTTATTGCTGTTGTTTTTGCTGCGCTTACAATGGGAATTATCATTTATCTCCGAGAAACGAGGATGGAATGATATATGCGACGGTCAGTGGGTAGGACGAGAAAAAGTTTGGCATGGTGGGGTTTTCAGATGCACAAAGGCATGGTTAGGAAAATTGCAACACACCTAGTCCTGGTTTGATTGATCATTATATAGCAGGCCTTGACTGCACGCATACAGAGGCACCATTGACTAGCGGTTATTGATAGGCATATTCAAAATGAGTAGTTTGAAACAGATACCTTTGAACATCCTTCTATTCAAGCAATGCTGGTTTCGTACTCTGCTTACTCGGTCGAACACGACACAATTGACTAGCTTCGAGAAAATCCTATATTACGATATAATGAAGTACTTAAATACAGTTTTTCAAATCAAAAAGCAGGCCGGGCTTTTAATATGCAAAAGTCAACAGAGGGAGAAGACAAACCGAGTGCGAGAACCGAGATATAAGATAGATGAGTCCTTTCCGCTCTACATATGATGTGTAACTCCAACGTAATTCAATAGACATACCCATAAATCGAAAAACCTAGAGGATAGACCAATTATTCTTTCATAGCCAAGTGTCTGTACAGTCCACAATAGACCAGAAGATAGAAGATCAGATGGATAAGATAAGAAGATCAGCGATAAGATAATACATCTGCCTCAGGCATACTACCACTCCGCACCGGAGATAGAGAAAGACGATAGATAACATCAACATCAACATCCACCTACCCTCGCTCATCGCAACAATCAACAACACAATATCCCACTGTTCAATATACCTCAGTCCAGCTCAATTCTATCCGAGTCACCACAGACCACCCCACAATGTCAAATCTCCCAGAACAACAAAACCAACAACCCTCACCAACCGACCCCCTCCCCCGCACCTCGACCCCAAAACCTACCCACGCACCATAACCGACCCCACGCTGAACATCCACCTCACCCTAACCTACAGCCCTCTCGATCCCTCCAAGGTCCTCGCACACGTATCTTCCCCCCAAGCAGGCGCCAACGTCCTCTTCCTCGGCACAACGCGAGACACCTTCGAAGACCGCCCCGTCGCGCAGCTCAGCTACACAAGCTACCCGCCCCTCGCTCTGAAGTCCATGCGGCGCATCGCGGAGGACGCCGTGCGCGCACACAACCTGACAGGCCTGGTCATCGAGCATCGACTAGGCGTGGTGCCCGTGGGGGAGTCGTCGATTGCGATTGCGGTTAGCTCGGGACATCGGGTTGCGGCTTGGAGGGCGGGGGAGGAGGTGCTGGAACGGTGTAAGGAGGGGGTGGAGATTTGGAAGAGGGAGGAGTTTGTTGATGGGGGGGTTGTTGGAGGGAGAATAGGGAGAGGGATGGGGGGGGAATCTTGTTGCTTCTAGTTGAGTATTGCTTGATGATGGACGGATGGTATTGAGAGGGGTGGATTATTTTGTTTCTTATTTTGGGTCTATCGTTGTACATATTATACATACTATACTACATATCCGAGCTTTACTTCTTCAATGGCTTGCCCGCTCTCTTCCAGTCATTGATATGCTCCATGATGACCCTCGTCGCGGACTCGGGCGTATCCTGGCGACCGATACACTCGACGAAGTCTCCTTCGGGGTCTGTTCACAATTAGCATAATAATTCGAGCCGCAGGCTAAACCAGTAGGTGGAAAAGGGGGGAAAGCTGACCCATCAAATAAAAGTAGATACTATGATCCACGAGATAATCCTCCCCAGGCTTCACATCGCGCGGAGTACTGAAATACACCCGATACTGCTTGCACACATTGCGCACTTGCTCGTACGTGCCCGTCAGCCCGATAATATCGTCGTGGAACTCCTTCAGGTAGTTCTTCAGCACCTCAGGCGTGTCGCGCGCGGGATCACACGTGATGAAAACCGGCAGGAAGACATTCTCGCCTTTGGTCTGCGCCTTCACGTTGTCGATGATGGCAGCCATTTTGTCGAGCTCGTCGGGGCAGATGTCGGGGCAGTGGGTGAAGCCGAAGTAGACCTACACCTGTTAGCATCTTTCCCAATCCAATTCTTTTGCTTCCTTCCTTCCTTTCTCTTCCAAATATCAGAAGGGAAGAAACAGATGGATACTCACAAAAGAATACCTCCCCCTCAACTCCTCCTCCGTAACAACCCTCCCCTCCAAATCCGTCAACACAAACGGCCCCCCACCTTCGGCTTCCCAACCCCCTTATTCATCTCCGCGACCCTCTGCCGCGCGAGCCTCTCCTTCTCCACCCGGAAATAGATAATCATCGCCGCGCCCGTCACCACAAACAGCGCCGCGGCCTTCCACGAGAACGGGCCCGTCGAGTTGCGCGCTTTCAGCTGGCCCATTGTGGGGGGTTTTCCTTGTAGCTTGCTGGAGCTGTGGAAGCTGGCCCGCCATTGGTGTTGCGCGGGTTTGATGGTGGGTGGTGGTACTTGGGAGGATGTTGCGCGCTTGATGGTGCTGTTGCTGGTGATGGTGTGGAGGGTGCGTTGGGAGGCTGCGGTGGGTGCGCGCGGGTGCACGCGGCCCAGGAGCTGGGTGAGCGTTGTTGGTTTTCGGAGGGACGATGCCATTGTTTGTGTTTCTTGTGGTGTATTGTGTTGGGAGATAGGTAGGTAAGCGGGTGAGTTTTCTGGAATGAGATCAGGTGGTTCGAGTTGTCGGATGGGATCCGCTCCGCGGAGGACCGGGATTAGTCTGTCCGATTGGGTTAGTGTGTATGGCACGTGACTATATTGGCATCTTTGGATCAGGCACTGGTTGATGATTTATTTCGCTCGATGATAAGTTCGCTCGATGGTGTAGTTCTTTCAGATACTTGGTAGGATAATGTATCTTCATTGCTATCTGTTGTTGTTGGTGGGTACTCTCCGACTGTGTCTGATACAACAACCACTTTCAAAATATATATACAGGAGTATATATCTACAGTCCGGAGACGAAGTATTTATCTCCAAAGGGTATCAATATCTTAAGACAAATCGTTTACAACAATCAATAATATAGTAGTAAATGTCTATTTACTATGTATACCCCAACCCAGCCACAACTAAAATTACAAGAATTACGCCTGCCTATTGCAGAACCAGAACGGAAGAATGAACTGAACTGACCACTCGCCAACACCAGACGTTGCCATGGATGCAGGATTGGAAGAAAGAAACCGGGAAAAAATAAAGCAAGAAATAGAGCTGTCCCGAAGGGCAGAAAAAAAACAACAACAATAGTGTAAGGGAAGAGAAGAGAAGAAGAAAAGAGTAGGCAAGATGAAGGGAAGAAGAGAATAGAATGAAATAAAAGAAAGAAAAAAGTTAGAAGAGCAAAGGGAAAAAGAAGAAAAGAGCATGCTATGCAGCTATCAAAAGAAAACTTTTCACTGTACACTCCGACTAGCCACGCTGGCTCGACTAGGCGTCGTCCGGGGCTCCTCCTCTTCCAGGACATCACTGAGACGCGTAGGATGGCGGTGGCGCGGAGTCATCGCCTCCCACCCCTGTTCATGTTCCTCGCCCCATGAAGACCCCGTGTAATCGACGGTCGTCGGCGGGTATCCGGCATATAGAGGCGCCGACGTTGTAGGCACTGTGCCCGCGGGATAGCCGTGGTCGCTGCCCGCTGAGCCCTGCTCGAACTCGTCACTCTCCTCCGACATGGCGGGAGGGTAGACGATCGGGGCTCCGGCTGGATCTCGGCGGTAGCCGTCGTACTCTTCCTCGCCGGGCTCGCTGCTGGCCTCGTCGTTGCCGGACGTTGGCCGCGGGGCGTACGCTGTCTGGCTGTAGTAGGAGGTTGTCTCGGCGGTGGTTGCGGGCGGCGGCTGCGTCGTGAACCGCTGGGGGTCGGTGTCTTGGTAAGCGCGCTGGCCTTCGGTGAATGGATCTGTCACTGTGGGCGAGACGGGGGTTTCCTCGTAGTAGCCACCTTCGGGTGAGTCGGCACGTTTCTCTGACTGGTCGTAGGGGGTCTCGTGGGCGGGCGGTCGGTTCGACGGGTTGGATCGCCCCAGACCTTGGATCATGGGCACCACTTGGACACCGCCGACGATGGTGGGCTCTCCATTCCGCAGGGAGGTGGTCCGATCGCGCTCTTCTTGCTCGCGACGACCGAGTTCCTCCCAGGCGCGACGCGCTTCCTCCTTGGAGATCTGCAGCTCGCGACGCATCTCTTTGAGCAGGCCTTCCATCCGAGCCCGGTCGCTTTCGGTCTTCTGGAACGTGGCCAGCGACTCGGCCCGAGCCTGGCGTTCGGCGCGGAGCTGTCGGTCGAGTTCGGCCTGAACCTCCTTGGACCGCTCTTGTTCCGCGCGGGTCTCGAAGAACCACCGTTGGAATTTACGCTCGGAGGATGCCCGGAGACGCTGCAGCTCCACCACGGCGTGGAACAGATTCGCGCCCGCGGCCGACAGGTCCGTCACTTGGCGGGCCATTTGCTGGCTGATGGGGTCGCGCTCCATGGCCTCGTTGTTCTGCTCCAGTTTGCGGATCCAGTAACTGGTCAGTCCCTCCCAGTGCGATGACAGCGTCTCCCATCGTTCAAACGCGTGGGGAAAGGCCACGCGTCGCGGTTGTTGCGGTTGGCCCGCAGCCGCTGTGGGCGCCGCCGGAGCGGGTTGCTTGGGCGCTGTCGTGGCGTGGGGGGCCGCCGGGTCCGCCGGGGCCGGAGCAGAAGCAGGTGGGCCGGTCGCGGTGGGCGGTCGGTTGGAGGCCGCCATCGGGGGCTGCTGGGGCGGCGCCGACCGTCGCGGCGCTACGGGGATCCCCGGCGGTGCGGTGTCAGCGGCGGTCGCCCGGTACTCGGGTTGAGGATCCGCGCGGGACCCTCGGCGCTGGGGTCGCTCCCCGGCAACCCCAGCAGGGTACGGAGCGCGGGTAGGGGCCGGATCCTGGGCGTCCTGCGGCCGGCGCTCCCCCGCCCCCTGCTCCTGATCGCGTGCGTCCTGTTCTGCCTTCCGGCGTGCCTCTCGGTCCCGACGCTGTCTCATGATATCAGTGGGCGTCCGTACGCCGCTAGGGGGATGCGGGTTCACGGGAACGGGGCCCGGGGCGGCGCGGGTGGCACCGTTCTGCGTACGACCGGTGCTTCCATACCCGGGGGCACTGGTGGGGCTCATCAAGTCCGCCATGGACGAATTCACCTCGTCCCAGTCGGTGGTGAAAGGGAATGGTTTGCGAGTGGCCTCTTCGAGCGTCCAGAGGATGGCCGAGGCGGTGCGCGGCGAGACTCGATTGGTATGACGGGGCCAGTAGGACTGACCCGGGGGAGGGTGATGCGAGTCGGGGTCCTCGTCGTCTTCGGTGTGCGGTTCCGATAAGGCCGGACGGAGAGCACCAATGCCACTGGTGCGATTTGAGGCGGGATGGATGGGATGGACGAGGACGGGGATAATCTGCTCTACGCGCGGACGGCCCGAAACATCGACAGTCGGGGGGCGGAGGGGGAGACGGGAGGTTCTCCGGAGGGAGCGATTGCTGGGATGAGAAGCGAGGACAGGGGACGGGGCAGGATCAAAAGCAGCCGGCTGCTGGCGTTGCCGTCGGGGGGTCGTTACAGTGGAGGGGTCGTAAATTTCGTAGGTCTCGTCAGATATGCGGCGAGCGTGGTGAGACACTGCTGAGGTTGGTCGTGGCAGGGGTGCAGGATGCGACGACAACGTGAGTGTTGAAGTGGAACAGCACCGGGCGCTTCAAGCTGCGTTGTGAACGTGGAGGGCTTTTGTCAAATGAATTGGCTTGTCGTATGGGTTTGGAGCTCAATCCAGCACAGTGATGAAGTGGCTCTAGCGGTGCTCTGATGTCAGTAATTGCGGAGATTGGAATGGGTGGAATGGAATGTGGGTATTCAGACAAGATTGCAACAATCTGACCGTAATGGAAAATGGAAGAATGGATCGAAAGGTTAGGAAGGAATTGAATTGATTGAATTGAGTAGACTCGAATTGTTTTGGGCACGAAGGAGAGAGGAAGAAAGAGAGGCTGGTCGAATGGGAGTGAGGCGGGAAATGTGATGGCTGGGAAGGATGATGAACCACGTAGTTAACGTACCTGCTTCGATACTCGCTTTGACCGCTCGGGATTTCTTAGTTTGGAGGAGTGACAGACTCCCTCAATCCCAGCGGTCATGGAGCACCATTCAGAGGTCACCGAAAAGGGAGGACGCCAATAAAGGAGGGACTCAGGGAGGCAGTCGAGGATGCCAGTTGTCCGCGGGATATCAACACGGAGAGGAGGAGAGAAAGAATGTGATTGATTGATTGAAAGGAGAAGAAAAGAAGGAAAGATGGAAAGAAGACAGGGTCGGATACTAACTGTAAGGGGTTAGATTGGTTTTCTGCTTCTGATGAATCATTCTTCATATTGAACTATTTGATTCTTCTATCTATCTACACTCCACTACAGTCTGCACATGTAATGATACTAATCCTACAGTAGATGAGACTCATTTAAGCAATGGTAACAGATGATCGTTTCTTCATGATGTAATAGAAATTGCAAACGTGAGAAATCCCAACAATAGATTGGAACAGGCTGGCCAGTGGTCACTGCTGAGTTGGCAGTTGCTCATAGTGGCTATTAATATCACCCCTGAAGAACTAGCTGGAGCCAGCTCACTCTGGATTCACAACACATGCTGGTGAGGTCAGAGGAGTATAGACGGGTCGGATTCGAAAGATAGCGGGATAATGATAGATGAATCAATTAATCAATTAATGTTACCCCTGAGACCCGATGTGAATTATTTGGAACGAACCACCGGGTTCTCCCCCCCACACTGGGTCCTTCGATCGGGTTCATCCAGAGAAGTCCCTTTCTTGGGTGGAAATGTACCTCGGTAAGTTGGTGGGAATTTATCGACGAGTCTATTGCTCCACAACGGATCATATTTCCACAACGAGGAGACGAGCGTTGGTCGAAATGATACTCGTCTATTTCAATCGAATATTCCAGCTTTGCCTAGTGATCCTGAATTACCTGTCCATATTGTTGGAACGAGACTGATCAAATGTGCTCCATAATGTACGGAGTTCTCCGTAGAAAGCCAAGACGCAGATCATTCGGATGAACCCAGAAAAACCCTGGTTCAACAGATGTCGCAAAGAACAAATGAGAGAAAGGAACAGACAACAACAACTCAGACGAGCCCATCCCAATCCCAGAATCACTCCTAGGCAAGGAGTGCGTCGGTTTTAAGTTCAGGAGGCGATTCCGACCGCCCCGGTCTCAAAACACCTCGAACTGCCTTGCAGCATGTCTCATGTCCACGATCCCTGTGCCTCGACAATAATGACTTGCAGAGTGCCAATAGGGAAGTTTATCCCGGGGGAAGTGCGGAAAGCTGCGTCGAGTCCGTCAACACGATCAATCTTCGATCCGTGGACGCGTCGAGACGATTTATATCAGAAGTCTGAAAGGTGAACAGAAACTAAATACGCGATTCGAAGA